TGTTATTAACCTATTTTGAACATCTCCTTATTTATAGATAGAAAAAAGTAACAATGGATTTCATTCTGGTTGAACTGTTATACAGAGGTTTTTGAATTAAAAGAGGGACGAAAGATACCAGAGGGACAGTCAAACTCATAGATCGAAAACAAACTGACAACGCCATGGCCAAACATAAAAAGACAAAAAGACAAATAATAGCACAGATGACACAACATAGCAAACTAAAGACTAAGCAACACGAACCCCACAAAAAACTGGGGTTGATATCATGTGCTCCGGAAGGGTAGGCAGATCCTGCTCCACATGAATTAAAACGTCTCAAGAGGTAGTGAACGAAGATAGAAATATAAAATTATTTTATGATTTGCAGTCACCAAACTCAAAAATACAATTTGAAAACAAATGGGCAGCCATTGTTCCCGGTATCAAAATGAGCAAAACTGGTCTGGGGAAAGCACGCACATTTCAAAAACATACTGCTAAAACAAAACACATTTGTCAGTAGAGGACACCTTGCAAAATGTTGGGCACCAACACGTTTTTTTGGTTATTTTTTCAAAAATTCCTTATATATCAAACGACAAAGTTCATGTAGTTGAATGAGTGCTTACTTTATTTGCAAAAAGCTTATACATGCTATGGTAAACGGAGATAAATACAATAGAGTTATTACTAATCTTCAAAGAAAGCAAAATTATTCTCGTTTAATTTCTCATTTAGTTGTTCTCTCCGTTTGTCATAGTCCAAATGTTCCACTATTTATTTCAAACATTTTATTTCCTGTTTAGGAAAGATTATTTACTTGTTTCTGGACCAATAGGTACGTTATGGTTCCTGTTTTGATATGTTGTAAGTTTTCATCAGATCTTAACTAAAAATTTGCTTTTATGAAAAACAAAAGTAACGAATTAAAATGCAAATCTGATGACGCAAACGAAATTCGAAAATCGTTCATTTCCACCCCATTTTTTAGATGATCCAAAACAAAGTAAGGATAACAAACTACACTGCAATTGCCACTGATTATATTGACATGGAAGTTCAACAAACGACTGCCACACAATTTGAGTCCCCACATACATAAAAAAAAAATTTAAATTTAATTTAGTAAAATGACTGTCATGCTGAAATATCTCGCCTGCCTAACTGATTGAAATTTCCTAGGATAAAAACGACGAGGCTCCTCACTTTAGTCACGAGCATGAATTTGTTAATTGAAAGCTGGCTTCCTGTCCAGTGACAGGTATGTCATGCATATTATTAATTCGGCTATTTATGAAATCCAGTAGGAAATATGTAATGTTTAAACGGACGTCCATCTCTAGCAATGGTTTCTCTCCCGGAGAAGTATAGTAATTGCAATACATTATAGCCTTTTTTTGTTTTAGCCCTTGCACATCACCCGTCTTTCATGTGTGTTAAACGTCATATCAAATAGTAAGTGTAATGGCCAGAAGTGCATTAAAATACACTCTCACAGATAAAACAAATCACAATCCATACAGAGGTAACCGTTTCATTTTCGTCATATACCAATTATTTTCCCCTGACACAAAGTATATTTAATCATTCTTTTATAGCTCCCTTCCGACACATTGACTTGATTGCATTATTTTGGGACGGCTTTTACATAGGGTCAAAGGAACGAGTGTTGACTAACACAAACTGAACAATATATTTTTCGACATTTTAGTGTTGATCACATATTACGATAATATTGGTAATGAAATTAAAATATTTTGAAATTGTGAATATATGTTATTATCAAAATCCTTTCGATTACTCCATTTGTTCTTAATTTATTATAAGAAGTGATCAGTTGTTATTATCATTCTGCGTGTTGTCTTATTTTATAAGTGGATACATGAACTATATTATCATAAGATGAATTGATGGTGCTTATTGTCAAATTTACCATTATGTAAATATTCAGAGGAATATCATGTAGCTGATATATGAACATACCTAGTTGCTTACATTTGCGTCGTTTGGGCTCTGTTGGATTGTTGTCTCATTGGCAATCATGCCACATCTTTTGATTTTCATACTTTGAACTTTATCCGTAATGATGTGTCAGTATGCAGGAAGACATCATTCTATATTAAAAATATTCAGATTCAATCATTATTGATTAAACTTTTGGTGGCGAGTTTTGTTCGTTGTGTTTGCCTTGGGGATAAACAGTTGTAGAATTAACACTAGGCTAGGTCAAATCAAAATATGAAAACAAAAAACTGATTAGCGACTTATTGTGTATTGACATGTAACCTTTGACATTAACTAAATTACGGAACACATTCCTAATGAATGAACAACATAGAATTTTACTTTCTATTATTCAGAGTACCGGTTCATGGATTTCCTTGCACTATACAATGTTTTCTTTAGAGTTAGTTTTTCATTGTAGATTCATTTTTAAAGTGAATTCTATATGAATGCTCTAAGGACGTGTACAATCCCTTGAAGTAGTTTATATGGAAACACAACCCAAACTAACGAAAATATGTTAACAGTGTTTGTCTTACTGTAATGAAGATAATAAGGAAAAGTTTGATAAAAAAAGATCAAGACACAAATCTTGAGTTTTGATTATTGCAAACTTAGAAATTTAGACGGTTCTATACTGAATTCGGCCATTCACTGTGATTCATAACAGCATAGTACTAGCTCTCTTTAAGAAACCCACCTTGTAAAACATCCATAGAGTTAATACGACATCTTCCCCTACATTAAAAAACAGAACACAAGCAAAACACAAAGAACAAAAACCCGAACAAAAACAAATACACAAATACACAAATAAATAATAAATAATTCCACTTAATAATATGTTTGTTATTAACCTATTTTGAACATCTCCTTATTTATAGATAGAAAAAAGTAACAATGGATTTCATTCTGGTTGAACTGTTATACAGAGGTTTTTGAATTAAAAGAGGGACGAAAGATACCAGAGGGACAGTCAAACTCATAGATCGAAAACAAACTGACAACGCCATGGCCAAAAATAAAAAGACAAACAGACAAATAATAGCACAGATGACACAACATAGAAAACTAAAGACTAAGCAACACGAACCCCACCAAAAACTGGGGTTGATCTCATGTGCTCCGGAAGGGTAAGCAGATCCTGCTCCACATGAATTAAAACGTCTCAAGAGGTAGGGAACGAAGATAGAAATATAAAATTATTTTATGATTTGCAGTCACCAAACTCTAAAATACAATTTGAAAACAAATGGGCAGCCATTGTTCCCGGTATCAAATATATATATAGTTTGATAAAAAAAGATCAAGACACAAATCTTGAGTTTTGATTATTGCAAACTTTTTATTACGTTACAATATAATACTGAAACCATTTAACAATCGTTTACATTCTCCTTTTATTCTGGGAAAGGGTGTTTATGGGCAGGTAAAAAAAATTCTTTTTTCAATTGTAATTATACAAGACCTTAGAGTCAATGTTATAAAAAATAATGTCTTTATTCACATAAATCAAAGGACATTTTAATGTCAAACGTAACTATATTACTCAAATACATAAATAAATGAAAACAGCCATGTCGCGTATCAGTTATAGATTAACCCTAGTCTAAGGTTTCACGGATGGCTGACGGACTTTATTATGTCTTGCTATGACAAACGTCAATAATACACAGACACCATAGAAATTGCCGATCAAAAATAGGGCGGCAATTTTCTGTTGAAATCATAGTAGATCAATTTTCAAGTAGACCAGTCATATAATTTGTCATTCCTTATTCAACAGACTCCTTAAAAAAGTAATTGCCCTAGAAAAATAAGTTTGACCCATTTTTGCGGGGTTTCGTTTGCGAAAACTATAAAGGATCAAAAGAAACATAAATAGCACAATATGATTTACAAGTAATTAAGTCAACATGGCCAAAATTGTCCCAGAGAAGTTGAAAATAAACTGAAAACGCCATGACAGAAAAAGAGACTCCTACAGGAGTTTAATTCCCCTGAATAAGGATTGTATCCATTTGGAGGGGGAGGCATTTTTATCAAACAACTATTGTAGTTATAAAGCAACTTTAAAGGCAAAGTAAAAGCTACAAATAAGTCAACATGCCCGAATTGTCGGATTTTTATATGATTGATTGCCCTGAAATAACGATTTTTTAATATTTTTTATTTTATCAATTATCTCCAAAAATTGATGGGTATGAACTCTTAACAGTGAAATTTATCATCAATACATATTCTAAAAAATAATCACTAAAAAAGATTTACAGAAAAGAAAAATAGCTTGATTTCAGTAAAGGTAAAAATATATAAAAATAAAATATTTATACAAGGAGAACGATTCAGACGCTCGGGAGCCTCTTGTCCTCACAAAAATTATATCAGTGCAATTACATTGCATCTGACGAAATGACCATTAAATATGACAAACTGTGTTCTTATAAACTCATTTAAGTGAATTCATAGTAAGGTTTGATTAAAATAAAAGGGGCAGAAATTGGTATGACAATATTTGGTCATATATTATGGCCAAGTACTGAATAACCTATAAATACAGACGATCATATGTTGTTATCTTTTTTTAAAAGTTTAAAAATACTCATCATTCATAAGTATTCTCTAAAGAAGTATAAAAATGTGGTTTTTGAATAATGACGTTTGCAAATAGACGACATGATAAAAATAGCTATATCAAAATTTCCTAGAAATCGTGTTAACAATTTTTTACATTAGATAGGTGAAATATTAAAACATTTTTTACAGATCATAACTATTACAAATATGTATTGTGAAAATACGCAAATGATTAAGTGGTGATTTCTACTGCGAAATTAGGTGAGTATTACTAAACATGGAAATTTGAATGGAAAAACACAAAGTTATATTATAACATCAAAGGAAGGTAAATACAAAGGAAATAATTCATAGACAATACAAAAGAGATGTAAATAGATCTGATTAACACAAATAAGCTGGGGAAATATTTGTGTCATAGAGTAAAGGTCAATGTTTTGTTTCGAAAATATCTAAACACAATATTTAGTCTCTCTTTATAGATAAAAGGTAAGCCTTTTTTTTAATTGATTAAGACATAAAATAAAAACCTAACATTTAAAAATCTTAATATTATAATTATCAAAATATTTAAACAATGCCTTTACTGAATGACTAATAATAAGTCGAACAAAAGAAAGCATCTATATTCCAAAAATATAACATCACTTGCTATATCAACTATAGAAATTAATCAATGAGTGTTATATTCCAGGTAATCAACATGAGCCTTTTGTCATGCATATCAAAAGTATAAGAAATGGACGACTTGACACAATGTTAAAAAACAACACAGTCAATCTTTGAAATCAGGTCATCACTTGATAATATAATTAACTAGCTACAAAAATAAACGATACCCAGAGTTTATAAAAAAATATTTATTTTATTATTCAACAACGTTAGTTTAGTTTTCTATTTTATAGAAAATAGCACAAAAGCATACAAACTTAACAAAGCATAGAGATCACAATTCATTTTCCTAATTGTACGGACTGTTTGAAGATGTCGTTGTTGAAACCAAAACTTGAAGAGTTAATAACGCATATGACCACCTCTTCCGTTAATAACAGCACTCACGCTACGATGCATTGATCTAATGAAGCGTTGAATAAATGCTTGTGTTATTCCACTCTTCGAGCAAGGCGGCTCGTAGCTGGTTGACTGACTCTGGTGGCTGATGACGTCTGCAAACACGTTTGTTAAGTTCGTCCCATAAATGTACAATGGGTGATAGATCTGGCGATAAAGCTGGCCATGGAAGAATTTCAATGTTATTCTGTCCAAGATATTGTGTGCATACACGTGCCACATGGCACCTATCATTGTCCTGTTGATAGGTATTTAGATTTCCATGTGTTGCAATGAATTGTTGTACAATTGGAGAGAGAATTTTGTCACAATAACAAACTCCAGTAAGACTTCCGTTGATAAACTTCAAGTCAGTGCGTCCACTATGCGTGCCACTACCACCAAAGCGATCATATTCGCGCACACATGCGTCTGCATAACATTCATTTTGGCATCTGTAAACTCTCATTCTGCCATCACTTCTACGTAACTGAAATCTTGACTCATTACGTTTAGCCACCGAACACGGTTCCAATACAAACGTGCGTTTGCCCAACGTAGGCGTGTAGTCCAATGACGTTGTTTTAGAATTGGTTCTACTACTGAACGTCATGAAGGTAAACCAGCCTCTCTTAGATTATTACGAACATTTTGGGCGGATATTTTTAGATTATGCCTCCAAGGTGTTTGTCTTGCAGTAATTGTAGCTGGCAAAAACCGATCCCTGAGATGTCTGAATCTTATTCGACGGTCTTGACGTAACGTCGTTTCTCTTGTTGTCTTGGACGTCCGCTACGTTGTCTGTCATTAGAGGATCCAGTCTGTCTCAAACGACTCATTACTGGTGTTATTGGCAATTTGGAAACACCAAAGTTTTTTACGACGTCAATATGACGCATAACTGCTTGTACCATTCCCATTGCTCTATCACGCTCATTTTGACGTAGACGATCGAGGCATACTAAGCCGGCTTTTTTATGTCATCTCCAATCACCTTTTGTTTACCTGTGTTTACCATATATTTAATTACCCTCATTAAATGCAAAACCCGTGTTCGTAAGACATTAATAAAGGCAACAGTTGTATACCGCTGTTAAATAGTCATAAATCGATTAATCGAAAACATATCCGGGTCAAAAACCAAAACCGATTGAAACACATCAACTATAACATGTATAAGAGGAAAACAACGAAACAACAGAAACACTGAACTGCTACAAAAACAAACGCCAAGATACATAAAAAAAGACTATTTGATAACAACTGCAATATTCCTGACTTGGTACAGGAAATTTTAAGAAAAATGGTGGGTTGAACCTGGTTTTATGGCTAGCCAAACCTCCCGCTTATATGGCAATGTTAAAAATACCGCTAACATAACAATATTACGTGACAGGAATACAGTACAAATAAACGAAAGAACACGCAGGACAGAAATACATAAATAAATAATATAATAGTAAATGTGGTTCCGCTAAAAATTCAAAAATACGCAAAAATGACGTTATTTTCCGGTAAAACTAAAACTAAAGTACAGTAACATACATACTTATGACTGTTTTCGAACATACAGCTAGTGGTAATGAATTATTGTTTGGTAATGAAAATTATTATGAAAAAAGATTTGGTATAGTTTCTTTTTTTTTCGTTATTTAAGGAATGACTGTAATATTTTTTCTGTCTATGAAGAAATATCATCGAAAATGTGGTGCACACTGAATAACCGGCGTAGCAGGTTATTTAAAAGTGTGCACCACATTTTTTTATGTTATTTCGAATAGACAGAAAAAATATTAAAGTCATTCCTTATAATTTAATTCTAAAAAGGAGTAAATAATGATAAAAACGTTGATGACGTCGCGGTCACATGACAAAATTGTGTCTATGAGCTGATAGACAAACCCTTTCAGCCAATCAGACGACGCGTTACATCCACAATTAAATTATTATATAATACGTTCATATGTAGAACATAAGATTCTTTCATCTTTACAATAACTTGTTGATGGGAAATGTGTTATTGTGGCAAATAAGAGGTAAACGAACATAGAAAAATGCGGGTTGAAATCACCCCTTTGCAGATAATGCTTGAAAATAAGCAAACTGTGATGAAAATGTGTCAGTGTTATGTACATTCAGTCATCAAATGAGAATTTACGAGCGAATTATCTTTAAATACATACCGTCGCACAACTGATAAGAAACAAAAAAATGGATAAAATGTAATACCTGCACGGTCGACTGGCCTATAGGACAGCTGTAAATCCTATTTAGATAGGTTTAAGTTGATATATCTGCTTGATAAAAAAAAATATTACTGATATTCAATATTCAGCACAGAAGAGACTTATTATGTATAATATAAGATAAGAAGATGTGGTATGATTGCCAATAAGACAATTAAAGGTCATCATACGGCCTCTTACAATGAGTAAAACCCATACCGCATATATAGTAAGCTACAAAAGGCCTTGACATAACAAATGTAAAAAAACAGAAAACTTAACGGCTTCATTTATGTACAAATCAATAAACGAAAAACAGATATGATAAACGGCAGCAAACGACAACCGCTGAATTACAAGCTCCCTGACTTTGGAAAGGCAAATACAGAATGTGGCGGGGTTAAACATGTTTGCTGACGCTCAACCCTCTTCTTAACCTGATGCAGTGGTTTAACAGTATAACATATGGACAAACTATAAAAATCAGTTGAAAAGCGCTTTACTTTATCAGATCGATAGAAAGCACATGCGAATGCAACAAAAGCACAAAAGAAACAAAGAAAAGATCTCAGAGAACTAGTAGTTACTGACAGATTTTAAGCCAATTACAACTTCAAAAAAATCATGTGTCTAAAACTAAAATGTCAATCAGCACACATGCAACATCCAATGGATTTACTGCAACGACGTCTGTAACAGTTAAACAAAATGACCTTGTGAAAGGCCAAAATAAAGGTATCGACAGATTGTAGAACCATGAATGTACATAATATGTATAACAATAATATTTAGTTTTCTTATTTAATAGGAGAAAATGGATTTGGAAAATCGGTTGAAGGAAGAGGTACGTTTATATTTTTTTTGTATTATCATTGATTGGATATCAGAAAAACAGTAGCCGTGGGATGGGATTTTGATATATATCCCGTTTGTGTATTTTTTTAATATGATATGTACTAACGGCGACAATTATGCAGCTGTATACTCTGCAAAATTAACACTTTCGGAACATAGAGCTCAAAATGATTAAATATCTTTAAACGGTTACAACAGCCCAAAAACAATACTGAAAACGACAGTGGAAATGGATAAGCGAAATACCAAAACGAAACGAAAAATGAAAGGAATGTCCCTAGTCAGAGACTTTTTGATAAATCATATTCTAGATTTTATTTACTGTTTATAAAATTTAAAAATCATACTAAACAATACGGTTATTTCTACCCCAAGTCATAGATGTCCTCAGCCATATCTGAAACCTTTTAGAGTGTTTTTTTAGTGTTATATAAACAAAACGGCGTCTGTTGTAATGAACCTTGTAAGATTTGTTTTTAAAGGCAAAACAAATATTTGACCACAGTAATTGTTGAATTCTATATCATAACACCATCTGCAATCTAAGTTGTTTTAATGTTGTTGTTTTTTTCTTTTTAAGGTTATTGCTATGGAACAGACTATTCGTGCATTAAATAAAACTCAAACAGAAATTTTGTATCGTATGACATCGAATCGGTGAATATTTTATATTTAGTATTTGTTAAACGTACATTTTTGTTGAGACACGATACTGCAATGCATTCTGTGATTTGAGTTCAGCGACATCATAAGTATATACCTATTATTTTGAAAGTTATCCTCACGCCGATAATGGTAATTTTTGAGAATTTGAAATTGAACTTAAAACGAAAACTCGTAAACTTACGTTAAAATCAGATTGTAATGTCTTATTTCCTAAATAACATATGTTTGAAACGGTCATTAATAATTGTAAATTTATCTTTAAATGTTTTATGGTATAACATGTATAACTTCGCAGAAAAATGCAATTGTATATCTTAACTCTAGATAATGTTTTAGTGAGGCTTGGTCGTCAAATACAGCTGCTGCTTCGAATAAAATTCAACGTAAGTATATTTATTAGTAACAGATTAAATGACACAAGGGATTTTACGTGTTGTTTTCATTTTGTTTAATATTGTATTTATATTTAACTTAATTTGTACAGTAAAGTTAAATTGTAAACTATAAATTGTATACAACATCAATTCAAAATTATTTTTTGTTAGCGTTTTTATCAAATTTACTATCAACTACAAAAATGTTTTTGTTGGCGTCTTTGTTATATTTGTCTGTATGTATTTTTAAGTCAGTTGTGTTGAATGTCTGTGTTTACATAGTTTTGGCTGCTGGATCCCAATTATTGTCACATAAACCTATTATGTCTGTTTGGATTGCTCAACCACCTTTGTCAATACAGCGGAACTATAAACTACCGTCATACAAGTGGGAGGTTTAGCTAGCTATCAAACCTGGTTTAACTCAGAAAATGCCTGTACCATAAAAGTAAAATAGCAAAAATACCGAACTCCAAGGAAATTTCAAAACAGAAAGTCCCTTTACAAATGGCAAAATCAAAAGCTCTAACACATCAAACGAATGGACAACAACTGCCATATTCTTGACTTGGTACAGGCATTACCAAGTCAGGAATATTATAGTTGTTTTCCATTCGTTCCGTTGGTTGATAAAGTCTAACGTTTGATTTTGTCAGATTTTATAGACTTCCCAATTTTTGAATTTACATTGAAGTTTGATATTTTTGTTATACTTTTTTTTACTCAAAACTTATCCGTAACTTGTACAAATATCAAATGTGTTTTATGTTTAAGAGCTTGCAAAATATGTGCAAAAAGTAGAAACACAAATTCTGCAAGATACGAACAAGTTAGACAAAGTAACCAATCAGATCGCCACTTTGTTGAAGAAAAGCGATAAAGTAAATGTACTTGTAGACTCTATAAGAAGTAATGCTACTTTTGAAGGAGTTGTTGGTGAAAATTATAATACCGTTTCAACCGCATCACCAACTGATATTACAAGCCAAAAATACACATTAGTTAATAAAGAAAACAAGGAATCAAGGATAAGTGTTATGGATAAAATACTATCATTACCAAGTGAATCACCAGTCGAAGAAAATAATGAATACATGGCAGGCGATGAATGTTTTGGTAGTAATACATTTGAGAGGCGTATTGAAAATGACATCACCAATTGTGGGAATGACAAAACAAATAAAGTAATAAAACATCGTGTCTCTAGCATTGTTCTTGAAGAAACTCTTCATGTTCGAATCGATAACAATTCACTCAAAACTGTGGAAAGTAGAAATTATAAAACAAATATGACCAAAGCTTCAATATCTGATTTTGAAAATCTGCATAAAAAAGATAGTAAAGAAAATATTCAAAGGGATACATCCATTGAAAATGACAACCAAATAAAAAGGCTTTCAACTGAAAGTTCATCTTATAATGATAATAGCGAAAAGCAGAGCAAACAAATAATTCAAACCAAGACTAAAATAATGGAAAACGGGTATAAAAGTAAATCTATGGAAATACAACATGACAACCGTGTACGTTATCATAGTAAACATGAATGTTTCGAAGGAACAACTATTAATAACATTCTAAATATGGACCTTGAGAGAGAAGAATTCATTCCGCCAAATATTAAACCAGAAGAAACGTTACTTTTCACACAAGAAAGGTTAGTATTATATGATACATATCAACAAAACCTAATATGTGCCGTCAAGTTTTAGATAATGAATAACTTTACCAAGAGATGTGAATACAGTAGTTAATACAATGGATTTATTTTTAATATAATGTTTGGGCCTGTACCAATTTATATTGCATCAATATGTAACTTGTTGTACCTGGACATGTCATATACATTTCAAGTAGCAACACATTTTGCTAAAATAAACTTCATTGCAAAAGTTCTGATAAGAAATGCACATAAATCAGGTGGAGTCTATATCTCTACTTAACCGAACTGTTAAACACCGTCTAGAGACATCTGCGAGGATGTAATAATAAGTTAACCTAGTATTCCATAGATGTACCTCGTCTGACTTTATAGAGAAATAAAATATTATAGTCCACTTTTCAATTCTACATTTGTGCTTTTCGGCTCTTTTTTGATTGTTAGCGAAAGAGATTTATTTGATTCAAATTGTTAAAAACCAAAGACATAATATCATGAATATTGTCTAAACTCTATTTCATAACAATATTCTGTAAAATCTGAATATGTGTAACAACGGAATTGATTTGTTAAAACAAATACATAATTTTGCGGATATCTATTGAAAATTATAATGATAATTAATATATTTTTTTTAAAGTTAATAATGATAATTAAACTTAGCATAAGCATAATAAATCTATGGCAAAAAATGAATGTTTTGATATTTTTAGGTTCAAAACACCAAGACGTCGGAGAAGAAGATCGCTAGAGGAAGACAGTTGTGTTTGTGGTATGTTTAATGCAAGAAGTACATGTACCTATCGTATTTAAATAAAACGTCAGATTTTTACATGTTTAATACATATACTACAGCATGACGAAATAGTGAAATATATGATCATAATGTGCATTTAATTTTTCTTGAAATCTCTAATGATATCGAACACAAGAATGATTGTTAGTCTTTAACACTCAAAAATGCTATTTCACGACGATTAAAATAAAATGGATAATATATCATAATGAACATTAAATTATCGTAAAGTGTTTGCATGTTAAACTATTAGTGAAGACCGCTAAATGATCCAACATTTTGAAAAGCTGCTGGATAGGTATTTTTCGAGGACTGACTAGCCGTAGAAGACGGCTCAAATTTCAATTATTCAAGAAACATAAATATTGCTAAAAATAGTAATAATGATAATTATAATATCTTTTAGGACTTCTTGATGTTGATCAACCAAGAACAGTCCGAGAATGGCTACATTATACCAATCAGATGAGAGCCCATGGTCAGTATTTATAGTGCATTAATGCAATACAAAAATTGCTTCTTTTATTGTTTATCCCTTTTGTTTTTATATAATTTAATATTCATCTACTTATCAACATTTGAATGCAAATGGGGATAAAACATTCAGTCGCTCACAAAGAAGATTAGTATTGACTTACGATATGAGCATTTGTATGACTCTGTCATCCTATTTTGTTTTAAAAAAAACTCATCATAGGTACCAGGATTAAAATTTAGTACGCCAGACGGGCGTTTCGTCTACAAAAGCTAAGTGGTGCTGAAAATAAAAAAAATAAAAAAGTTAAAAAGACCAAAAAAAAGTACTTTTATACTTTGTTTAATATGTAAACTCTACTAAGATTCGAGTAAAACTAGTAACTTTTTTCAATACTATTTTTTTCAGCTTCAGCAAGAGTGATATCAGGAGTAGTAAAACTTGGAAGATCGCAAGATGTTATTCTTGTGTTAGATACTTCGGAACGTATGACAGGATATTTCCAAAGATTGAAATCGGCCGCATTACAATACGTGTATGGTAAGACTAGGATAGCACGGTTTATATATCAGCAAGCAAAATACGTTTTTACGTTCAATGTTTGTGATCGTTCCTTGATTAGACATATTTTGTATTGTTTCATATATATCACCAGATACTTGCATTTCATAGAACACAGTGAACTTGAAATAAAGGATGATAACGAAACTAAAAAACATTGTTTGATATTTAGATCTTTTTGATAAAATAAACACATTTTCCCAAACTTTTATTTGTTCCGGCATATCTTATATTCCAGTTAATTGAAATTATTGATACTTCAGAAACAAGAAGATCTGCTTCGTTTCTGAATCTCTTTTTTGAAAATAACAGACAGGGACAACTATATATATATTTCTTGATCACGCTTCTTTTGGAGTTTATGCGATTCCATAATGTATTTTTGTGTTTGTTAATTAAAATAAATCGTGGACACCAGTAAACAACCGCCATTTTTATGATTATTATCATTACTATTATTATTATTATTATTATTATTATTATTATTTACATATATAATTAAAAGTATACAATTATTATCATTATTATTATTATTATTATTTACTAATATAATTAAAAGTATACAAAGTACTAAAGTAAATAAATGGAGCGTTTACATTTTTTACTGAGCACACATTCGTTTAATATTTTGTAGGCATCAAACAACAATGCGACTGTACAGAAATGGATAATGGAATCGGTCTTGCAACTTTTGGAAGGCAAACTAGGCTTATTCAAGAAGCAACTAATGATTATAACTCGATTATAGAATTAATAGGTAATATCATAAAATGAGCAGTTTGAATAAGAAAAGCCTTAAAAGTCGAACATAAACATTACAATTTTTCTTCTGTGTGTGATCCAAGAGTAACGATTTTAAAACCTGCTCCAGAGGAATGGAAAATTCATCATAGGGAAGCTGAAATCATCTTTTAAATTTTCAACTGACCCTGAATGTCCATTTCTAGATGTAATTCGAGATATGAGGCAGACGTAACTTTATCTGTGGTATCCTTTATTTCAAGTTCGATGAAATAGATGCATTCAAAATAATCACCAAACTTTTAATAATTAAGTCATCTATATAGCGGAACTTGCACTTTTTATTCGTAAAAAAAAGTATAAGTGTATTTGGAACACTAGTAATAAGGTTTGTCAAATGTTTTTTTTTCAATATAGTTTTATTACTTTAAAGGAAAACTAACACCAGATGGGGATGCTCCTCTCATTGGAGGACTTCTTATGGGTTTTGCAGGTGTAGTATCATGTATGTACAATAAGATTTATAAATATAAAGGAAGTATGTCGAATGGTAGATTGAACACATTTAATCAAATGGACTCCAAAAGGACAGAAAAATGTGTTGACAGTGTAGGCATCTCCTGTTGTATAAAAATAAGAAGATGTGGTATGATTGCCAATGGGACAACTCTCCACAAGAGACCAAATGACACAGAAATTAACAACTATATGTCACTGTACGGCCTTCAACAATGAGTAAAACCCATACCTCATAGTCAGCTATAAAAGGCCTTGAAATGACAAATGTAAAACAAGAAAACGAGAAAACTAAAGTCCTGATTTATGAACAAAATAATGAACGAAAAACAGATATGACATACAGCAACAAACGACAACCACTGAATTACAGGCTCCCGACTTGGGACAGGCACAAATAGAATGTACATGTGCAAGAAACATTTGATTCAATCTGATGTAACCATATCTGAGACTGAAAATGCACCACCAGCGGTAACGACAAATTGTTAGGAAAGGCAAAAATATAAATCATAGCAAAGTTGAAAAATGGATAAAAAATTAAGCATTCAACTTTGCCTTAGGGAGGTTCAACCTCAGCTTAATCACAAATATATGACTTACGAATATGAAATTTAAAGATTCAATATATCATTTGAATCAAGCCAAGACAAAAGCACTCTGGCTACTCGACTAATTATACCATCAGGCAATAATATTCCACCATTACCGTGTGTACGACAAGTGTTTCTTGAATAAAAATCATAAGGTGTGCTTGAGATTTAAGCTTGAAAAGTCAAAAAATCAGAATTTGAAGAGGTTTAAACCAAAACGTCTTACAAAATCATATATTTATGATTTAATGTTCAACTCTACAAATAACAGAATGGTTGAAGTACAACAGTTACTGTGATTTGTTTATACGTTCACTTAGAGTACAAAATATAACCAAAGGACACATTTCTTTCTTTCGTTCACAAAAAGGTAGATTAGGCTACTCTCATGATATAGCAATACAGGCGCATATGATTGTTTTCACGGATGGATCTTCAGCACAAGATATGCCCTCAGAAGATGATAATGATGACAATACGTTTTCTTTCCAAACTTTACGAGTACGTATAAATTTGAAAAAAAAATATGATTTGTCTTCCTTTCTTCTCGTTATATATACTTGATGTTTGTATATTATTCAGTATCTGAAAGTATCCTCGATAGCAAAAAACAATAAACAGCATCCGTTATCACCAAACCAAAATCTATGAATTGATACATTAATGATAGAGGCCATCGACTTCTCACAGGAGATTTTCCGAAAAATGACAATTTTGACTGTTATCCTAAAAAAAGGTTAAAAATAAAGAGAAAGCTTTTGCATCAAACAAGATAATCACGAACGGATTTACACTAAAAATCAAGATGATTAAAATTGTCAATTAATTCATACATTTCTCTTTTGTATTTCTGGCTATAACCTTGATAAACAAAACAAATGGGGAGAGGCTGTAATCAGCAAGTATTATCAAGAAAACAAGATCTCTAAGAAAAATTAAATTTTGGAGAATATCGTCATTAAATGACTTTACATTTTTTTACACAATGTTCAAGTGGAACTGGTTCAAACCTGGTCACAATCTTAATTAGTGTGTGACAGGAGACTCTCTCTGTTGCTAAGGGTTTTAGTGAAGCACATTCAAGTTCTGGTAGCCTTTAGTTTAATTGGTTTATTCATTGACTGATTATACACATTATTTTAGGTAAAACCGGATATCAATGGTGTAATGGATATTATAGCTTCCACTACTACAAAGATATTCTATGTACCTGTCGGAGGAAACCAACGTAACATCGTTTGTATAAAAATCAGTCTTGTTACATGGTAACAGATATTGGAGTATACGTCAATAAGACAAACACTTAAGAACAAATAACTAAAGGTATCTATAGGTCAACAAACAGGTTTCAACAATTGGTACTGGTCTAATGGTTATTTCGTAAATGTCAACAAATTCAATAGTACATCTCTCATATTTTCGAAGAAAGAATGTAAATGTTTACATTCAGAGCCATTGATTCAATAGCTTCCGTTTAACCAGCGACACTCTTGAATTTCATTATGTGTGGCAAAATGTGCTAATCATATTCTATATTCTATAGAACCGACAATAGTAAAGTTGAAGGACAAAACTTGCTCCTTTTGATTTACCTTAAAATGTTCCTGTATAAAGCCTGTGGCATAGGGACAAGAACCAAACTAACACAACAAATATGTAGTCACTAACGTACTTTCATACTCAGTTAGAAAAAAAAATTATGTAAACCAGTTATTAGGATATCTTGTGTTATGATTTTTTTTAATCACAAATCCTGTCTTTTCTAATATCTGTCAAGTTTACGATTTGGTTTCACATATACATAGATGTAAGAAGATGTGGTATGAGTGCCAATGAGACAACTCTTACACTGAACTGCGGCCATGCTTAGCGAAAGGACGTGCAACATAATCAGTCAAACAAACTTTATTAGATTAACTCGTTAAGGAACGATTGTTTTCATTGGTCAATTTAAACCTTCGACCTCACACCTGCGAAAATAGAACACGCGTACTATAAAGCTGAATGGACTGATCAGTATTCACGTAGCCGGTCAAGGTCGTTAAAAACTTCTATCGTCGTATTCACGTAAATGATTGTGTTCTTGATTATCCCATCGCAATTCTAGCTTTTATACATGTGCATGTAAAATTTTAAACTTTAATCTTAATAGTCACGTCGAAATATTTAATTCAACTGTCTCCTCTCAATTGGTTCTGGATTAAGGGGGCTACCATTTTATTTTGATTGGGGGTGGGGGATTTGGATGAAACATTTTGTCCTGCATTTTTTTTAGTTGTTATCTCTGTCCTGTCTTTCTTTTTTTCAGTCTGTTAGGTCCTGACTATATTTTTTAGTTTATCCTGATTTTTTTACATAAATCGTCATCCTGCCTTTTTGTATTCCAAGTTGCTCACCCTGCCTTATCTTTTATTCAATGGACTTGATGAATTAACGTTGTACTTAAAATGAAATCGTACTTAACTACAAAAATAACCAAATTACATACTAAAGATATTGCTCGATTTTTATAGTAAATGGGTTTGTGTAATAAACTGTCATGTTCATTATTCATATTCTTTCATAAGTTTTAGGATAGTGTGATTTTTTTTCTGATTTAGTTTACTTGATTTTGAAAAAAAAATCCCGAAATTCTAAGTAAATTCAGAACATGTAACCAGCCATGCTTTGTTTAGAGAAAAAATGGAGATGGCAAACCATGGCACAGTGGAAGGAAATGTACTTTATAAACTCTAACGATATACTTCCTTAATTTATAATTAACTGTTTTGCTATCCTCGGTTGAAAATTATATATTGTAAATATTTAAATAGTTGCATAGAAAACAATCAGTTTTAAACAGTGTGGTTATTCACTAAATGTATTGATAAAAGGTGACTCCATTTTTGTACATACTTTTACAGTAGTCATCCTTAATTTCTTAATATTTCGTTTATAAGTTTATCATACATGTATGATTTTGTATTTCATTTTAAATACGCACGCATGCCACACGTTACTTTGGCGGATAGTTCAACAATGTTATGCAAAGCTCTATTCTTACGGTATGAAATTTAAGGATAAATTTTCAACCAATTGAAATCGAAAACAGTACATTTATATAGTTCCTTATAAACTACGACATTTCGCATAAGTATTTATTTATTTTTTAGTTCCACACATGCAAAAATAAAATCTTCGCCGATGAAACATTTCAAACCGTTTTACACTAACATGCCTTCACTGAATTCATTTGAATTTCGTGGTGACTATGATAGTACATTGCATAGTACATCTATATTCACGTGCACACATGATACGATCTTTCGGGGACAATTTGCTCGTTTATGACACGTTATTTCATAATGACCAAACGCTTAGCTACTTTATTTTCGTTTTATAGCATGAAAACAATAAAAAAGGAATGTGCAACCCATCATAAATTTGAAATGGATCAGTATTATGAGATCCTTATTATAAGTAACTACGACATTGTCAGGATAATAACCTAGCGTCAATATGAAAGAAATTAAAGTGGTTCATACATTCATCCGTATAAAAGCGGCACATGTATTTTATTTTATCTTTATATTTTTCATAGTGCGGTACAATTGCTGCATGCATAAAGAATATTACTTAACACAAATTATTAGTATAATTTTTCGACCCTACTATTTGAAATTCACAAAATACGTATCTAATTATTTCAACTAAACATCATTGTTTTTTACGTTCGTAGTAACGTAGTACATTCAATTGTCGGTCACCTGTGTCAATTCACGTGCACACTACAATTGTTGTTGTATTTAAATCTTTCGGCCAATGAAATGAGACGTTACAAGTTGTTTGTTTGTGATACGCCAGAATGTTATCAATGAATTATCAATAGCTAAACTTGACTGCATTTCAGTGTAATCCAAGTCAAAATTTGTAAAGGTAAACCATTATAGGTAAAAGTACGGCCTTCAACACGGAGCCTTTGCTCACACCGAACAGCAAGCTATAAAGGGCCCTAAAATGACTAGTGTAAAACCATTCAAACAGGAAAACCAACGGTCTAATCTATATTAAAAAAAAACGAGAAACGTGAAACACTTATGAACCACATCAACAAACGACGACCACTGAATATCAGATTCCTGACTTAGGATAGGTGCAAACAAATGCAGCGGGTTTAAAAGTTTTAATAGGCGCCAACCTTTACCTTACCTGAAACAATAGTATAACATCACAACATAGAAAGACACACTATAAAATATCAATTGAAATGGCTTTACTCAATCAAAAGACATATTAACAAAAACAAGTGAACATACACTGAATGAATAAATTTGATCTATGACACAATGTAAATACAAAATTAATAAAACAAGGGGGTTAGATGTTTAACAATATCAGAAATACAACCATAACCTTGGACAAAATGCCGCTAAATGACTTTTTCAACATACGTATTTTCTGGAAAAAATGATTTGAAACATAATTTTCTAAGAAGTATTAAAAAAAGTTGTCATCTTTTAACTTTACGGTCTGCTTTATATATGTTGTCCTTCGACTTAATAATTGAAACTTTAGAGACTGGAATGATTGCATAACAACTTGAAATTAAAGGTACCACAGATACAGTTAATATAAATAAGAAGATGTGGTATGAGTGCCAATGAGACAACTATCCATCCAAGCCACATAGGTAACCAATTGTAAAATTAAGTGCAATCACTCTATAGGATGATACTTTGACTTTTTGTTATACACACATAGCATGGGGTTTTCGTCGATGTAAATAAACGAGTTCAGATAAATTTTGCATTAGATCGCATGTTGATTTTTTTTTCCAAATATAGTATCTGCTGTTAAAATTTATATTTCTGAGAAAAGCATCATATTTTCAGATTTTGGAACAGGCTATGAGGAAAACAAAAGGAAAAATTATTCAAGACAGTGAAATTGGTAGATTGACCATGATGAGCCAAGTTATGGTATGGTTATAAATTAATATATGCTCCCATCATGTTGTGAGTCGTGTAAGAGTTCTTGGAATATCCTATTCACAAATACGAGGCTGATTTTTACAATATAAAAAAATTAAGTGAATTTCCAATTTTTATATAAAATTTACAGGTAATTTTAACATGTATAAGCTATCAAATTCATGTTTATCGATTTAACTAAAATTCTAATATTTGATTTATACATGTTATGACATACCGTATATTCAAATTACAAAAAGTCTACAAAAAACAATAAACAATGCATTGTAAAAATATTTCCTTTCTCTATTTGAACTGTACACGTATACCTAACAACAAAATTATTTTCATTTACATGTGTTTAAAGTTATTGCAAATGGCTGATATTTTTGTTCAAGCATATTGTTTTTCCAAAATTGTTTAACATTTCACAGCGGTATAACATGTTACTTTAATTATTCTTCCCTTAGTTTGTTTATTTTGTATTTACATTGTATCATAGATCAAATTTATTTGTTCAGTGTATGTTCACTGGTGTTAATATGTCTTTTGATTGAGTTAAGCCATTTCAATTGTGTTTTATAGTGTGTCTTTTTATGTTGTGATGTTACACTATTGTTTCAGATAAGGGTGAAGGTTTTGTACCATTAAAACGTTTAAACCCGCTGCAATTTATTGCACCTGTCCTAAGTCAGGAATCTGATGTTCAGTAGTTGTCGTTTGTTTATGTGGTTCATAAGTGTTTCTCTTTTCTCGTTTTTTATATAGATTAGACCGTTGGTTTTCCCGTTTGAATGGTTTTACACTAGTAATTTATGGGGCCCTTTATAGCTTGCTGTTCGGTGTGAGCCAAGGCTCCGTGTTGAAGACCGTACTTTGACCTATTATGGTTTACTTTTATAAATATTGACTTGGATGGAGAGTTGTCTCATTGGCACTCATACCACATCTTCTTATATCTATTGACTTGTCATAATGTATCAGCATTTCGTAAGTATCTAAGACTAGACGCCGTTTAACTAACTATCGAGATAACTTTTGAAAAATGGCGATGATCTATTGATATTTTCCAAAACATTACCTGATATAAACATAAATATAATTACACAGACAAGCACATGCAATCGTTTATTGTCGATTTTTCTTAATCTGTTTGATTTCATGTCATGGACTTAAAACGTTTTGTTTGATGAATTAGTCGCCGAAATTGATCTTCCATTGGGCTCTCTTGTTTCACTTTTCAACGTTAATAGTCTTTCCTTTTAACTGAACACGCTTAACGCATGTGCAACCATACTTAACTTTTAATACATTGTGACTTGGATGGGGAGTTGTCTCATTGGCACTCATATCACATCTTCTAATTTATATTAAGCTAAGTGTCAAAATAGGTCGCATGCATACGGATTCAAATGAAGTTGTATAACTGATTTGCAAGCTTATAATAAAATAGACAATAAAGATATTGGCATTATTGAATCTAAGCGACTGCAAATGGCGGATGTTTTTTCTAATAACATTCCGCTTTTAGAACTGTTTGACTGGGAAAACAACAATCATGATTTAAATGTTTGTTTAAATAGTAGCTAATGCCACCTTAATATATCTTTGTCAAAGCAATACTCGAACTGATTTTAGCTAATAAAAAGGAAAAATAAGATATTTAATCCTTACTACTTAGTACTTGAAAGACAGGTCTTCTTTATTTAAGATACAATGTGCTGAAAACTACTAGTTTGTAATATTGCCCTCTCTTTACGATCAATGATTATTACAGTTTTCATAACAAGTCATCAGAACTGGGTGTCGCTTGATATGAAATTTGGTTATTTAATTTCAATATAATAATAAATGGACAATATGAGAGTATAAATTAATTTTTATTGAAATTATATAACGGAAGCCAGACAGCTGACGTTTTCAAGCTTGTTGTTAGCTTCGGAATAGAATCAAATTTGTAAAAAGGAATATATATACCAAGAAAAAAATTTAAGTGTTTTGTATCTTATTAAAAAAACACAAAACGCCGTTGCCAAAGAGAAATTGTGACCGTTGAAAGTTACCATTGACCTAATGAAAAGCCAAAGGAAATGTCGCAATCGTTTAACATGTTCCAGGATAGGCAAACCATACTTACACAGTTTTCGTGTCACTTATTCATATAACACTACGTTTAATGTTATACGAGAAATATCCCTTCATGCGAAAAATAGATAACAGGCTTACACATAAAAAAAATCATACAAAAAACATGATATTCATAGAAAATATATGAATTAATTTTATTTGAAATTTCAAAAACATGAAATTCATCATTACCTCGTACAAACGTAAATTAGAATTGAATTAGCAGGTTAAGCAAATACAATAGATAATGACTGTAGTTTTGCCTTCGCAGCATTTAGGCAAACTCCTTCGGATTTTGGGGTCCGCAATGCTCTTCAACTTCGTACCTTATTTGGTCCTTTTATAAACATTTTTATTCGAGGGTCTCTGATGCGTCTTTTGAAGACGAGGCGCGCGTCTGCCGTATGACATTTAAATCATTGTATCTCTGATTTATTTATTTGTAAACTTGTTTATTACAAAATTTCATCACCCACCATGCAAATCCAGACCCGGTCTTGTCTTCCAATGAGCGAAATCAAACAATTGAAATATTTCTAAATGTCATTTCAAATTTCTTATCCTGCTTATAATAATTTAGCATTCATAGCGTATGTCGATGGATACCGAAAATTTTAATCAATACCCAATTTAATTCCATTCACAAAACATGCAAAAGGATAGAAATGATGAAATTGCTATCATTATAGATGTATTCTTTTAATTTAGCTTTGTGGATTAAAAGTTGTCTTTTATCGTTAAAGCTACTGGCAATAAGCATAGCATCAGAAATTAGATATTCAAAAGATCAAAGCAAAGAAGTTATCAAGAGGAAAATGGCAGAAAGATCAAATTATAATGATATACATGTAAGAAAAGAAACACTCTTTATGTCTTCGTTTAGTGTTGTCAAGCTACTTGGTCAAATACAGTCAAGTAAATTTGTTCATGGCGGTCAAGTAAAATTTATTCTAGCCGCGAAGCACATACATGTAAAATATAATGTCCTTGAAAATACATCTGGACACAGTAGTAGTCAAATGGCAAAATTTGGGTACTTTGCTAATTTGAATAGTGGCAATATTTCCTTAAAATGAGGACTGCCACTACAATATAATTATACATGCCCTTACAAATGGCAATATGCCAATTTCTGAGTCCAAATATAGGTGAATTGAACATGTTTTTTTTGCCTTCTGTTAGTTTTCAAATGACCATTGTCTATTTTGAAAACTTTCGGCCCTTTCAGTTTGAATTCGGAAGCATAACCGTAGTTAATTAACCATTGATAACCGAAAAATCCTTTTTCCTTAAAATTACACAACATATTTGCAAACATCCGCCACAGAAAGTTTTTGAAGACAAGTAAGTTTTAGATCCAAGACGGGAAAATACGGAATTATCCGCAAATGCGATATAATTTATATTTTCAATCTACAACTAAGGGAAATTATTTAATCAAAAGGGCTTACATCACGTGGTACAAATCATATGAATAAAGTACGTAGTAGGTTTTTGCCATATGTTATACCGAAACATACTGAATTTGCTATGTTCGGAACTATATTTGAAAGCAAATCTTGAATATTCGTTAAATACCTAGTCCATATTCATATGAATCATATTGTGCACCTAAAAAATGAAATTCTTCATCATTATTTAGTTTTTGTCGCATTTATTGCAGAGATTATAGAAATATGATTAATGATTCAAATGACATTAAGAAATATTCATGTTCGATGTATCCATAAAAATCAAATAAGCACCATGTTATAAACGCAATATATATTTTTCAGGATGACTGTCTAGATATGGTTCAAGATTTTATCAACCCATTAAGGTTTGAAACCATGCGAGGGAATTATGTGGAATTAAATTGTAATACACTTCAACTAGGAGATAGAGTAAGACGTGGTCCTGATTGGGCTTATGATGATCAAGATTTGGGTCTTCCAGGAACTGTTGTTGGACAAGATCGAAACGGTATGTCATATAAAAAGAGGAAGAAGATATAAAAAGAGCATTATAAAACCCTTCAATCGAATAAAAATAGACAACACAATTGCCAAAGGAAAACACAATTAAAAGACAAATAAAACAATACTACATTACAAAATTCAAGATTAAGCAACACAAACCCTACGATATACCCAGTTATGAACTCAGGTTCTCCAAGAGTACTGACCCATTTTTTAACCTGCCCTGTTGCTCATGGCAATTTAAATTTCGTGATAGGTCGCATTCAGTGATGTCACAATCGAGGAAAAGAAGGTGTATTGTAAGTCGTCATGTTATTCCATATCTGTGAACCGAATTGTGACGACATCCGTAAAAATGTCAAAATGATTACTTCATCTGGCTACAAAATGTAGTACAAACTTGACATTAAAATAAACAGAAAGGGTTGTTCAAGTAAGCCTACACAGTTTTTTTTATTATTTTTAGATTTAGTTTCCATATTGATGAATACCCCACATACCCCTTTATTCTTACTTGATCTATTCATCACTATGCTGTTACCATTTTCAAATTATATCCCATTATTTTGATTGACAGGAGAAAATGTTGATACTTAAATGGTATGCATTGCTGCTGCGTTAAGTAATCGATAGGGGCTACGTTAATCATTTGAAAAATAGGATATTAAGATAATTAATGATACCGAATCTGAAAAAAGACTACAGATAAAAAAAAAATAACAGAAAGAAATATGAAACAGTATATAGAAACAATCCAATCTTATCTGTTTGTTTACTGTTTTCATAAAAGTATCTTTCAGCAATTGATTATTCGAACCTTCTTTTCCTATAAATGTTATAAAAAACATTATTATTATTTCCTTATTTAGACTGGATTTGGGTAGAATGGGACCATGGACACAGGCTAACATATCTATATGATGAGCAAATGGATAGATATCAAGTCCGAAAAGTAGATGAAGCAAGAATACTTGTCAATGAGATGATAGCAGTCGGTTGTAGAGTTGTTAGAGGTAAAGTTATGATTTCAGTGATATTATTCTGAAATATATAGAATTACATTATGAACCAAAACGTATGATACCAACCTCAGTGCGCATGACACATGTAGTGTTTAAATAACCGTTGTCTGGAACATCAGTCAAAACCTTTTTAGAAATGGAGATTTATGATTTCGACATTTTCTGTACTTTCTACCACTCCTAACTGGAAATAATTTCCACAATACAAATCACATTAAAACAATATTCTGAAGAAAAGTGTTTTTAATGCATATTTTAATAAATAACTTTAATTTCTTTTCGTGATTAAGATAAATCGCCTTATCCGTTCTGAAGACAACTACACATGTACACTTGTTTGTTTGATATTCAATAACACACAGGTCAAGATTGGGAGTATGAAGACTATGACGGAGGTGAAGGTTCTTTGGGAACTGTACTTCAAGTGAAAGATGAAGGCAAGGTTGTGGTAAGTGTTGTCTGTTAATATATACAATCTTTACGTTCAGGTCAAAATATGTATTTTAGCATTATATAGAAAAAATGATAACCCTTGAATTTAGCTCTATTTGTTCTACTGTTGGAGATACATTTTTAGCTCACCTGGCCCAAAGGGCCAAGTGAGCTTTTCTCATCACTTGGCGTCCGTCGTCCGTCGTCCTGCGTCCATCGTCCTGCGTCCGTCGTCCGTAAACTTTTACAAAAATCTTCTCCTCTGAAACTACTAGGCCAAATTTGACCAAACTTGGCCACAATCATCATTGGGGTATCTAGTTTAAAAAATGTGTCCGGTGACCTGGCCAACCAACCAAGATGGCCGCCATGGCTAAAAATAGAACATAGGGGTAAAATGTAGATTTTGGCTTATATCTCTGAAACCAAAGCATTAAGAGCAAATCTGACCTGGGTAAAATTGTTTATCAGGTCAAGATCTATCTGCCCTGAAATTTTCAGACCAATCAGGCAACACGTTGTTGGGTTGCTGCCCCTGAATTGGTAATTTTAAGAAAATTTTGCAGTTTTTGGTTATTATCTTGAATATTATTATAGATAGAGATAAACTGTAAACAGCAATAATGTTCAGCAAAGTAAGATCTACAAATAAGTCAACTTGACCAATATGGTCAGTTGACCCCTTAAGGAGTTATTGCCCTTTATAGTAAATTTTTAACCATTTTTTGTAAATTTTTGTAATCTTTTACAAAAATCTTCTCCTCTGAAACTAGTAAGACAAATTTAACCAAACTTGTCCACAATCATCATTAGGGTATCTAGTTTAAAAAATGTGTCCGATGACCCCGCCCGCGAACCAAGATGGCCGACATGGCTAAAAAATAGTACATAGGGTAAAATGCAGTTTTTGGCTCATATATCTGAAACCAAAGCATTAAGAGCAAATCTGACAAGGATAAAATTGTTCATTAGGTCAAGATCTATCTGCCCTGGAATTTTCAGACCAATCAGGCAACCCTGAATTGGTAATTTTAAGAAAAATTTTCAGCTTTTGGTTATTATCTTGAATATTATTATAGATAGAGATAAACTGTAAACAGCAATAATGTACAGCAAAGTAATTTCTACAAATAGGTCAACTTGACCAAAATTGTCAATTGACCCCTTAAGGAGTTATTGCCCTTTATAGTAAATTTTTTACAATTTTCATAAATTTTGCAAATTTTTGTAAATTTTTACAAAATATTTTCCACTGTAACTACTGGGCCATTCATTATAGATAGGGATAATTGTAAGCAGCAATAATGTTTAGTAAAGTAAGATCTACAAACACATCACCATCACCAAAACCCAATTTTGTCATGAATCCATCTGTGTCCTTTGTTTAATATGCACATAGACCAAGGTGAGCGACACAGGCTCTTTAGAGCCTCTAGTTGGTTTTACAACTTAGAATTTGCACACACAAAAAGTTGTAAAAAAATACAATTTGAAAATTTAAACACAAAAAATAATGGTATTGTTAACAGTATAAGAATATCTCAATTAAATGGAACTTGAACGGATAACAGGTTAACAAATCTACAACCTCATCATCGTGGTGATAGTGGTTGCAATGTATATTAAAAAGACGTTAGCTACGATGTTTACAGTATAAGATTGAAAATTTGTAGTCTGTTTTCTAATAATTCAGACATTTATAAGATAATGAGTACAGCAGTAGTCAGTGCTGTTCAATTTTGTCAAAATAAGCACAAAAACTTATCTTGAACACTATCATCTTGGAAGACCTCATTTTGATTCGTATTCATTATACATATATGGCCTCATTTGACGATCGATCAGACATGTGCTGAGCGTGTAAATGTCATTTGAAAAAGAGAAACTTGGACAGCTAGCGGGAAGTCGGATTTTGTTAAATGATTCGAACAGCTAAAAACTTATGCATGTAGGGTATAAAGAGAGTCGGAAGTTTCCAAAGGGATATTCAAACTCATAAGTCGAAGACAAACTGACGAAGTCATGGCAAAAAAAAAACGAAAAACGAGAAAAAGACAAGCAACAGACTGTAAAACACAACAAAGAAACTGAAGTTTAGACTAAACAACACGAAGCCCATGCAAGGATGATTGGCGTTACTTGATCTACGACGTGAAATTATGCAAAAAGAGGAAAATCGCCATAATAGCATTGCACACACCCACCTCCGATTCTGATTTATAATTATATCTATATTGGGAACATACCTCCACGACAATTATTGGGGGTCATGTCTATGGTTAATTAGATGCCGTCCAGTTCAAAATACGATCGAAAAAAACTTCACTTAAATTGTAGAATTTAATTTCTATAAAGCAACTTACTTTTTTTATTCTTTCTAATTTGTAAAGGTCAGATGGGACGGAGTGAATACAGGCATATTCAGAATTGGATATGATGGCCTTTTTGAAGTGTGGTTGTGGTAAGTAATGAACCAACTAGTCACAGAGTTTATGAGGTATAGACATAGACATCGAATACCAAATTCTAATAAAGATAAAAAGATACATTTAAAAAAAATAGCTTTTTTAAAAAATGGTTACAAAACACGAATAATTTGATTGCTTTCTTCAATATTGGAAGAAACAATTTGATAATATGAATATCTTCTTTTCTCCCGAAATTTAGAAGTCAGGTGTTAACAGTTGCTGTTCTTAATGATACTGAATAAGATGCCACTTCAGAGTCCATTTTTATTTTTGCCAACATGATTTTGATACTATTTTCCTTTTTCTATCATTTTACTTCCTTTAGTGATGACTTTGTGAACAATGAGAGAACTGTTCGACACATGAAGCCAAATAATCATAGTCATACTGGACAACAGAATCACCACAAATTGAACACCACAAATGAGGATGATCCATTGGACAATGTTATCCCTATATACTCCGATACATCAGGTAAGAAAATAAACGTACTGATTTCTAATCACTATGATACAAAGGTAAAAATTAAATTTGCTATGTTGATTATTATTGTTTTTATTTTTAAAAATCATGTAGAAATGGGATAACAGAAAGACATTTCTTTCTCATAAAAAAAATAGCAGCTTTCAAATTATATGTGTGCAAATGAAATCACGTTTTGTTTCCAGCGGGAAGTATATAACTCTTTTTCAAAACAGGCTTTTTATGTTCAGCATTCCAGACATTTGGTTGGCTATTCCAAAATCACCTGTCGTGCGCACAGAAATGGCATATTTTGTAAGTCCTGAGGTAAAAGCAAACGCAAAATACAAAATTATTAAATTTTCTGAAAAAGAAAGCATAATTTTTTACATTTGAATTTCGACTGCTTTACTTCCAAGCTAATTTTATACAGCAACGTTATGAATAATATTTTCATAATAATGTATTGTATTTTTCTTCATAACAGTCAGTGCCATTTGGGAGTACGAGAAGGGCTCACAGTGGAGACAATACCCATCCGGAATAAATACCAAAATTGAAAAAGCTTACCAGAGGAAGCAAACAGGAACATTTATCTTTGAAATGAATCATATAACGTAAATCCTTCAAATAATTTGTTTATGATAAATGAGAACTCGCAACAAATGTCATAGTGTAAAATGTAGTAGTTACTCCTTCTCGTGGATTCTGATTTTGAGTTCTAATTTCTGTGCGTGCAAGTATACTAGAGTGTAAAGACAGAAGCAAACACACATTTTCATACAAAACAAAATATGTGTGAAGTAGACATCTATGAACAAACCAATAAACTTTAGCATAGAGACCCAAGCTTTCAACATTATATTATTGATGAGTCTTATGTAAACGAAATGCTCGTCTGGCATACCAAATTATAAGCGTGGTATCATTGATGAGTATTTTATAGACATGAAATTGTGCACAAGTAAAATTACACGAGTTAAGTTATCAAATGTAGTACAAAGATTGGCATTTTTGGGGTCGTTATATGCCAAAGTATTTATCAGAGATGATATTTTTCTTCTTCTCAAAATAGTATTTGGTTTTTTATATCCTTACCCATGTAACCAAGATGAAATATATATATATATATATATACAGCCCATTTAATTTATCTGTAAATTAGGAAACAAATCATTTTTTAAATCAGGAATAAGCTTGGTTCAATTTTCAATAATACAAAAAAAACAATTTCCTATACGAAACACATTTAAGGACTGGTTTAACCCATGGAATATAGGGGAAAGAAATTATTTGCTATATGCATCAATATAAATAAACAGGGAAATTTAAAGCATCCAACTAGAATTATGATCAGCTTACTAATTTAATAATAACATCCTTTCATTACACTAATGATTCATTGCACATAAAGTATATTCACTTAATAATCCACTAGTTTGAAATATCCTATCATCGTAAGAAAATCAAAATAAATATAGAAAAAAGAGCATAAGATATCACGGGGACAACCCATATGCATAGGATGAAGAGAAACCGGTAATATCATTGCCAATAAATGACGATACAAAATCATACAACAGTCTACAAAACATTACATAGAAAACTAGACTGAGCAACTCGAACCACACCTTAAAATAGTAATGATCTCATATGAAGCGGAAGGGTACATGTAAGCAGATCCTGATACATATGAGTTAGGAACAAAACAGATTGTGATGAGATTATACTGTTATAGGTAACAGCACCAAAATTCTCATTATGTACATTTTAAGTTTATTTTCTGTAAACATTGTTGAAAACTCACGTCCTTATACTTTGTACTATATAAAATAAAGTAAGAATGTATCATTCAATTCATGATAATCATTTCAGTTAATTTATTTAATGGACTAGGTATCAATGCATATGTACTTAATTGTAGATATATTATCCATTTTCAACGAATGATACAGGAAAACCCACAAAATAAGACAGAAATGCCAGTCAGAAGGAAAGGTAAGTTGATACGAACTAACAATTAATTATAATGTGGATTTTGTTATATTTTTAACGCACGTATAAATGATAGCTGAATTTTATGATTAAAACACCCTACCACTTATTCTTTGTATGTATTAAGCTACTTCAACAAATCATATAGATATCAAATTTTAATATATGTTTGACTGAAAGATAGATTAACATACTAAAGACATGAAAAGAAAATTTACTTGCGAAATGTCGGTATAAAAAGTAGTATGTTATTACGAACTTGACATGATTTAGAATGTTCAGCATGTTCTGTTCCAGTATTGTAATTATATCAGGAGGCGTTTTTACTGTTGTAGTTTGCATCTTTTTTTTTTTTAACAGATTAAGGATTTGCTTACTGAATGACAACAAACTTTTTGGTAACCTTAAACTTGAACCAAAGAATTGATTTAGTACGAAAATTTTGAATTACAAACATCCAAAATATGTGTCCTTACAAGATTAAAATGTTCATTACAAAAGGTGGAAAACACCACGGATAGATTCAAAACTCGTAATTCGCATAGAAACTTACAACCTGCAAGATTTCCTGATAAGGATGTCTTAAGACATCTTATGACCAGTATTTCATGATATCATAAAGCAGGTTACTAGAGTCAAAGTAATATCTTCAAAATGTATACATCTGCATATACCATATACCATATGACATATATGTCACAGATGATCAGGTTTTTTTCACATTCTTGTTTCCCCAATCCTGCTTTTTACCTGCGTCTCCGAAGGCGGAAGCATGTCTAGTAACCGCTTTACTCCGTCCGTTCGTCCGCCTTTATGTCCGTCCGAAAGAAAACTTTCGTCAAAGTTTTCTCAACTATTGAAGGAAATAATTAAATATACGGTCTGCAGCTTCATCATATTAGGTTGAAGCGAGTAAGCAATTTTTACATCTTCCATGTAGCCACTTCCTGTTTGCCGATATTTTTAAAAATTAATAATACTAATGGTACAAAGATAATTTTTGTCAAATTTTTCTTAGTTCCTATTGAAGGGAATGATTTAATATTTAATCTGCAGCTTGATAATGTTAAGTAGTAGCGAGTAAGCAATTTTCATATCTGCCGAGAAGTCACTTCCTGTTTGCCGATAGTTTTAAAAATTAATAATACTAATGGTACCAAGATAATTTTTGTAAAATTTTTCTTGGTTCCTATTGAAGGGAATGATTTAATATTTAATCTGCAGCTTGATAATGTTAAGTAGTAGCGAGTAAGCAATTTTCATATCTGCCGTGAAGCCACTTCCTGTTTGCCGATAGTTTTAAAAATTAATAATACTAATGGTACAAAGATAATTTTTGTCAAATTTTTCTTGGTTCCTATTGAAGGGAATGATTTAATATTTAATCTGCAGCTTGATAATGTTAAGTAGTAGCGAGTAAGCAATTTTCATATCTGCCGAGAAGTCACTTCCTGTTTGCCGATAGTTTTAAAAATTAATAATACTAATGGTACCAAGATAATTTTTGTAAAATTTTTCTTGGTTCCTATTAAAGGGAATGATTTAATATTTAATCTGCAGCTTGATAATGTTAAGTAGTAGCGAGTAAGCAATTTTCATATCTGCCGTGAAGCCACTTCCTGTTTGCCGATAGTTTTAAAAATTAATAATACTAATGGTACAAAGATAATTTTTGTAAAATTTTTCTTGGTTCCTATTGAAGGGAATGATTTAATATTTAATCTGCAGCTTGATAATGTTAAGTAGTAGCGAGTAAGCAATTTTCATATCTGCCGTGAGGTCACTTCCTGTTTGCCGATAGTTTTAAAAATTAATAATACTAATGGTACCAAGATAATTTTTGTAAAATTTTTCTTGGTTCCTATTGAAGGGAATGATTTAATATTTAATCTGCAGCTTGATAATGTTAAGTAGTAGCGAGTAAGCAATTTTCATATCTGCCGTGAAGCCACTTCCTGTTTGCCGATAGTTTTAAAAATTAATAATACTAATGGTACAAATATAATTTTTGTCAAATTTTTCTTGGTTCCTATTGAAGGGAATGATTTGATATTTAATCTGCAGCTTGATAATGTTAAGTAGTAGCGAGTAAGCAATTTTCATATCTGCCGTGAAGCCACTTCCTGTTTGCCGATAGTTTTAAAAATTAATAATACTAATGGTACCAAGATAATGTTTGTCAAATTTTTCTTGGTTCCTATTGAAGGGAATGATTTAATATTTAATCTGCAGCTTGATAATGTTAAGTAGTAGCGAGTAAGCAGTTTTCATATCTGCCATGAAGCCACTTCCTGTTTGCCGATAGTTTTAAAAATAAATAATACTTATGGTACAAAGATAATTTTTGTCAAATTTTTCTTGGTTCCTATTGAAGGGAATGATTTAATATTTAGTCTGCAGCTTGCTGATGTTGAGTAGTAGCGAGTAAGCAATTTTCATATCTGCCGTATAGCCACTTCTTATTTGCCGATAGTTTGAAATTTTACAACACTTATTGTATAAGGAAAATTTTCGCCAAAGTTTTCTTGTCATTAAGGTGCATGAGGACAGGGAATGGTCAATTATTCTTCCGATATATATTACCTCAATTAATTGCATGTAGCGACGGAGGTCCAGACCGGGTATTAGTCTTGTAACTTATACCATTTATCACCAGATTGTTTTGTTGTCATGAGCAATCGACGATAGCCACTATAGTTGGATAAGAAATACTTGTCCTTTTGAAGCACACAATTCGATCCTAGGTTCAGGTTTGTTTGGTGTAGCTAATTTTGTCATGACTTTGTCAACAAAGAGAAAACAATCCGATATATGAAGCCAAATAATGATAGTTATACTGCACATCAGAAGCGCTAAACTATGAGCGCCACAAATGAGGATGCCCTGGCATTGAACTATGTTATTCTTATACGTGTAATACCACCAAATCATAGTACGTCATATCCGGTTGCATACGAAAAAGGATCGAAAAAAAATATTCCCTTGAATTTGACAGTTGTAGGAAATTAATCCTACATTTCATTGCAGTAAAAAATTTCTGAGTCATAAACATATATCTTGGGTGTTTCAAAGCACCATTCTTTTTTTATTTGGTGTTTCTATAGAATATTTTGGAAACTTGAGGTTACATGGTTACTAAAGCTTATACACAGGGAAAAAAGGGTTAAAATTTGATTGGTTAACTTCCAGTGATGGGTATTATCTTATATGCAATGAAATGTATGTGAAATTTTGTCTGTAGTACTGGACATGATAAAACTTTACTCATGCCAAGTATTTCTTTATTTGAAACAAAGATAAATTCTGCACAATTTTTTGAAAAGTGCAAATGTAAGAAAGACTAAAAGGGGAAACAACATTAATGATGGTATTACACCTATTATACATTTGGCGAGAAAAATACGTGTTATAGGATAGATTTTTTATCACTTTTTCACTGTTGTATTATTGAAATCGTGTACAAATGGTTTACATAAAGAAAAATCTTCCAAAACAAGAGGCTCTCAAGAGCCTGAATCGCTCACCTGTATTTCAGAGGAGAAGATTTTTAAATGTTAGCAAACTTGATGAACAAATTGTGTAAAATTGTCTTTAAGGGGTCAATTGACAATTTTGGTCATATTTACTTTTTTGTAGATCTTACTTTGCTGAACATTATTGCTGCTTACAGTTTATATACATCTATAATAATATTCAAAATAATAAAAAAAAAAACTGCAAAATTTTGTTAAAACTACCAATTCGGTGGCAGCAACCTAACAATGGGTTGTTCGATTCGTCTGAAAATTTCAGAGCTGATAGATCTTGACCAATTGAACAATTTTACCCCTGTCAGATTTGCTCTAAAAGCTTTAGTTTTTGAGATATAAGCCAAAAACTGCATTTGACCCCTATTTTCTATTTTTAGCCATGGCGGCCATGTTTGTCGATGGATCAAAACTTCGGTTACAATTTATAAACTAGATACCATAAGGAACATTTAGTTAAAGTTTGAAGGTATTTGGCCCAGTAGTTTCAGAGAAGAAGATTTTTGAAATAGTTTACGACGACAGACGACGACAGACGACAACAGACGACGACGACGACGACAGACGACGACGACAGACGACGGACGACGACGGACGCCAAGTGATGGCATAAGATCACATGGGGCCCTTCGGGCCCCGGTGAGCTAAAAAAAATGACAACTGTCTAATATATGTTTACAAATAAAATCACATTTTTCTACCGGAAACTATTCAACACATTTTTAAAACATGCTATTGATGTTTGCATTGCTGACCTTTGAACGCATGTAGAGAGTTATTTCAGAACAGCCTCTCGTGCGCACGGAAATATATATCACACATTTTTGAAGTTCTAATATACAATTAAAAATTATCGCTTTTACACGAAAGGAAATATGGTGTATACATCAATGAAACACGAATCAATAATTCAAACAAACACACACACAAATATGGAATTCAACGCATACTTTTCAAAAATATTATACTTTCTACGTCGTTTTTAAACTTTACGTTACTACGGTTCAGGTCTTAACAAATTTTGAATAGATAATAAACAGCGGCTACCAAAGATCTGGAACCAACTCAATACTATTCAAAGGACATAAACGTTTATATATGATTTTAGACAAGTGTAAAGGTACCGGGCTTAGTACAGGCATATAGCCATAAGGCGGGATTAAATAAGCTTTTAAGTACTAAAACTTCCCCTTTTTCATTTCTACCAATAGAATATCAAAGGTGTAATTAAACGAATTTTTGGTTCAAATTAGAGCAAAAATGATAATTAGCTATATTATAATGTATGTAAGACTAACAGACGACAATAACACAAGTAAAAGTAAAATGAGACTAGATAATACCGTGTCAAAGAATTCTCATTGTTGCTAAAAGAAAACGAAAAATACAAAAAAATACTTGGATGATACAGAAAGCATGACCTTTTAAATTTGACATTCAGATTTTATACAGTAACGTACGGCATGTAGATATATATTCAAAACATTTTATTGTATTTTTGCCATCTTTAAATCAGTCAGTACAGATTGGGAGTATAAAAATATCTCATAGTGGGCAAACTTAGTCTGAGACACATGATGTTTTATCATTTGCTATTTGCTTTGAACAGCTTTCAGTTAATTGTAAGTACTCTCCTATCTGTAATTTGTGTCTTTCGTGTTTGTGTTAGGGTTTTTATGTTCTTTGTATCGATCTGTTGAGCTAAGCCTATTTCAACTGATTTTACCATTTGTTCTTATGTCGTACTGTTACACCATGAATCTGTCCCAGGTTAAGAAAGTTTGGTGACATCAAACATGTTTAACCACGCCACATTCTGTATGTGCCTGTCGCAAGTCCACAGCCTGTGATTCAGTGGTTGTCGTTTGCTGCTTTCTATCTTATTTGTTTTTCGTTCATTGGTTTGTACATAAATCAGGCCGTCAGAACAAATACCTAGATTAAAAAAGGCTTACCATCGGAAGCATTCATGACCAATTATCTTTGAAATAAATTGTAAAACGTAAATCCTTTCATAAATTTTTTTTATAGAAAATGAAAAATCACAACAAATGTCAAAGTGTGAAATGCTCCTTTTCTCGTGGATTTTTAGTTTTTATTTTGGGGAATGCAAGTGTATTTTGATGTATAGAGAGAAAAAAACGAACAAACTTTTGGTTATTAGCATCAATATCATGTATGTCGTCTTTAGTTCTAAGAATTTTCGGAACTACGTACTTGTATTAATTTTTGCAAATAATCCAGCTTTTATTTATGTTTAATTCAAGATGTATTACTTTGGACAGTGCATGCTTATTTTAAAAAAAACCAGGGCATTCGCAAATCATAAGTTTAAAAGAACAGACAATACCATGGTCAAAAATAAAAATGACGACAGTACAAGCAATACATGGAAAACTAAATACCGAGCAACACCAATCCAACCAAGAACCGATACATTTTTAGCTAACTAATAAGATGTATTGTGTTATAGGTACTCCATTCTTACACTTTTTATCAATTTATCTGTTTTGTGTATTGACTACTTCAACATATCAAGTTTGAAAGGTATTTAAACACTAAATTATTAATAATTTTCCTTGTGTATATTTTTTCAATTGTTATAGCAGGAAGATATTTTGCCTTTTATCTTTTATTTTCAGATTGAGGCTTCGCTGTACGAATGCCAACAAACATTTGTGTAACCAAGAGCATGAAACAAAGCATTGTTTAACACGAAAATAGATTTTAGACGTACCAATATAGTTTTAATTAAAAACATCTAATATATGTGTCCTTTTTACATTTACTAGAACAAGACTGTGTTATTTTCTGTAGTTATGTACACAATTGAATATAAATTTTCTAGCACCACATCCGAACAATCAAATAAACTGACCTAACAGCAGGTGAAAAAAATATTCCTATCGCAAACGAATCTCCTTGTGCCCTTCCAAACCATAGAATATTAAATGGTCGTTTCTGACGCGTTCATCAGCAAATATGTTTTATTCCACCAAACAAATGCGATTAGACATGAAGCTAGAACCTTATGAATTCGATGTCAGAAGTCAAACTTCTCTTGTTTGCTTATGATATATTCTCAAACATGTATTTTGAATGTCGAAAATGGATCGCTTCAACTTACAAAACGCATTGGCATTAAAAATAGTACAAAGGTAAAGGTTGTTTTTTTTTTGTTTTTTTGTCTTTTTTTTTTTTTTTGTTTTTTTTTGTTTTTTTTTTGTTTTTTTTTTTTGTTTTTTTGTTGATAATACTATATTTACTTTTTTCTTATTTTACTTCTGATTAGACTATAAACATTACTTTAGAAATCTAATTTTAAAAGTCAATGAACTTAGAATCGCCTCATTTCAAACGAAAACAATTCCGTGATTTTGTACATTTTCCCTTCAAAGTTTAAATCTAGGGGATAATTATCCCTTTGCACTCATCGTTATTATATCAAAATAAACCGTGGCACTCAAACGGTTAAAATTTTGACATATCCCATTTTTTTATATATATATTATGATATAATTGGCACATCTTATAGTTATAATAAACGTGTACTAGTAAGTAGTTTTCAGCAAATTTTTTATATCATAATAAAATAACATTACAAGATAACAAAGGGGCAATCTATAGGTTACAGAACGACATTTAACAGTCAACATTACACAATACAGAAAAAAAATTGAGCAACATAAAACACACCATAGATTGGGACTTTCGGTTTCTAAAGACCGCCAATTCCTGTCCAATTGGTGCTCATGCTAACAAAACTTCCGGTGATGAGTGGCATTTGATGATGTCATAAATAATGAAATGAGAAAAGGGGTGTCGCTACGAAAATTCCATGTGTCATGTCGGGTCATTTTAAAGCTTGGTATGCAGTATGGGTTATGATTATTGTTGAAGGCCGTACGGTGGCCTATAGCTGCTAACATCTACGTCATTTGGTCTCTGATGGAAAGTAGTCTCATTTGCAATCATACCACATCTTATTATTTTTATATTGACTTGTATTTTATGGATCATGACACTGTGTTTAAATCTTAAAAGATTTAGAGAAGTGGTACTTTAGTTATCATCCAGAAACAACACAAAAGTGACAATTTTTTTAAATAACAAAGGGCATAACTTTTGAACGGTTAATGCCTAACAAAGTCAAAGACAAACTTGACCTTTATTTTAAGGAAAATTACATTGTGTTCAAATATTTTGTCAAACGATATTTTAATAATCGTCCGGCAACAACAAATAATGACAACTTTTAAGATGATGAAGGGACCTAACTCTTAAATGGTAAATGTCAAAACTGTCAAAGTAGAACTTTCTTGTACTAATGATTGATGACTTTGTTCAAATTTCAAAAACTTTGATTATCATCAAAAACCGAAACTGTGACGGACGAATGGACCAGTGCATCCATATATATACACCCTATCTGGGCGAGCTTATAGAAATTACATATATTTTACTTCAATATACTTCACCGTAAATAAAAGTGTGTTCAAAGAGGAACATGATCTTTAATATGAATTGTATTTAAAACAGCCACGAATTATATATTCCAAATAAGTCCCAAAAAACATGTCACTATGTTGATCAAATTTAACCCTTTTCAATTTAATGATAACTTTCTGTTCTGAAAACATGACCTCGCAATATTACGATATCTAAGTAATCACTTGGTCCCTTTTAAAACGGTTTTTAGAACAGAGTACAGGGACTCATAATCTTTTCGATTTCATTTCATGCTACCTTTTTTTTTCAATATTATTTTATTGTATTTGATAACAGTGAAGAAAAAACAAAGAAGCAAGAAAACTAAGCAAAAGCAGTAAAAAATCAGAAAAATTCATTATAAACCCAAATATTATACTAAATGAGCCCGAATATTTGAAACACAAGGATGTAGAAGCACCGAAACATATGAAGAGCTATATGACCAAAAGGACATAAAAAAAATAGCCAGATCTATCTAAGGTCAACTTTGCCTAATGGAATTGAATCCTTAGTTTCTTTATGATTCTTAAATTTATAAACTGGCAATTTTTATTGATTGATTGTTGGTAGCTGAACGTCAGGAGGAATGTTCAGGACCAGAACATATTAACAATAAATCCAATAAGTAGGACCTGTAACAGAGGACGTTCGGGATGAAGGTCGGGCAATTTCGACTGTCACCGAAAATTAGGGTATATTGGATATGGACAGAAATATTGCCTTGCAACAGGCCACCTAGGGACCCCTTAACGTGCAGTGAGCGTGAAACTCTCTCTACACGCCTCATTCTGACCGGACGTGGCTGTGTACTTGAACATCCCGAACAGCAAAACGGACGCCGCACTTTAGGAAGGGTTTTACTGCAGGTTGGAAGAGGACTTAAGTGACTATTTGTCTATTCCCTAGTCACCCTTGGAGGTAAACAATTTTTGTGAGGTTTGTTATAAATGAAGTCAGTATGGAAGTACTGACTACTGAGCTGATGATAAACGCTGGGACTTATCCGATGTATTTGATGAATAACGAAATAAAAAATCTGTACGCTTTGATACGATCCTTTTGAAATAATTAAAAAAAAATAAATAAATAAAAAAACGAATTGTGAATATAATATTCGTACACCTCAAAAACATACATTTCGGGGCCTTTTGTAGCTGACTGTGCGGTATGGGCTTTGCTCATTGTTGAAGGCCGTACGGTGACCTATAGTTGTTAATTTCTGTGTCATTTGGTCTCTTGTGGAGAGTTGTCTCATTGGCAATCATACCACATCTTCTTTTTTATATTGTCTATTCTTATTCTTTTAATTTCAGATGGAACTGAAGCTATGATGGTGATTTATTCTTGTGTGACCAAGCAAAGAATATGCTTGATTAGACCCCTCTTCAGAGTAGGGGCATTTGAAAATTGTTTTATTTCTATTTCTAGATCGATAAAACATATTACCATCAAGACAAATAGTAAATGAAACATTTAGGATGTATTTTCTGTTAAAAAAAAACACACTCATTTGCTCTCTTTACAAATTATGTGTACGTGCGTTTCAATCCAACATATCTGAGCTAACATAAATATTGTTTACATCACGAAATATTTACTGTATGAAATCCATTTCCGTACACTAACATGAAGATTTCTGAATACAAATGATCGATGCCTTTTATGAAATGTACGTGTTAATACAGCATTATCAAACTGGTTTAATGCATTGTTTCTCGCTTTGAAAAGTATTTTATTTGGACATTTTCATCTTTTTTTAAACGTAAATGCACCGACATATTACATTTTAAGCCATATGACTTTTGTTTTGTTTAGGGTTTTGTTTTCACTCGATAAAACAATTACGGACGCACTCTAAAAAACACGGACTGCTCTCGGAAAAACGTTGACACATAAAATGAATTTACTCTTCAAAATGTCCTTTTCAATGCAAAAACAAGAATTTTTGTAAAGTGTCTGAGTATCTAAGTATATATAGATTCCATGTATGCGTTTTCGTTGACATTTGCATTGGTATGTGTACAAAAAATGGCTTTAATCCATATTTTGGAATAAAACATTGTAAAGCTAACTTAAACGTTTTTATAACATATACGTTAATTTCTTGCATCTTTTTTTACGTCTTACCACAAATGAAATCTGTTTGTTTACATTTTTGATAATATTCACTCGAAAAAACGTAGTCACACTCTAAAAAACCCGATCAAATCACTAGAAAAACACGATCCCACCGGACACTATACCTGCTGTGTAAAAGGTAAGACAAATTAACTGATAAATTTTGCCTTAGCCATTTTGCAATCCGTATAAAATATTCACGTTATCGAATAATATAACTTGATTAAGATTAATATGTAAACATTTATCAATTTTAATGTCCTGTGTAATCTAAGAATAATCAAAGGGTCTTTTTAAAACGAAAATATTTGTTTGCAATTCCAGGTAATAACTATCTATAAATCTTGCACTTTACGCTTATTGCATGACAAATATCGGTAATTTAATCAAATTGAACCAACTAGCCGAAATTTATAAAAGGTAAGGCAATATATCTTATTTTAAATTATCAAAATGAAACCGAAAGCAAGAAAATAAATAAGGAAATTCCGCGGCAATTGAAACAATTTATTTATAGATAGTTCTTTTGAAGCAACATATTGTAACTTTCGTACGTAGGACAAGTTAATAAAATGAACGACCATCTTTTTTTTATCAAGGTAAACAATTTTATAACCTGTTATTTGCTCATTTATATTTCTTCGTTTCTTTTTGTCTACTCTTGTTCTGACAATGTCTGATGAGCGAATTTCTATTTATAGTTATTTCATTGCGGTTGGAATTGTGTAAATTATCTGAAATGGCTGCACAATAAAAATCAACTAATAAAAAATACACATGTCAAATTCATTTTTTTACAAAAAGAAAAAAAAAACAGCAAATATGAACGCATGTAAGGTGAGGTCATGAGTATTGTACGTGTGTATTAAGAACAAAGTGAACACGTATTTTGCATAACATATTTGTTTTGTTTTGTTTTGTTTTGTCGCATTAATCACAGCTATTAATAGTTTTCACAAATGTCATTTAGTTAAAAGGAATGCATATATATTGTCACGGCTTTGATTCTTCAATATACTAAGGAGTCACTGGCGCACAGTATATTGTCCTTCGCCTATGGAGAATTTCTAGGTAACTAAAAAGAATTTCGTTGATATTTTTTTTATCAATTTCCTCTCATATATGTAGGACTCAAATCTATGGCGGGTTCTAGATCTATGGCATATTCCTAATCTGTGGTGAATATGACGTCATGCCATCCCAAATCTATGGCAGACTGTTTGGAATCATAATCTATGGCAAATTTTTAGTTTCTTATCTATGGAGGATGTCTAGTTTTCAAATCTATGGCAACTTTTCTGCAAATGAAGGAACAGTCTTTACATATCTGACCAATGATTTAAATTTGACTTAAACAAGTCGAAATTTCCAAAGGTAGCAAAAAGGCTGCTTTCAAGTATATCGAGTATAGGAAAAACAGATTAGAAGTACGAAGTATATCCATAACTATCTGTAAAATGAACACAGACTTAAGAGGTGTATGATGTGTCCCGGAAGAATAATTATTTCCTACTCTGTGCATGGTACCTGTTTGACCCTTTATTTAACCAAGTCCATTAACAACACAAAAGCAGTTTGAATTTTTAACTAATATCTATTTGAGCGTTGAATAATATAAATCTCGTTGGACTGATGACGATTTAAGTCCTTTAATGAACAATGACTCGCCTCAAACACGTGACTCTCTAAAAAAAATCCTTATTTCTCCAACAGTACAGTTATTCGACATATTTATAGCGGAAAACGATATTAATATCTATTAGAAATCTATGTCATATTAATTTTTTCCAAATCTCAAGAAAGATTATTTGCTACAATAGTACAGGTAGTCAGTTTTATATAGCTGACAAAATACTTTATGTTGTGTTACTTCTTACATAAAATCAAAGAGATCATAGGAATACAAAAAATAGCATAAAAACACAAAACAGCAAACAAAAATGCACGGTAAAAGCTCGTACAATTATGGGTGATGCCAACACCAGCAACACGAGAAGAAGAAAACAAGGGTAGAAACAAACACAATTCTGAATTATAAATTATTTATTAATTTGGATCCTTGCAAACTTGCTTTTCGATCTTTTTCTTTTCCTTTTGTATAACAAAACCGTCGTCGTCAGAGGCAGCTTCGACGTTACATGACGTTATTTAATTGTGACGGAAAATTACGTAGTATCCAAATCTGCCATAGATTTCGAGAAAACAAAATACTGCCATAGATTTGTGATTTGTTCAGCGTTTGTGACATCATATTTACCATAGGTTAGGAATTTGCAGAAATTTGCCATAGATCTGGAACCCACCATAGATTTGAGTCCTACATATATTTGCGAATATTTAATGTAATGTTACTGTTCAATAAATGTATTGTTAATCACATTTTCATAAAAATTAGTAGGTATGATAAGAGCCATTTATTTATATGGCCCATTAAATTAAGGAACAGATAAAATTATTCAAGTATTTTAAAATTAAAATCAACAATCTGACCTTTCAAATGTTGCATCTAGTAAGCATGAAATCGTAAATACACATATCCTAACAGATATTTATAACAACTGAAGGATTTTATCAATGTGCTAAATTTGTTAAATCAGAAAGTATTCAAGGATATAAACATTTTCCTCGCGCAATTTCAATTTCATTTTGGTCCTTCCCATCTTTTACGACAAAATGCTTATATTTGAATAAAATTAAGAAATAATTCATGGTTGCTTGAAATGATATTGATTTAACAACGGGTTGGCTCTTTATGCAAACTATTTTACAACTTCAATTCCTAGTTGACATTTTTCACTTCAACTCGGCATTTCTCAGTTCCAACTTTTAAATCATTCCTCAGTCCAAAGTTTACATTTCTAATTTCTATGTTGAAACTTAGAACTGTCAAGTTGTAACTGAGAAATGTCAAGTTGGAAGTTAAAATGAAAAGCACCAAGTGAGAAATGTCAGATAGGAAGTGAGAAATGTCAAGTTAGAAGTGGAAAATATCAAGATGGAACTGAGAAATAGCAAGTTGGAATGTGAAATGTCCACTTTTATTTGAAAAGAGAAGTGTCAAATTTGAAATGAAAAATTGTAAACATAGAGAGCCTTTCATAATAAAGGGTTAATTGCAAAAGGTATTTTACATTTTTATAAACTAAAGCTTTTTTAACAGAAATTTTGCCAGATTATATATAATCTATATATCAATACCTGATATTAACCTGGCATTTTAAGATATTCGAAATAATAATAAGGAGATGTAGTATGATTGCCAATGAGACAACTATCCACTACAGTTCAAATGACGTAGATATAAGCAATTTTAGGTCTACGGCTTTCAATAATGAGAAAGACACTTACCGTATAGTCACATAGAAAAGGCCCCAATACGAAACATGTGAACAAATTCAGTAAGAAAAATAACAGCTTAATTAATAACAATTAAAATTACAAAAATCTATTATGACAGATAAACAAATATGTATATTTGCAATGTGTGTAGTGATTTTTGGAATAATAGTTATATATACAGATATTTATGTGTAGTTTTTGTGTAATAGTTTAAGATTTAATAATATAAAAAGAATGCATATGTTAAAAAAGAATTCTAGATTTAATTTAATCCCGACAAAAATGCCTTGTGGTAAGATCTTTTTGTTAGCTTTATTTAAAGTGTTGTATGAATTACTTGTCGTCATTAAAAATTAATTCATATCTTATAGTGTCATAACACTCTAAAAAAACCGTGGAACTTCAACAAAAATTTGAAATTAAAAAGTGATCATAATTCATTTCAGTTTTATGTAAATAAAGCCTGTAACAAGACTTATGGTTGATAGATGGATTTAACCCAAGAGGTAATTTAAACTTTTGAATCAAAGCAAAGTCATCTGCATTCCTTAACACACACTTGCAAACCATCAAACACTTTGTTAATATGATCAATTTATTATTTTTGATATTTCCTTTCTCATTCAATTTAATTTTCTAATTACATATTTCAATTTTTATAAGCACAAAGAGAAAAGAGGGAAAATTGATTGAATATTACACATATATTGTTGCAGATTGAAGCACTTAACGGTGAAATACGGATTATGATGAAAAAGCAAGAGGACCTGAGACATGACATTAAGAATGATAAGTATGGACAAGCATAGAGAATACTGAATATTTAAATAGTCAATAGATTTACAATTTTTGAAGTCTGATTTATAAATCGTCCCATGGAAAACGATCAATGGAAATAAGAATAGACAAAACCATTATCATAAGCTTTTAATATATATATGTCGTGTACATGTTGCAATGTTGTACAGGTTATAACATATACAAATATATTGTAAATGTTATAATTTGTACAATGCAAAAATACAAGTTATAACATGTACAAAAGTACCTCGTACATGTTATAACATGTACAAAATATTTAATAAAAACGGTTTTAACCTGTACAAAATTCGCAAATAATAATGAAGCAGAATATACATGCACGTTTGAAATTTATTAAATAATAAAGAACAATAATTAAAAGCATAATAAGGTGCATTATTTAAAGCATGCTTAAAATACATTTTCATACATTTCAGAAACCATTTTTTTACTTGTTGCTACAAGACAGAGACATGTGACACTTTGAGTTGCACAAAACTTTCATTCTTCCACATTTAAATCTACCAGAATTACAACCAACTGCCTTTCTTACACTTACAATGCACAAAACCACTCAATGATATCTTACGCACTTTCTCTCTCACAGTCATATCACTTAATGTAACTTCATACCCATTTAAAGTTGCATTTGCAAAGAAATGAACCTGGTTTCTACTCAAGTATCCCTTAATTTGTCCAATTTTAGTTCTAATTGTATAGCCGCCATATTCATTCACATTCATCACCACGCCTTTTATGTTTCTCTCATCGGGAGGGCCCTATCAATGGACGGAATTGAAATGATTACGTTATCACCTTAGGAGAGAACAGTTAATCTAGTTTTTTTTTGTCAAGGCATCAGTTTGTACCTGATGGCCAGATAGGGCCCTCTTTCGTGCACGCTTGATGTCAATATTAGAAATTTCTGACAAAACCTCACTAGTATTGGCAGGAGGAATATCACAACCAGAAAGCTCCCTCTTACGAGGAGGTTTGCCAGTACTGTAGATGTCATGCTGAAACTTGCTTCATCAACTACGTTAGCATAAATTAATTCAATTACCATTGTTTCTGATTCTAACTCAGTGGTCTGTGAAATTGGTCCAAATGAAAAAAAAGTAAATATTATTCTGCAATTAGGACAGAAATTTACCCTTTCATACAACACCAGAGATTTTGCAAAGGTACTTTTGACATACTGTATCAACATAGCACTCACCATCTGATGTTTTTCTTTTGAATAATTTTTCTAGAGTTCCAGCTGTCAATATCTCATACTGCTGTAGAAGGGTTTTTTCTTTGCCCGTAGGTTTAGTTGCAACTTTTACCTGCTTAACACTCCTTTTCAAAATATCTATCCTCTCCTTTGAAAACAGGGAATTGTTTGCAGAGGAATTTTTCCTTGAAATATCAAGGATTTTATTGAAAAATGTATCCTGGCTATCCACTTGCATCTTAAGGCTCAATTAGTATGAAAGTATAAATTTCATATAGCCTTTTGAGTGGAAACTCACAATTTTAATTCATCAGGTTAGAATACTAAATAATGTGTATTGAACTACATGTGTATTTTAAAAGCCTTTAAGGTATTCAATAATTATAAAAACTATTTATCTGGTCATTAGCTGTATCAAAAAGGTATCACAATAACATAAATGGACAATAAGAAAAAAATGATGAAAACATTATTGAAGTTAATGGCATGTGTTGTAATAATAGAAACAGATTTTTTCTCTCTAAATTTTGTACAAGTTTAAACCATTTTTAAGCAATATTTTGTACATGTTATAACAGTACGAGGTACTTTTGTACATGTTATAACTTGTATTTTTGCATTATACAAATTATAACATGTACAAAATTTTTGTACAGATTATAAACTGTACAAAATCGCAACTTGTACACGACATATATAACAAATAATAGTAATTGATTCCCTAATTACGCAAATCATATCAGAATTATCAAATCATGATACTGCATGTCACCTTGGTCTTTATTATCCAAACATAATTATATCGATCTCAAATTTGCTTCGTCAATATTCCATAATGGAGATAATGTCAGAAAAGTGTCATATGACCCTCAGTGACATAAATTATTTGTTATGGTACATATTCATACAATGCATAACATTCTTTAGAAATTTAGACTTTAAAAAGAACCGTGATTAGTTTGCTTACAGTATCGCTTGCAAGGTAAAATAAGGGCCTCGGTGGCAGAGTGGTAAAAGTAGTTAAACTACAGTATCACTAGCCTGTCAGCACTGATGTTGTGAGTTCAATCCCGCACGTGGAAGTTAGACTTCGATCTTAATCGACTAGGATTGCCAGTTTTCCTGCCGAAGGTCGGCGGTTCTCTTCTGGCATTCCGGTTTCCTCAGCCAAATTTAAACTAGTCCCTAGAAGTTGCGATACACACCAACAATCAATCAAGGTAAAATACATTTTTCTCATTTTTCCTTTACAGTCGGAAACGAGACATAAAACAGATGGAACAGCAACTTAAAAGTAAGTTTTAATATGGTAATGTTGAGATTAATTTCTCAGACCTTGTGTTGATAGCTCTGTTAAGGTTTTTCTAAAGGTGCAGACGATTATGGTTTTGTGGATATACAATATTTACATTGTGTGAAAAACATAAACGGTCTTTTAATGGATTATCCTAGGAAGTTGTTTTATTCTTAGTATTGAACAGTTAAATTGAATTGAGAGTAAGCAGCAAGGTGACACAGATATCAAAGAGAAACATTCGGCATACTGTGAATGTGCCTATTAATTGGATTAAAACTTCCCACTGAAAATCATGACTTCTTCGAACAGCATCGTGTACAATGCGCAAAATAATATCTGATATACCTGCACGAGGTTTCTCCAACGATTTCGATGTTTATTTTAAAAATATCTATCTGGTTAAAACTGTTGCTCATATTAAAAAACAGTGAGAAATTTGCACGTTCCGAAACAAATTCTCGTACAAACTCAAGTAAAGACAAAACGTATAAATAGTTTATAGATATAAGAAGATGTGGTATGAGCGCCAATGAGACAACTTTCCATCTAAGTCACAATTTGTAAAAGTAAACCATAATAGGTCAAAGTACATCTTGATATTGACACAGATGGACGACATGACACTAAAATCTATGACAAACGTGATGATTTCAACTCTCCAATTTTCAACTGGCCATTTCGATGGAATCCTTACAATATCCCCATAAAAATTTTATAAAATTAAAGTTCCTTAGTGAACAAATATAATTATTCTCTATATTTAGACATTGAAAAGGGTGTAGATTCATTGACGACACACTGTGACAATAATTCTACCAGACTGAGCGAAATTAAAGAAATGGTCCTTACTTTGTCACAAGGAGTGACTGGCTTAACCGAAACAGTACACAATCTCAAGGAAAGCTCGTTTGGAAGAACAGTTGCAAGTGGCAAGATATTAGAAGCTATAAAAAACGATGTTGAAAATGTTTCAGTTTCTTCAACAGTTTGTAAAAACACAGATTGTTTGATTACTGAAGGATGCATATCCTCAACAGTATCAGTGACATCTCGTTCTTCAAATGATTTGGGAAAATATACACCTCATGAAACATACACAACTGACGAAAGCCATGAATATATCCGTCATATAGAAAGAAATCCTTCTAAGGACGATAATTTAGAAGTTGATACTCCATCAGAAAAAAGGGCCATTCAAGATGACAGTATATCAGTATCCGATACAAAAGAAACAAACTGTCAAAATGACACACTTGAAGTAAATGATAGAAAACTAAGGCAAGAGAGTAAAGATGTTGCGATTAAAAATTCAAAGGCTAAAACGTGTAGAAACGATTTGGGTTATAAGAGTTTGTCAACAGAAAGGCTTTACGACAACCGTGTAAGTTTCCATAGTAAATGGTCATGCTTTACGGGTACAGATTGTTCTCCTGTATTTAAATTTGGTTTCAATACAGATGTTCCATTTGAAACTAATATAAAACAACAACAGCCGAAGTCCCATGATACAAGACCAAAATTAAAAGCACGCAGAAAAAGGTAAGATTTTAAAGAAGTATGGTCACTTTCTTTTGTATTTGTTTCACACACAGTAGAGTCAAATTTATTAGATGAAAAAAAAAATCTAATTGAAATATCTTATCAGAAAGTTTTCAGATTGTTCTTTAAAAAACTTTTTTATTTACGCATTTCGTAATCTGAAACCCAAATGGATTAAATTGTCCTAGAAAGATATTATTGCACAGATTCACCTATTGCACTGTGCCACAATTGTTGTTTTTGTTTGAGATGCCCTTAATTACTACTGATGTTAAGTGATTAATTATCAATTATTGCCTATATCTATCAAATCTGCCGGGTTTTTCAACACCAAGAAAATATTATAAAACCAATTAAATTTCACATATAGGACATTACATGACTTTTTTGTATGTAATTTGATTCTAAAGGGACACACATATCTGAAGTGATTAAAATCTGTTTGAAAATAACCCTGTATATTCAATAAATACATGATGATGATGGAGGCAATTGAACGTTCAGTGGTAAATTACCTGCATATTCAAAACGAGAACATGTTAATGTGATATCAATATGAACCCTGCTTTTTACTAGACCAACATTTCGAGCCCGATTTTAACGTGCCATCTTGATTTTGTTGGATAGGTGTCTCACTAGCAATCATACCACATCTGCTTATTTTATATTAAGGTGTATCGAAATTTTGTAGACTTGCATTTGATTTCAATAAAAAGACTATATCATATTTTATCAAATTGCCAAAATCAACCGCAAAAATGCATTAACAAAAAAAAAAAAAAACTTTTTGTCAGAAAAAATGATATTCATTCAAATAGAGGATAGCCCAAAATAGCTCACCATAACCCACGACAGTCCACAATAATTACATTGATTTGGTAAATATTACCGACCCAAAAAAAAAAAAAAAAATAATTGCCAAATTCATTCAAGGTCAACTGTGCTAGAGGATGTTGAAATAGCAGTTTCTAAATAATTCCTTAATTCATCAACAGCAATTTTAGTATGTTATTATTGGCATTTAGCATGAAAAATCGGTGAGCAATGTAATAGTTTCAAGCAAACATAATGTGTTAAAATATTCAAATGAAAAATATAAAAAATGCTCTACAGGTTAAGTGGTAACAGAAAACAACGGAATACAAGTTTCCAAAATGTAGACTCTGCAGATAAAGATGATTCTATCACGGGTATGTATATGCTTTTTTGCGGTATTGTTGTATCAATATTGCTTAAACAATATCAACTTTTCAGAAAATAATGTTTTGAACAAGATTCATAAATACTGTTTCAGTGAATCCGAAGTGGGGTTTTTAGATAACAAAAATTTTGGAATGCATATTATGCACAAATACAAGGCAATGGGACAGACATAATTTGACCTGCACAGATAGTCACACTGTCTTATACCAATTTGGTTAGAGGAACCTCCTTTAAGTAAGAAATGGTAAAACTAGTTAACTTGGTCTAAAATTCCTGCAGTTAACCTTGTCAGTGCTGAAGCATTCATGCAAATGGCGCGTCAATTAGTATCAAAATAACGAATGTATAAACGTCAATTAATTACCATTCATCTTTTAATATCTAAATGTATAGTAATATATTTATACTAGGCTTTGTCTGTCACTATCACAAGCCTAGGAAGGACAAAAATAATATTGCCAAACGAAACAATTCGAAAAATACATTTCATAAACATTACGGCCCAAGTATAGTATACGTTTAAGTAGTTCCGGCTAAATTCTTTCACTGGTATTTATAATATTCATACGCTGAGTCCTAGGGGAGGTTTAAACAATAAAATAACAGGTTGACAAGTAACCCTAACCATAACCCTAAAACTAACCCTAACCCTACAGGACAGCAAGTCGACAGGTCGACAAGTCAGTAGGTCAACAGGTCAGCATATAAATAATTGGTCTCCAACAATTGGATTATTGAGTCAGCATGTCGACAGGTCAGCAGATCAGCAGGTCGACAGGTCGACAAGTCAGCAGGTCGACAAAATATCCTCACTAAACATTTTTAAAAAGCTGCAGACTAATCCTAACCCTAAAACTAAAACTAACCCTAACCCTACAGGGCAGCAAGTCGACAGGTCGACAAGTCAGCAGGTCGATATGTCAGCATATAGATAATTGGTCTCCAACAATTGGACTATTGAGTCAGCAGGTCTACATGTCGACAGGTCAGCAAGTCGACAGGTAAGCAGGTTGACAGGTCAGCAGGTCGACAGATCAGCAAGTCAGTAGGTCGACAAATCAGCAGATCGATAAAATATCCTCACTAAGAAACTTTTTACAATCCGCAAACTAACCCTAACCCTAACCCTTAAACTAACCCTTACCCTACAGGGCAGCAAGTCAGCTGATCGACACGTCAGCATATAAATAATTGGTCTCCAACAATTGAATTATTGAGTCCTCAGGTCTGCATGTCGACAGGTCAGCAGGTCGACAGGTAAGCAGGTCGACAGGTCAGCAAATCAGCATGTTGACAGGTCGACAGGTCAGCAGGTCGACAGGTCAGCAGGTCGACGGCTCGACAAGTCAGCAGGTCGATAAAATATAACTAAGAAACTTTTTAAAAGCCGCAGACTAACCCTAACCCTAACCCTTAAACTAACCCTTACCCTACAGGGCAGCAAGTCAGCTGGTCGACAGGTCAGCATATAAATAATTGGTCTCCAACAATTGGATTATTGAGTCATCAGGTCTACATGTCGACAGGTCAGCAGGTCGACAGGTAAGCAGGTCGACAGGTCAGCAAGTCAGCAGGTCGATAAAATATTCTCACTAAGAAACTTTTTAAAAGCTGTCGACCTAATGACTTGTCGACCTGCAGATCTGTCTACCCGCTGACGTGTCGACCTGCTTACCTGTCGACCTGCTCACTTGTCGACCTGCTTACGTGTCGACCTGCTGACTTGTCGACCTGCTGACCTGTCGACCTGCTGACTTGTCGACCTGCTGACCTGTCGACCTGCTGACCTGTCGACCATTTAATCTTTACAATATTTTAAATGCATACAATTCACATAAAACTGAAAGGAACTACAATAGTTTTACCAAATAACTGAAAAAAAATCCTTTATATATATAAGAACCAGTTTACCTACTATGAAAAAATAATAACTACAATTACGTATTCTATACTTGATCCATTATTACAACTAACACTAGAGATTTAGCAACACGAATGTTACTCAAAATCGGGAGAGTGTTAGTTGATAATTACGTCAACTAAACATTCATACGTTCTGATAAGAAGAAAATTCATCGTTTTGCAAATATTTTCATAATAGCATGTGTGTTAGTAGTGTTTTAGCGATATTTTTTAACATTGTCATAAAGTGGGAGGTTTGGCATGCCATGAAACCAGGTTGAACCCACCATTTTTTCTTAAAATGTCCTGTACCAAGTCAGAAATATGGCAGTTGTTATCTAATAGTTCGTTTCTATGTGTGTTGACGTTTGTTTTTGTTGCACTTCGGTGTTCCTGTTGTTCCTTTGTTTTCCTCTTATAGTTGATGTGTTTCCCTCGGTTTTGGTTTGTAACCCGGATTTGTTTTCTCTCAATCGATTTATGACTTTTGAACACCGGTATACTACTGTTGCCTTTATTTAGCATTATCTAAAAAAAATTGCAATTTATCGTAAAAAAAGTACCATTTCAATGGCGGAAATAGCGACAGTAGCTACTAGGCGGATGGTATTCTATGGAATAAACAGTGGAATATGCACAGGTGCATGCTCAGTTTAGTAATATCAACCCGCTTAAAGAATTAATTTAATGAAATAAAATAATATATTAGTATATCTTACTTTTGAATTAGGTATGGATACTACTGGTCAACCAAATACCACCCCTGATTGGCTGAACTATTACCATCTTGTCTGTGAACATGGTAAGGATAAGATAAAGATTGTTATTAATGAACTTTACTTTAAATAATGCTTTTATATGAAAGCTTCCAATCAAAAGATTTAATTTTGTTGGTTTTTTTCTGTTGGAACTTATTTTCGTTTATTATTTTCTTGGTTTATACATCATCCTTGTAATGGTCAAAAGAGATATAAGAAAATAAGAAAATTGTTTTATAATACTTTCAGCTAATTGTAGACTACAGACAGGAACAGTAAGGCGTAGCTCAGGACGTTATGTTACATTGGTATTAGATATATCAGAACGTATGAAAGGCCATAATTTTGAAATAATGAAAAAAGCAGCAGTTGAGTACATTGAAGGTACTGTACCAAAAAGGTTTTCTCATGTTTGGGAGGAATATGGTATTTCTTTGATATTATTTATTGTTTGAGCGAAAAAAAAATATATCAAAACAATAGAAAACAGTTTCACATCTTAAAGAAAAGTTGATAAATAGCATGGTTCAACCCTTTCATAAACGTTTTTCCTAATTTTTCATTAAAACTTCCAATATCTCTCAGTGTGTACCGTTCTTACCATTAATTTAACAGCACTTATCATCCATTTATGCATCCAATTTCATTGAGAAGAATAAGAATAATACGCAATCGCTGTGGGGATCAAATCTCAAAAGCCGAAAAGCACCATTGCAAAGAAAAAAAAACGATCAAAAGACAATCAAGTTCAACAATCTCACCAAAAATTAGTGGGTGGACTTGATGAGACAATGTCATGAAATCTTTTTAAAGTTCAGACTTCAAAATATTCCTTTTGTATGTATATTTGTATTTGTCTCAATGCTTTGTTCGCTCTAACACACGAAGTAAAATGTTATTGGACAGTTATCACGTCATTGCTTACTTCTTGTGAAATGAATTAACAAGTACATTGACGAGTGACGAAAGCATTCTACATCTGAATCTGGTGAACAATAACCTTTTTTTAATATAAGAATGCAAACTTAGAATGATTATATATACATTACATATATTAGATGTGATGAGCAAAAAATGTGAAGCATGAGTTTTCGAGACATCATCACATATATGAAACATGAGTTTTCGAGACATTATCAAAAATGATTTTTTTTTCATTGTCTCGATCAGTTATGATCTCAAGGTTATATTTGTATTTTGTGATTAGAAAATTACGATGTAAATTGGTGTCTAACTCAGATTGCTAGTGGTCTCGACCTGCATAATTAGGTCAAAATAGTCCTTATTATACAACTCTGTATTTCAATACGTGTGCTATAATACAAATTATCAAACTGTAGTAATATGTTTTACGTGAATTATTTTACGAATGTTTTCATATCACAATAATGGTTTTGTCATTCTACATTAAGACAATGAATATTCATAGTTTGGAATACACATCGTTTTCCGGGACGAATATTGTTTTCAACTTTAATCCACAAACAAAATATTGTTTAACGGTTAATAGGAACGAGAAATTTTCTTAATCAATGTTGTTTAAATGTTGTCACTAGTTTCACTGGAAAAACCCTTTTTTCATTTTCTTTTGTTCAAAAAATTTAGAATTAAACAATTTATTATTTTTTATCAAAATCTAAATCATTTGAAATTTACCATTTGCAACCCAAGACACCTTAGAATGGTGCATGTATATACTCATTGACATTGGGTTAAATGTACGTTTATATGATATTTTTAGGTGTAAAACAAGTCAGTCAAACAATTGGGATGGAAGAGAATATTGGATTAGCTGTATTTGGCGGACAAAACCAACTCATTCATGAATGTACCGTTGATTTGGACCTTATTTTGAAATCTATAGGTATGTAGTATTGAATCATGGTTTAAGTATGTAACAAATAATTTACTTAATTGATATATATATTAAAATAAGAAGATGTGGTATGATTGCCAATGAGACAACTTTCCACATGAGACTAAATGACACAGAAATTAACAACTAAGGTCACCGTACGGTCTTTAACAATGAGCAAAGCCCATACCGCATGGTCAGCTATAAAAGGCCCCGAAATGACAAATGTAAAACAATTCAAACGAGAAAATTAACGGCCTAATTTATGTACAAAATAATGAACGAAAAACAAATATGTTACACAGCAACAAACGACAACCACTGAATCACAGGCTTCTGACCTGGGACAGGCACATACAGAATGTGGCGGGGTTAAACTCGTTTGAAGGCGCCAACCCTCCCCCTAACCTGGGACAGTGGTGTAACAGTACAACATAAGAACAAACTATAAAAATCAGTTGAAAAAGGCTTAACTCATCAGATGGATACAAATAAAAAAACGTCTAACAAAAACACGGTGTGAATTTGACAGGTACTTATACAGCCCCACAACAAAACGACACTAAGTACAGATCTGAGAGTACTCGCAGTTTCTGACAGCTAGTTCAAAGCCAATAACAACTAATACAAAAAATCATGCATCTAAGACTAAAATATCAATCAGTACACATCCAACATCCAATGGATTTAGTGTAAAGACGTCATAAACAGTCGGAGAAAAACATGACATTGTGCAATGCCAAGATACAGGTATCGATAGATTGTAGAGCCATTAATGTGCATATGTATATAAGAATGATAGTTAGTTTGATTTTAATTAATTGAGAACAGAATCAATATTAATACCAATAAAAAACAATATTCAAAGATCTAATTACAGTGTTGAATTGGTAACTTTTTAGAATAAGTTTACTTAAAGGATCGATAAGTTTACCCGGATCGTTTCTAAATTTTCGGGATCGGGAAAGAACATCTCCGTAAAAATTAGGATGTGCTATCCCGTTTGAAATAAGTTTTTTACAGGTACAATCAAACTTCAAAACCAAATTTGTATATCTATGGAAGAATTTAGTAAAGGTTTTATGTAATTTGTGGTAACGAAATCCCTGACTTAATAATTTACCAGTAATACATAGATTACGTTCATTGAAATCCAAAACGTCACAACAGACACAGGCATAGCGAACGAGTTGCGATATATAAACACCGTAAAATGGTGCCAAAGGAACATCACCGTCCAAAAAAGGAAAATTAACAATAGGGAACGAAACATCGTCCCTTTTGTCGTAAATTTTTATGTAGAGTTTCCGGTGTAAAACTGAAATATCTAAATCTAGGAAAGGACAGTTATTACCGTTTATATTTGATTTATTCAAAGTAAGTTCCTTTGGGTAAATTTCGGCAGTATATTCAGAAAAGTCTTGATTATTTAATGAAAAAATATCACCAAGATAACGGTAAGTGTTGTTGAAATTATCAATTAAATGCAATTTAGACGGGTCTTTACTGAGTTTGGTCATAAAGTGTGATTCAAAACAGTACAAAAACAAGTCTGCTATTAGAGGAGCGCAATTGGTGCCCATAGGAATACCTACAACCTGTCGATAAACTTTATTGCCGAAACGTACATAAATATCATCAAGGGGAAAATTAACAGCTTCAGTTATCTCATCACACCTCCAGTAAGTATATCTTCCATATTTACCTTTCTAATTAGAGATGAATGCTTTAAATGAGTTGCAGCAAATATATTTGCATACAGATTAACCAGAAGACCATTGTATTATATAGGAAACTTTGATAAGATTGTGTGGGAGTGTAGTATAAAAAGTTGAAATGTCAAAACTGTCAACAGAATCATAAGGACCATCAAAAGCACGTAATTTATCTAAAACATCCAAAGAATTGTTGACACTCCAAAAAGTTAATTCCACTATTTTCATATATTTTATTACACAAGTTAATGATAAGTTCTTTGATGAAAGTTAAGGAACTGGTTAAAAGCACTGAAAGATAAGTTTGTAGAACACTTACTAGAAGCCGAGATGAAACGATATTTTACTGGTATTTTGTGTAGTTTAGGTAACTAATACATAGTAGGGACCTTCAAATGTTCAGAAGAGGCCTTAAGCTGTGATGTGGTTATGATATGTTTGCTTACTATATATGACTCTCTGTTGAGCGCACTGACTTGAATGTAGAAGAATTTAAAATTTCATTTTAAGAACGTCCGTGTAGTATTAAGGCATAACACCACCACATTGTTGGCTGCTTTGTCGGCCGGTACAAACACACACCGCTTTGAAAGTACTTGAAGTTTGTTTCTTATTCTAGAAAAAGGCGTATTATGTACTCTTTTATTTATTTTTGAATTATTTTCAAAATGTGATATTCGAATGTCCACAACATTCATACATTTATTTAAATAAAAATCAAGAGATTTATTATCAGATTTTTCCCGTTTACACCAATTTTTACAATACGATGAAAGAGAGCGATAATCTGCTTGTAAGTGTTTCATATAATGAAACAATGATTTCATACACACCCTTTAAAGTGCTACATGTACCACACTAAAAAAAATTGGATTTAACGTAGACAAGTGCCACTTGCATTTTACACTTAAATCAGTTATCATAAATATAATTTAGAAATTACAGTAGATTAATTCAATGAATTTAAATGAAAAAGCTGTCACAGAAAAATTAGGAAAACAAGTCGATGTGATATGATGAGCAGTGAGACAACAATTCCTCGGATACCAAAGTTGAATAACTGTTATAGTTGTTGAAATCAGAAATAAAGGTGAAACATGTATAACAATAAGGCATACACTATAATACATCATAGTAAAGGACCAAATTTGGAATTTAAGGCATAATTAGTCCTTTTTGGAATACCATGCCAAAACTGATAAAATATTAATAGAGAAATTATAATTGTAAACTGAGACAAATTTTTCGGCGGGGTTGGGTTTTGATGGTTTGTGTGGTGTGTTTGTACTATCTTATATTTTCAGTGATTCAAGTTATCATTTCTGTAGTTTTTAAAGGAATGTAGCTTATCTTACATGTCCGAAGATTTAGCCAATAGCATACCGTCATGATCATAAATTTTGTCAGAATATTTGATAACAAGTTCCTTAGTGGTTGTATGAGCATAATCAGAACGAAAATATTTGTAGTGAACATTTTCTGGATGAAAATATTAAACAAAATTTATAAGGTATATTTGAGAATCCAATATATAGCGTGGTCTTTGTGGTTTCTTTTTTGAAGCTTTCTCGTTCCTCTTTTCTTCAGGGAATGTGTAGTTTCTATTATCTCAGTAAAGATTTTGGCTGTTTTGCAATCTGGTAGAAACACAAAACGCCTTCCCGGAGTTTTAGAAATGGTAGACAACAAAACTGATGCATTTTTTATGAAACGAATCTATCAATGTTTTATCAGCTTTCTTTCTTCTGCACCAGTAATTGCTGTATTACGAAATTGAGTTGCTTAGGTAACTGAACAAATTTTGTTTTCAATTTATTTTTGAATATGGGTGATATAAAACAATATGTCCCTTCTGAAGAAATTTCTTAATCCCTCAGACTTGAAAGTTTATGTTCAAGTAACAATATGGCAACACTGAGTTTAACGAAACCCTCATTGTGACAGTTTCGAGACCGTGGAATGTTGTGTTCAGTATAACTGTCAATAATAAAAGATGTTCAGTTAAAAATCATATTTCTGTTAAACTAAAGTAATTAAGATATTTTATTCAGCATGTTCAGTGTAGATACGTGCTTTGAGTATTACAATTATTGCATATTCTAGGTAAATTGATAAAATTAACATGTATAAATTCCAAACAGACATGATGTTAATCTGGTCTGTTTATAGGAGAGAAAATCTAATGATAACACACTGTTCTTAATATTTGAGTTTGCGTAATTGGGAATGGAAAAGGATAAATCATTACAACCTGATGATTTGGGATATAACTGTGTGCAATGAGTAAAACAGACTATACAATCTGAATAAGACCTTGAGTAGTTTTTCAGGTATTTTAAAAATCTGTAAGATTGAAAAAAATCACTATGTCTCCGTTATCATGATGTAAACGATTATGATTTCTTCGGACAACAATGTCCATTATATCAGCACATCTATGTAATGTCTGGATATCCCCTTGCGCTATATAGTGACTTCAACTGACAGGAAGACAGTTAAACTGAACATTCCTGAAACATGTTTATGCACTAACATTTTTCAGGAATGTTCAGTTTAATTTTGTAAGGTGGATCATTGGTATATATTTCCGCAGATAGAATTTTCTTATACTCTGCAAGAATGTAGATTATTCCATGTTTTTTTTTCAAAAATATAATAAAAAAGTATAGGTCACCGTGCTATTTTTCTAACTACAATTCGTTCAAGATTGTCCAACTTTGCATAGATTGTTCATGAAAAAACACATTTTTGTGAATAAAAAGAGATAGAATTTTGAAACAAATATGAGAAGATAGGTTTTAAAATATCCTTTAAGAAAATAAATAGAAAAAATGGTGTCACCGACCTTGTTTTCTGCTACAAGTAAAAATTGAAAATGTTTCTATCATTCCTTTCTTAAAAATTTACTCCTTGAGTTATCTCCCCTTAATTGGATAAGTTGACCATTTGATTGGAATAAACACAAACATTTGGTATTTGATAAATCGGTCTGAATAATGCGATAAATAACCTATTTTTATTTATTCCAATAAACAGTTTAACCCATTAACTGCCAATCTGTCTCAGAATTTGCAGATTTTATAAAAAAAAATAGACCTATTGAGAACTACTATTTTACAATCTGAGATGGCGGTACACAGTTAATCTACCTTAATAGACTATGTAATTGTTCATGTAATATCGTTTGGAAAAGAAAGTGAGATATTTTTGCCGTTGACAGTTCAAATAACAGATTTTTCAACTACATCTTGAAAAGTAAACTTAGTTTTTGTTATCATATATATACTGGACCTTGAGTTTGGCATGATAGGTCGTTTTGAAAAGTAAGCACGAAAGTTTTTCCGTTGACAGTAGACAGTACAGTTTGTTTACAACTAAACACGAAAACGTTTATCATTTAAAGAATTTTTGTACGGTTAAGTTCGGGTACATCCATTTGCATTTCTGGTGAAAATGATAACGGCATCTTTATCTGTAGATATATATAAGTATGTAAATAACATTGCTGAAATGCATTCATCGGTTAGAAATTATCAACATCTTTTATAATAAAATCACTTGAATCCAACAGGAAAACTTCAACCAAGCGGCTCTGCACCTACAATAGGAGGGTTGCTGATGGGTATGGCTGGTGTATCGACAGGTAAATACATTTTAAAATATTTCAGGAATATGAGTGTTACAAGGAAATAAATATACAATAATAATTGAAGATATTTACTTTAAGCATACTTTGAAATGATTTACATTAAAAAAAATAAAAATTCAGTTTCTGATCCATTAAAACTACTTATCAAAAGATAAAACATAGAGTTCCTACTTGCATTGGTAAAGTTGACTTTGGGTGAATTTGACTATACCTATTCTTTTTAGGTCCCTTTTGGTCATAAACTCCTCACGTAATCAAGTAGTTATATATTCTTAGCTTTCAATTTTTTGTGTTTGAGCGTCAGTGATGAAGGTTAATCCAGTAAAGGGTTTCGGAGGCACCAAAATCATAAAGTGTTAGTTTCATTAAATTAGAACATACGGAAGCAATAATTAATCAGTGGTAATTTACCTTTAATGATATTCATTCTGAAAAGCTGCTTTGGTATCAATATTTGATATACCAGTGTCATAGGAAAGTTTATAGATGTTGACCGTATTCTTAACTACATAATGCAGTACTACTTCTTGGCATGACATTTATGTTTTGTACTTTATTAAACATAAGGCTTTCAGATTAAATGGATAACACGTCATTTTTGTTTTATACAGGTCCGTTTGGAGAAATCGGAGAATTTCCACTCCAAGGACATATTATCATCTTTACGGATGGTGAATCGGAAGGAAAGACATCTTCTTTCTCCAAAGCAAACAGTGGAATTGATTTAAACTCTTTACTTAACAGTGGTGGTTTAGGTTTATCAATTTCGAGTACCGGAATTAGCATGGAGTCTTTACTTGATGAAAATGATATATGTGTAATATACGTTTTTGTTTATTTACTTGGTGTTATGTAAATCAATTTTGTGCACTATTTTATATTGAGAGTAGGTCATTAAAAGAGCAACACATTTTAAAGAAACCGACATGTAAAGGCTATTATATAGCCGACAACAATGCATAGGTTAAATGAGCTACATAGACTCAATAGCTTTTTGACAAGGCTCAGGCATATTAACGTTAAACTGTTGGCATCCTTGTATCAGATGGTTGCAAACTCATTGTATTGTCACTCTAAAACGAAAGCTATTAATAATGTTAAAACCGAAGACAATGACGAAGTATTTTATAGTGAACGACATGATACCAAAACATATTTAAAAATAGACTGATTTGATCTACTGATTATAGAAAAAATATCGTATATAATTTGACTTTTATTTCATACATTTGGAAGCTTTTACAACTTGCCGCATGGCGAGTCAAAACTCAGAACATATGTAAGGGACTAGATACAACGGACCTTTATAGTGATGTGACCTTTGATATATAGTTATTACTGCAGCGGGACAATAAGAGAATACCCTGACTAAACAGGTATTACTGCAGCGAGACAATAAGAGAATACCCTGACAAAATAGGTATTACTGCAGCGGGACAATAAGAGAATACCCTGACTAAACAGGTATTACTGCAGCGGGACAATAAGAGAATACCTTGACAAAACAGGTATTACTGCAGCGGGACAATAAAAGAATACCTTGACAAAACAGGTATTACTGCAGCGGGACAATAAGAGAATACCTTGACAAAACAGGTATTACTGCAGCGGGACAATAAGAGAATACCTTGACAAAACAGGTATTACTGCAGCGGGACAATAAGAGAATACCTTGACAAAACATTTTTCTCTTAATTGAGATTACTTGTATTGCTGGTTTGACTGTATATATTCTTCACATCAAAAACAGTGAAGTATTTGACAAACAACGTAACATGTCACGGTTCGTTATTGAAAATTAAGAAGCACATTTCAAACAGTTGCTTTTTAACTTGAATTGTTTGATAAACTGCTTGATATGATTGCTCAAAATTAAAAAAAAAACAAACAACTCCTTACATACACGAGGCTCTGTGGAATCCTTTATTTACGTGGTTTGAGGAAAAAATGAATTTTCGTAGATATTTGAATGTCGAGGATTTGCCAAAATCGGCATACAATAGATATAAGAAGATGTGGTATGAGTGCCAATGAGACAACTCTCCATCCAAGTCAAAATATAAGCCAATAGAAAATCTTTGTTTCGTCGAACATATAAATTTAAGGGTTTCCTATGTCCACGAAAATTGATATCCCACGAATAATAATGAATTCACTGCATTAATTAAGATTTTGTTGATGTAGAAATTTTGTTGTCGTTAAATCTGTTTGAAAGAATTGTAACTGTTGTAGTATTATAGCCATTATAGATTTTTTTATCTACCAATACAAGTTTTATTATTATAAAAAGCTAATAAGTGTACAACATTTTTACCTCAAACAGGAACTTGTATTCTACATATGTCAGTATTTATCTGATTGACTATTACAAAATGAAAAGTTTTATTTTGCAAAGCAAAGCCTCATTGACATTAAAAGACAATGCATGATTGTCTTCACTACATTCGAAATATGAGAATTGCCTACATATTGTGTTGCGCCTCTATGTAATATCTTATTTTTTATAAATCGCATAACCATATGGTATAAGCGTTTTAATCGAGTTACGTCTTTATTTAAGGTGGTTGGGGTATTTTTGTCTAAATAACAATGTCTGTGTCGATACTAGAGGAAGAAGTCAATATAAGTAAAAAAATCTATATGGCACTTGCAAAGTAATCCACTCTGGATGAATCCATATCAAATCTTACCTTTAAATACCAACCCGCATTTAATTCACTCGTGTACACTTTTTATCAAACTCGGATCCTTACTTAGTCATTATTTTGACCAACTCGTACCTCGGTTTTAGATCATAAAGGAATATGCACTCTACTGCAAATTGTATATCCAATTAACAAAACGTATTATGGCAATAATACGGTCCTCATCTTCTTTCACGTGTCACACCTGTCTCGTATTATGTAATGGCACATTGATTATTTTGCATGTAGTCTTTGATCGAGATACGCCTAATTTTCAGGGTCTCTTCCTCTTTTTATGCAATGTTTTAGCTTAACGTCGAGACTTTTTAAGACAAACTTGCCTACGTAAAAATCCATGTATTGGTACTATCTATGGCACATCTTAGAATCATATTAGGAATATGCAATTCCTATCTGAGACTGCATCTCAAAACAAAATATTTCCGATCTTTGTAATGGTGTAAAGATTAATTAGCATGAAATCCGTCATTTATTCGAAAACGTTATCTTTTGCCTCAATATCGGTTATCATTTATTATTATAACATTTCAGAAGAATTGACATAATATACGAAAAACGTTGCATGTTAACCCTGTATAACTCAAGTAACGCTTTGTTTTTGATATCTGCGATCTAAGATGGCTGCCAAGGAAAAAAAAAGAGTCATTTCTATTCAGTTCAAATATTCATGAATCTGGCGTACAAAATTAAATGCCTGGTATCTTTAATGAGTTTTTCTATAAACGTCTTAATGCCGAAATTATTTTGAGCCTTTTTCAACTTTATTAAACTAATAATACATATTTGTATTCAGGATTACGCCGGAATAGAAAGTGTTATCCACCAGACAGTCAGTAGTCAAACAAAAGTATTCTATGTTCCGATCGGAAATAATCAGAAGAACGCTGTAAGTATCAGTCAATTGTCATATTTCCAAAACAAATTGTTGTGAAAAGCAAAAGATATGATAAAACCGAATAAGTTATTAAACGAACTTGCTTTGAAAATATTTTTCAATTTTGGAATATTTTATTACGTATATCCTCAAAAATTATTACAATCGAATTGAGGTTCAGGATTGACAAATCATTATTCAAAAGTAAATGTACAGGGTTTACTGAGTTTGATAGGCACATCTGGCCTCTTTTTCCTAAACAAAATATCAAACCTGAATTAGAGAAACAAGATATGTATAAATACATTGAAAGCTTTAAAACAAAAGATCCGGTTACAAATAGCTAACTTCATTATAGAAGTTATTGCCGTTTAATGATGACTTTTACCAATTTTGTCGAACACTTGAGAGTTAAAAAAGCTGTTAACAGCAAAACGGATCAGCAAGAGAAGATCTCCAAAAAGGAGAACAGTCCAACTTATTAGTGGACTCCTTATGGGAGTTATTGCCCTTGCATAACGATTTATACCCATTTTTGTATTTTGGACAACACCTATATAATAGATAATGAGAAACTGTAAACAGTATAAATGATCAGCAATACATGATCAACAAAAATGAGATTTTATTCATGCAATATATTCTAGTCTACAAAATTGGAGAGTGGTCAAAGTTGAAGATCCACATATATCCAGTTGAGCGACACAGGCTCATTTGAGTCTGAAGTTGTTTTCACTACTTAATAAAGAACGCTCACAAAACATAACGAAAAGGTTAGATACATATATATAAAAGCGGATGAATCTTCTAAAGGACTATGAAGGGTATTCAAAACAAAAGATGTTTTACTTTAATGTTTTGCTCTTTATTATTTGATCGCTGACAACTCCATAAACATGATTCAGAAAAAAAACATGCACAAGATATATCACATTGCTACAATTAAACAATTACACGAAAATTAAAAATAAATATTTTTTAGATGTTGCAAAAACCCATTGTACTCAACAAAAACAGTTTTAAGTACAGTATAAAACATCATGAGGAATAAAAAATTAATAAAATAAAAATGACATATGATAACGTCAGTAAAATAATCAACAGGAGCTACTGACGCTTTAACCGATTTGTATTGGGAGTCTTGCTGCTGAGACGTTATGAAGTATTTTGAAGTATATACTTTTCATCTGCTTTCTTAAAAACATGGTATTTTCAGTCTTTTTGTAACTTTTTTTTTTTGGTTTTTAAATCCCTCTTAGTATCGTCAACTTTTTATTTATCAGGCAAAGAATTTAAAAGCGTTAGCTTTATCCGCAATGTACTGCAAATTGAGAAAAAAAAAGATTTTGAAATAGAACTATTATGAAAAGATATATATACCTCCTAACTAACTTAGTAAATGTATTTATAATTTATCATTATATAAATATTTTAGATATTGGAACGTGTAATCAGAGAAACGAATGGGAAAATGATACAAACGAGTGAAATGTATCGTTTAGTAAGGATGACTCAAGTCATTGTACGTTAAGTATTAAAATAAGTTATTGAAATACATGTGGCACAATTTTGTATAGGAATAAACATGAGCTGATCGGTCCTGCAATGAACTGTCACGGAATGGAATAATATTTCATAACACATATCTAAACCAAATCTAAGCGCCTAATACAAAAGGCACATATCTTAACGAACAATTACGTAAAGTTAGTCTCCTCTACGGCGACGTTTCCATTATCAACTTTGCCAGAATCTTGATAAGTCACTACAGAATGATAAACGCGCTAGAGAAAAGTATATTCGATTATCCAATTTATTCGTGAATATATTATTATGTGCATGAGAACCTTTTATCATTCGTATATATATATATATATATATATGAATATTTCAATATTGATGTCTATAAAAATATCGTCCAGATAACAGAAAATGAAAAAGCATTTTCATTCTATACATAATTATTTAGATTTCATTTGTCACTGGTGTTAAACTGATAATCGTAACTGGAATTACGACTATCCCAATATGGCGACGGCAGAAATAGGTAAAATCTTTTCAGTCATTTTTCTCAAATGTAGCCCGTCGTTGTCAAGAGTTACTCAGCTGTAAGGTTTTTCTATACCAATACATCATATTTGAATCGTAACGGTGCACACAATTGTCTAGGCGCTTAGAAAATTGCCGTCGAAAAATTCGGGATGATAATCGTAACTCGCAAAAATGATAATCGTGATTTCGGTATTAATAAATAAGAAGATAATCGTAACTGGATAGTGTTTGATTGGTATTGGCACGAAAAACGTCTATCTGATAGCATATGATGAAAATATGGTGATGAATTAATCACGAAAACGTTCCCACATCTTATGACATTCATTTCTGTGCATATATGATAAACAGTTCTAATGTAAACAGCTACATACTAGTATATATCATAAAATTGGAAGGGGGACCAGCTTCAATAAATTTGTAAATGGGGATACACGAACTATGTTAAAATACTGAAAACTCCAGGAACTAGAACCACAAAATATGGGAGAAAATTAAAAAAAATGTCATCATGATTTATTCATGTTTAGAGTTAAAAAGAAATATTGTTTGCTATTCTATTTAAATACGGACTTGAAAACAAATGTCACACCTTTTTGAATGTGTAAAAAGTTGTATAGCCCATAAATACTATAAAAATGCTTAGCTATTTCATAACCGTCACTGACATTTCGATATTTCAGAAAATAACTATAAATTTTAACAACACCAATTTAGTTTGACATTCTAATAATATGACATCCTTAAAACGTTTAATGATAATATAAGAGTAGAGAAAAGTTGGAATGCTTTGTGTGTTATGGAGTTAAGCACATGGTGACGTGGAGTTCATTGGCAAACATGGATTTGTGTTCTTTAATATTTGCCAAAAGCCCGAAGATCAAGAAATCAAATTGATGTGGCCTTAAATTACCTTACAAGCTATATTTATTCAAAGAATGACTGAAACTTTAAGAAATCATAGCGCATATTCCGCCATATCAGAAACAAACTGATTCAAGAAATCATAAATACTTGGTATATGAAAAATATGCTGCATACATTAAACAAGGAACAATAAACACAAGGAACAATAAACACAATAACAATAAACACAAGGAACAATAAACACAAGTAACAATAAACACAAGGAACAATAAACACAAGTAACAATAAACACAAGTAACAATAAACAATAGTAACAATAAACTGGTAACTGTTCTAGATCATTTACCATCCACCCTGTTTAAAGAAACGTCCTAAAATACATTGGTATTAAATCAAAATATTTGAATTTAATTTTTAAAATCATATAAAATATCAGTGTAGAACAGAACAAAAGTGAATTCACATGAAAAATATGAACGGCTATTTAAACCGGGATACATTTCACTCCAAAAAAAAAACTATGTATTTCTATTGAAATATAAGGAAAAGGGCAAAATGAAAATTCATATCCACCAATCAAAGTATCAACTGTTAAATCCAATAATGCAGTTAAGTAACTGATGAAAAATTTTGTTCATTTCTCGCAGAAATTTAGGGAACGTTTATATGAGGTCTGTATCAGGCACGGGGGAAGGGGTGGTGTCACTTCTGGCGTGCTGCTGAAATTGAATAAAAAATATCCCCTTTCATATATTGCCGAAGACCAAAAATCTGATCCATGTTATAACTTATATATTTATATAGGAAGTAACCCACAGCCACCCCCGTGGAATAGGGAATATTGAGATAGGGGAGGTTAACTTGCCCTTTTTATTGAATTAAAAGTCGATTGGATATATCCATATCTTTAACAGGTACATGTATATATTAAAAGGTTATGCATATTGTTGTCAGTTATAAATCGAGATATATATATACATGTAAGTAAATTTGTCCTAAATATTAACCTGTAAGTTGCTTCATTATTTTTTATTTTGCGCGTTAATGTCATCGTTTAACTGGACATTGTCGTTTTAACATACAAAATACCATTGACAAGCTGGAAGACACATTTATTATTTTTCAGTTACTATTATCCCATAAAGAAATTACGATTATCAAACAAGAAAAATGCCATCGAATTACGATTATCATCCCGAATTTTTTGACGGCAATTTTCTAAGCGCTTAGACAATTATAGTGCACCGTTACGATTCAAATATGATGTAATGGTATAGAAAAACCTTGCAGCTGAGTAACTCTTGACAACAACGGGCTACATTTGAGAAAAATGACTGAAAAGATTTTACCTATTTCTGCCGTCGCCATATTGGGATCGTCGTAATTCCAGTTACGATTATCAGTTTAACACCAGTGATTTGTGAAGTGTTTAAGCACACACAAACAATTGTGTTGAATTTTATTATACTTGCAGCTGTTAGCTACAAACATAGCTTCCGACATTATGTATTCAGCAGACCAGAGCAGAGAATTTATCAACAAGAAAATAAAAGAGAGATCCAGTTTTGATGATCGATATGTAAGATTTGGAAAATTTTCTTTCAAACATTTGTAGTGAAATATATAAACAAAGGAAAGACGGGGCAACTTCAGGCACGCAAAAAAAATCAAATACAGTAAAGATAAACAATATGAAAATAATTCCATGATATGTGAATGAAATAACTATCCACAAGGACTAAAGGACAGAAATGTAAAATTTGTTCAGAAAATGTTTCAATGTCTTTTCACCTTCAAAATCTCAATTGTTATAAACTCTTAATTAAATTAACGTAAATGTTAGACATACTGAATAAAAATTACATAAATAAAAGGAATATGTCAGTTAGGCAACAAACGAACGATACAAAACGACCAAAATACATATGGGATAAATGAACACAGCGAAAAATAACTAAAGGATCATTAGAAATAAAATTATAATACTTTCATGATCCCATTAATAAAGAAATACCATTAGTATAAAAATTTCAAAAATTTCAATTTTAAGATCCTCAAAGCTCACATTTTTACCAAGAAACGATTTTAACAATGACTACTTGTTATGCTTTAAAATTTCCTATCCATATACCGAAATCCATAACTCTTAATGGTAAAATGAGAAGAGATTGTGAGGAGACATGCGTGCTTTCTATTCAAAGTTATTTCAATTGTAACTTTTAAACTTATATCTCCAATATTTCGATTGGATTGATCGTTCGTACTTAGAATCTGTCTTAGATAGAAAGATTTTCACGTAAAGTCAATGCTGTGGGTCAAACATATCATAGGTACATTGTATGAGGAAATTTCATCTGAACATATGCATAGAAAAATTAATACCCTAAACATTTTTTAATTCATTTTTAAATTTTTTTTTACCCTTTGTCATTTTCCCGCATTTATATAGAACGACTGCCTAGATATGGTACAGGAATTCATCAATCCATTAAGCATGGAAAAGAAACGGGGTAACTTTACTGAACTTACCTGTCGATCTTTACAACTTGGTGACAGAGTACGTCGTGGTCCTGACTGGAGCCATGGGAATCAGGATGGTCATATGGCTGGAACCGTCGTGGGACAACAATCACATGGTTTGTACATAATGTTTTATTGTTATATTTCTATATATAAATGTACAATTACATGTAGACTATACATATCAGTAACTTAAAATGTATAATAGTGTAACTCATATGAATCATACATGTACTATTGATTAAAATGTATGTTACTAAGGTAGCCTTAAGATGAATATCAATGATGAAATTGATAGTAGGTATGTTAAATTTTGGTATTCAAAGATATTCACTTTATATGCATATGCATTTAAATCAATCATATTATATATTAGAAATTAATTGTTTGCAAAAAACGACTGGATAAATAGCATAATTTGCATTTAAGCAAATTACATAATGTTAATTTGGTGTTTAATTATGTCAAATTAACTGTCTATATATAAATAAGAAGATGTGGTATGATTGCCAATGAGACAACTCTCCAAAAGAGACCAAATAACACAGACAATAACAACTATAGGTCACCGTACGGCCTTCAACAATGAGTAAAACCCATACCGCATAGTCAGCTATAAAAAGCCCTGAAATGACAAATGTAAATCAATTCAAACGAGAAAACTAACGGCCTGATTTATGTACAAAATAATGAACGAAAAACAAATATGATATACAGCAACAAACGACAACCACGGAATTACAGGCAGGCACATATAGCTAGTTTGAAGGCGCCAACCATCCTCCTTACCTGGGACAGTGGTGTAACAGAACTACACAAGTACAGACTATGCAACAGAATAAACGAATAAAAACTATGGGAAACAGTAAAAAACGACAACCACTCAATAACAGGCTCCTGACTTTGGACCGGCACATATAGAATGTGGCGGGGTTAAACAAGTTTGAAGGCGCCAACCCTCCCCTAGCCTGGGACAGTGGTGTAATAGTACAACATGAGAACAAACAATAAAAATCAGTTGAAAAGGGCTTAACTCATCAGATGGATACAAAGCAGAAATACATCTATCAAAAACACAGAGGCGACGTGGCAGGGTACTTATACATCCCCACAACAAAAAGACACTAAGTTCAGATCTGAGAGTACTCGCAGTTATTGACAGCTAGTTCAAAGCCAATAACAACTAAGAAAAAAAAAATCATGCATCTTAGACTAAAATATCAATCAGCACACATCTAACGTCCAATGGATTTATTGTAAAGAAGTCATTAACAGTCAGAGAAAAACACGACCTTGTGCAATGCCAAGATACAAGTATCGACAGATTGTAGAGCCATGAAAGTGCATATGTATATAAAAATGATATGTAGTTTGAATTTAATTTACTGATAACAAAATCAATTCTTATACCAATATTGACAATATTCAAAGATCTAATTATAGTGTATAATTTGTAACCTTTTATAATAAGTTTATTTAAAGGATCGATAAGTTTACCCGGACCGTATCTAAATTTCCGGGCTCGGTAAACAACATCTCCGTAGAAATTAGGATGTGATATCCCGTTAAAATAAGTTTTCTACAGGTACAACAAAACTTCAAAACCAAATCTTTATATCTATGGAAGAATTTAGTAAAGGTTTTAAGTAATTTGTGGTAGCGAAATCCCTGACTTTATACTTTTCCAGTAATACATAGATTACGTTCATTGAAATCCAAAACGTCACAACAGACACGGGCATAGCGAATGAGTTTCCCGTGTAAAACTGAAATATCTAAATCTAGGAAGGGACAGTTATTACCGTTTATGTTTGCTTTATTTAAAGTAAGTTCCTTTGGGTAAATTTCGGCAGTATATTTAGAAAATTCTTGATTATTTAACGAAAAAAATATCATCAAGATAACGATAAGTTGTTGAATTTATCAATTAAAGGCAATTTAGACGGGTCTTTACTGAGTTTGTCCATAAACTGTTATTCATAACAGTGCAAGTCTAATATTAAAGGGGCACAATTGGTGCCCATAGGAATACCTTCAACCTGTCGATAAACTTTATTGCCGAAACGTACATAAACATTATCAAGGAGAAAATTAACAGCTTCAATTATCTCATCACACCTCCAGTTGGAAGCATTTATCTTTTTCTACCCTTGTTCATTACATCAAATTAAATACCCTAGCTGAACAACTACAAGCTAGCAAATTACTCTCTCTCTCTCTCTCTCTCTCTCTCTCTCTCTCATATAAGTAAATAGATCAGAGCATGATACCTCGACCATTTTTGGAGAGTTGACCATAAAGTGAACATTTTATATACGTGTTTTACTCACAGTAACAGTAAATGCAATCTGCACCATGCATATTGACAGTACTACACATTTGAAGATAAGATTTGTATCATAAAGTCTAAACAAAAACTCATAAAAAAAAAGATCAATAATTCTATACGTCAGATGAGCGTTTCGTCTACATAAAACCTTCTTATTCTAACAGACTTGTTCTTATTCTTATTTACAATTTATCAGGCCTTCACTGATTTGATTATGTGAATAGACATGTTTAACACTATATATGAAGACATTCTCGCATAAGCTGTTATAAAGACTTTTTCAAACGACGTTTGTCTAATTTCCAGGTGTAATCAGAGTTAAATGGGACAGTGGTGATACCAATATCTACATGCAATGTGACGAAACTAATACATACGATCTTAGGAAGGTAGATGAACCTAGAATACTGGTGGATGAGATGATAGCTGTTGGTTGTAGAGTTGTTAGAGGTACGTATATAATACATTAGTTAGTCAAAACAAATTAAAGTTTTGGTTTCTTAAGTTGTGCTATTGTAAGGGGACTTAAGTAAAACATTTTCTTCATTTATATCTAAATATTTTCACCTTTTGGAGATTTGGTGTCATGGCAAATCCTTGGTAGTCTTTGTTAAACTTATATACTTTCCTAGTCATAATACTCATATAACGAACATTTCTCAATTTTCGAAGACATAAACATTATAGATGCCGTCTGGAGTTTTTTGTTATTGTTTTTTGTTGCTTCGGTTTGCATTTGCATTTGTTTTTGGTTTGGTTTTCTTTTTCTTTAGTTATTTATGTATTTTGTATTTTTGGTTGAAAGTGTCATTCACGTTTATCTCACATCAAATTTATGCATAACAAGTATAGATGTTTTAAAAAAGCAGCAGTCATCTATCAGGGGAAAACGTTAGATAAAAAATGTGTTATAGACACATTAAATTATAATTGTAACCACATGCATTTTTCATACAATATATCGAACAATTCTGTAACATTCAGTCCAAAATCATGAAAATTACACTGTATAAATTTGGAGTGTTCGAAGTGCTTTTCTAGATTTACCTTATTCAGAAACGATAACTATAATGATAACAAGAACAGTGTTTACCATGTTTTTCGTGTAATTGTTTAGTATTATAGTTATCCTTTATATCATAGGACATAATTGGAAGTTTGGTGATACTGATGGTGGACATGGAAGTGTAGGGACAGTTATAAATGTGAAACAGGAGGGGAAAGTTGTGGTGAGTCTATAGTTCTCGGACGTTACAATAAGCATTTTACGCGTATTGGAATACATGTAATTAGATATCTTTGTCGACTTTTTTCGTCATTAACTATATTTGTAAAACATTAATACGTGTTCTGGGTGAAAGCAGTTGAATATGACTGTCCTCGTTCCTGTGATGTATGCCCTTATATTTTACAGTTAGGGTTTTTTTTTTCTTGTGGGATAGCTGTCTATATACTTTTCAACTGATTTTTATAGTTTGCTCTTATGTTGTGCTGTTACACCACTGTCCCAGATTAGGGGAAGAATTTTTAACCCCGCCACATTCTGTATGTGCCTATCCCAAGTCAGAAGCTTGTGATTCCGTTGTTGTCGTTTGTTGCTGTATATCATGTTTGTTTTTCAGTTTATTGTTTTGAACATAACTATATATAAATCAGGCGCTCTCAGTTCTCGAAAGGTGCTCCGAATAATGGAGGAATCTAACTGCAGAATATATATACAAGGTCGTCATTTTTTCTCGTTTGAATATTTTACATTTGTCATTTCTGGGCCTATTAATATAGCTTTCTATGCAGTATGGGTTTTGTTGATTGTCGAAGGCCGTACGGTAACCTAAAGATGCTCAGCTGTTACGTCATTTTAGTCTCTGATGGCGAATTTTCTCATTAACAGTCATAACATATCTTCTTATTTCTATATATAATAAAAATACATTTACCTAGATGTTGCTTCTTTAAACATAGATTAAATGAATGTCGGATTTTACAAAAAATGGGAAACTACATGAAATATGTGTAACAGAACAAATTCATACGAAGCTTATTAGAGGTCAACTTTCCATTGAAGGGTTGCATTAAATTTCTGATTTAAAAGAAAAACAGTTTGTGACTGTGTTGCTCTGGTAACAAAATCTTCTATTTCAGGTGAGATGGGATTCTAAAAGAACAGGACTATATAAGATGGGATATAATGGACAGTTTGAAATAAGAGTACAGTTAGTACTGCAAACTTTATTGTCTAAATAGTTTCATATATAAGTTTCTTATCTGCATCCGATTTCACCTGTATAGATGCACGCTAAATGAAGCTTGTTTGTCTAGCGAAAAAATTGCGTTTATTTTTCATCGCATTGTATATATTTTTAACATTTTAATATTTACATTCTAAATAGTGTGTTGAAATTACATTGTTAGGCAATTTATATATATATCCAAATACCGTTTCGATTCCTTACATCACTGAAGAGACATTAATTGTCGAAATCCGGATACGGTGTACAAATTTTTGCACCTCATGTTTGCGGTATACCATCTCTTCCGCAAGTTCATTGTTTTCTCTTTGGTATTAAATTAAAATTAAGATCCATTTTTTACATCTGGTAATACCGTTTTTTGGCAATGGAAGTCAGCAGGGTTTAAGAACATCAGTTGTTCGATCTGCTAGTCAAATGCGTTTTGTTAAAATATACTTTTTCACTTTTTTGGTCTTTTGGAAAATGTTGTTTGTGCTGTATTTAGACCCCTCTTCCAAGAAATTTGTTTTGCATGCACACGTATAAAAATTGCGGTTTTTATCCAACGCAATCATAGGTTTGAACGTTGTTTTCAATTTAGACTAATTAAACCGCAATTTTTATACGTGTGCATGCAAAACAAATTTCTTGGAAGAGGGGTCTAAATACAGCATAAACAACATTTTCCAAAAGACCAAAAAAGTGAAAGAGTATAATTTAACATCATATTCATGTCAACACAAAAAGGCATTGGGTACGACCCAGAGGTTCGAAAACAAATAACCATCTTATGTACCCGATGGCAAAATGAAATGGTGTGTCACTGGCAATCGGAACTACACAAAGCATCTGCTGTACACGATAGCAAAAAAATGTTGTGCATAACAATCGGTGTCGATTTTGTTTTTTTTTTCCTTTGAATACGTCCTTCATAGTAGTACATGTGTCCTACTTTTAAACATACAGTATTGAAACGAATAAATCTGTTTTACCTGGAGAAAGGAATAATGCACACTTAAGAATAAACAAATGTTTTAATTAGTGCTTTAACTTTGAAGTGATGCAGCTCTTAGGAGTAAAAGACCTGAACCGAGATCAGATTATAACAGCCCACATACATCAGACAGTGAATCAGAGAATGAAACATGTCGACCAAAATCCAGCACAATTAAAGACAATAAAACACAAGATCCAACAGATTATGTCATTCCGATATATTCCGATTCAACAGGTAATATACTCTAAATGTCACGAAAGGTCTTTTGATATATTCGTCTATATTATATATAAGTAATAACATTGATATTATTGTCAATAGTTTAATACTAGTACATAACATATTGCTGTTCTATTATCAGCACTTATAGCTCAGCATCCAGTCTACTTTTATTTTGGCATTACGAAAGCTCATGCTTTTCTCCGAATGCTTAAACCACAAAATACATTAGAAGTGTTGTGATCGATATTTTTGTCTAGGATAACTTGGTAAATCTATTAGTTGACATTTGCTTTGAAGGAGCTTTTAGTAAGTTCGAAGTCGATACTTTGTGTTTTTTGTCATTTTGTTATTAGTGCAAATCTAATGAGGCAAGCCCTTTTCAATTGATTGTTACCGAGTGTTCTTATGTCGACAGGTTATATTGTCGCAGACTAAAGGTGACCACTTAATTAATATATTTAACTCCGCTACATTCTCTTTATGCCATTTCTAGTCCAGTGGTTGTCGTTGATTGTCACCTGTCGTAACTATTATTTAATGAAACCATGTCGTTATTTGTTCTTTTTAGATTATTTAAGCATTTGTATTCCTTATCGTACGGTTATGGGTTACCTCATCTATAAAGGCCGTACAATGACCTGCCGTTTATTTACATCCTCCTTCTTAGTTCTGTGATGAATATGTTTGCACTGGCCATCATATCACATCTCCTTATTTCTATTTCATATAAATATATATTGTTTTATTGATTTTGATACCAATTTGATGTGATGGAACTTACTTTAATTTAAGAAAGCGACTGCTGGTATAGATTACGTATTTTTCTATTTTGACTTGTTAAGGTTTTCTTATACATATTTGTATATATTAGATTTTGGAGTAGGATTCAACTACTTGTTTCAAAGCATTTTTTTAAACTTTTTTTTAAAAGGAGGGCAAAATCTTGTACATGAAAATCTAATGGCAAAGAAACTTGGTTAACGTAACTGATAATTATTCTGCATGTTTATGTCTTTAAATGAAAATAAGTGGTAGATTCAGTTTTTTAAAGGAAAGGAGAGAAAAGTCATCAAATTTTCAAGAATTTTCTTTTTGTATTTTGCTCTTCCTAAAATATATACTAAAGAGCAAACATTTCATCTTTACTTACAATGCAATTTAGAATATACTCATTTTGTAATGAACAGTATGATTTACATTCGCAAAATAAATCATTAATGTGTCTTCTTATACATTGCTACACATCTATACATTTTTTAATACTAGTGAGTGCTATTTGGGAATATCAAGAAGGCTCCGAGTGGAAAAAGTATCCAAATGATATAAATGTAAGAATCGAAAAAGCTTACCAAAGAAAGCAGACAGGAAAAACAATTATCGAAATGGATCGTACTACGTAAGTTTGAACATTATTTAAATATAAGATTATCATTCTGAATGTTTTCTCTAATACATTCAAATCTTAACATTTACTTTTATAAATTTTGACTTGGATGGAGAGTTGTCTCATTTGCACTCATACCACATCTTCTTATATCTATGTCTAAGTAGAATTGCAAAATCAATACACTTTTGATAAGTTCAGATAAAAAAGAACAGTAAGTAAGTAAACAAACACTCAGATAAGTGAGAACATATTATCTCTGTATTTTCATCAATACAGGTTTTACTTATATAAAAATACTCGTTGGTAAGATCTTATCTGTAAAGACAAATTTCCAAATATGGATAATTTTTCACAAAATATAATTAAACATACATGTATAAAAATTTTCGAATATTATCCTCTTCATTTAATAAATAAACAGCAGATTGCAATGGGCAACCATGCATTTTTAAATGTCACATACATAATTAAATATCTAACTCTAAAAAGCTCCAACTTCGCAAACTTGCGAATATGATCATAATTCAACAAACTTAGACTCAGATAGTACTAGAAGAAGTTTCATTTGTGTCGTACCACTTGTAAAATGTATCAAATAACGAAATGAGAAGAATTTCTTAAATGTACGTACAAAATAAGGTGAAACACTTGAAAATTGGAATCTCCCTTTTCCCTTTTTCTTTAAATATTATCTTTCAGATTGATGCTTTATTGCTGTGATTAATGCCTTTTCCATATTCTGTTAATTAAGTACACACTTTATAAATTTCGTCCGTCAGTAGCAGTTTCCTTGATTTACTTTTATCAGGAACACTCAAACCTTTACATTTTAAAGGAAACATTAGAAGCTATTTAATCGGAAAGGACCTAAACAGAACATACAAACCTTAACATTTCAAAGGAAACATTAGAAGCTATTTAATCGGAAAGGACCTAAACAGAACAGACAAACCTAAACATTTTAAAGCCAACATTAGAGGCTATATAATCGGAAAGGACCTAAACAGAACAGACAAACCTTAACATTTTAAAGCCAACATTAGAAGCTATTTAATCGGAAAGGACCTAAACAGAACAGACAAACCTTAACATTTTAAAGCCAACATTAGAAGCTATATAATCGGAAAGGACCTAAACAGAATAGACAAACCTTAACATTTTAAAGGAAACATTAGAAGCTATATAATCGGAAAGGACCTAAACAGAATAGACAAACCTTAACACTTTAAAGGAAACATTAGAAGCTATATAATCGGAAAGGACCGAAACAGAATAGACAAACCTTAACATTTTAAAGGAAACATTAGAAGCTGTATAATCGGAAAGAACCTAAACAGAATAGACAAACCTTAACACTTTAAAGGAAACATTAGAAGCTATATAGTCGGAAAGGACCGACACAGAATAGACAAACCTTAACATTTTAAAGGAAACCTTAGAAGCTATATAGTCGGAAAGGACCGAAACAGAATAGACAAACCTTAACACTTTAAAGGAAACATTAGAAGCTATACAATCGGAAAGGACCGAAACAGAATAGACAAATTCATCTAAGGTCATCTTTGCCAGAGGGAGTTGGAACCTTAGTTAATTAATAAATTCGTATTTTATGAACGGAAAAATTTTAACCTGCTATCCTTTTACCTTTAATTTGAAATTGGCGCGCAGATACTACCACTTTTTATGTTTGTTATAAATTTTATAAATTTTATTATGATTTTAATGAAGGTGTATCTATCATTCTTTTCTTGTGTACTTTTCTTTCACTATACTATTAATTAACTAATAGATGACTGGATGATTTTACTTCTCAATATCATCACACTCAAGTTATTTATTCACATGTTCATAGGTAAATGTCCATACCGTCTTGTAAGCGTATTCTCTCGGGAAATACACTGTCGAAACACGATTTAAATAGTAGAGCCTAATTCGGGATAGATCGAAGTTAGATTTAAATATATTTTACAATTTTTTGGTGTCACATATCATTTATGTGTCATCGAATCATGGAATGAAACGAAAAGAATGAAGAATAAGATTGTGTTTGGTTTCATGGTTCTGACAAATTCTTTTACGAAAAGTGTCCATAATATTCATTAAATTCTCAGATTTCTGTCGTATAGTAAACAATCTGTGAAAAATATTGAGATCTTGAAGACTATTATATACTCAAATGCAAAGACAGTTACATTATAATTAATGATCTAAATACCTGTTGCACAATGGTATTGTGTATCTTTCTTGATACGGATGTGTACGAAATGTTGGTAAATGTCCAGGCTAGTATTTTTTGTTGCAATCATATACGTTTATGATATTGAGGCTAAACAGTTGATGTGTTAAACCTTATGAGCAGACATGTATAAACTTTATGGGATGAAAAGTGACTGTTCCAAAAATGTAAGTATCAATATCACTTCATTTAATTTCAGGTATCAAATACATTTTTCAAGAATGATTCAAGTGAATCCAAGTAATAAGACAGAAAAATCCATCCAAAGAAAAGGTTTGTTAAATGTGATTGACCAATAGTGTACATTTACAATTTGTCCACTCAAGGCGTTTGGTTCATTTTATCGTTCAAATGATGTTGAAAAAAAACAAAATGTAAGATTTTTAGTCTGTTATACATAATGACAAACATATAGTGAAAATTAAATCGGAATGACAGCATTAAAATACCAAGTATGAATAAAATTTTGAAGAGAGTAACAAAGAATCATTCAATGGTTAGATATATCAAACACAACATAAGTACAAATCGAGGTTCCCTAACACTGCAAATTGAAAGCTACAACACCTACAAATCTTACACCTCACCCCAGTTTTTAGTGGGGTTCGTGTTGCTCAGTCGTTAGTTTTCTATGTTGTGTTTTGTGTACTTTTGTTTGTTTGTCTTTTTCTTTTTAGTCATGGCGTTGTCAGTTTATTTTCGACTTGTGAGTTTGAATATCCATTTGGTATCCTTCGCCTCTCTTTTACAGGTTCTTGCATTATTCGCGGAATATCAAATAACATATATTTTCTTTATTTCACAGCAAAAATTTCATATTTCTAGTTTAGAATCTTCGTGAACATATAACTGCTCCAATATTTTTTAGGTGACATAATTCAAATAACTCAAATGAATATAACGTAAGTCAAAGGGTTTTGATTCGTTGAAATTTGAAAATTATCTATTAAAATTACATGTTTATCTTTTAGATTAGAATGGGAGATAAAGAAGAAGATTTGTCGAAAAAAGAATGGACAATTTTATTTTAATTGATTTTTATTAAAGTGAATGTTGCATATATTTATAGCATTATTTGATTTTACGCAATATACACCAGCTTTTGAGTAATTTCATCTGTTTATTGTATATAAAATCATGTGCATTCAATAGCTGAACACTATCCCTCCGTCACACAAACGTCAGATACATATTACATAAAGGCAACAGTAGTTTATCGATGTTCGAAATAATGATTACGCAATTCACAGCTTCATTTCGTCTAACTGCAACACAGTCTATATATTATTGCTCGAAGTATAACAACTTTCCAAAAATATGAATGAAAGAACATGCTCTTTAAGGTGAGCTATACCGATGTCTAACCTGTCTAATAATAAAATATAAATGCGTAATATATTCAGTTGACAAAATGATAATGATTGTAGATAGAATATGCTAATAGTATTTCATATGGTTTGCTGTCTGCTAATCTATTTATGATCTGAGCAAATGAGACTGACAATTTATATTACTCTGTATTTAATATCTTTATCAGAAAGGCAATTGTTCTTATACTCATTACTGTGTAATGAATTTGTGTTTGTACCGGCCGACAAAGCAGCCAACAATGTGGTGGTGGTATGACGTAAATACTACACGGAAGTCCTTAAGAATAAAATTATACATTCAACTACATGCAAGGCCGTACGCTCCACAGAGAGTCACATAGTACATAATCATGTCACAACCACAGCTCATCAGCTTAAGGCTTCTTCTAAACATTTGAAGGTTCCCACTATGTATTGATAACCTAAACTACACAAAAACCCGTAAAATATCGTTTCATCTCGGTCTCTAGTAGGTGTTCTACTACTAGACTTTCAGTGCTTTTAACAAGTTCCTTATCGCTATCAAAGAACCGATCATTAATTTTTGTAATAAATAATATGAAAATAGTGGAATTAACCATTTTAGGAGTGTAATAAATTCTTTGGATGTTTTTGATAAATTACGTGCTTTTGATGGTTCTTTTGATTCGGTTGACAGTTTTGACTTTTCCACTCTTTACACTACACTTCCACACAATCTTATCAAACAAAAGTTTTCCTATTTAGTTAAATGTTCGTTCGATAAATCTGATTGCAAATGTATTTGCTGCAACTCATATAAAGCCTTTTTCTCAAACGAGATTCATAAAATAAGAAGAATCTGCAAAAGGGAACGACCGAGATTCAGGGCGTGGAGTTGGAAACAGGTGGAAAGGGAGGAAATATGGGGTATGGTACATATATGCCTATGGCACACGCCACTTATGTTACTATCAGTGAGTTGTTACAATAGTTCTTAAAGGTGCGCTCATTGCAAGCTATCAATAAAGAGTATCGGATTTAACATACTTATTACAACCGGACGTGGCTTATTATTCATACATCCCGACGGTCAAACAGATGCCTCTTTATCATGGTGCAAAGTTATTTACTAAATGTAATAATAAGAATCTCAAAACAAATGGGCAACAATTTAAACTGCACCAACCGCTAACAGTCACTTCTTCCAACATAAAGTTAGTTTACAGATTTTAGAAGAATAATCTTGTTACAGACTAGATGTTTTTGGTTATATGTTTTTAATGACTGCATCATTGACGTATCTCCTTAGTAACAATCGGAATTGCATGAACTTCAAGCGCAGTATAACAAGGTGCGCTGACAGAGAAAACGTCTCCTTTATGCTAGCGTCACATGTCGGTCAAGCGTATCAAACGTCATATCAAATGATCAATGTAATGATTAGTAGCACAATAAGATACACAAGCAAACATAAAAAATGAAAAAAACAGAAGCCACATAAAAGAAACTTTTCAATTTCGCAATAGACCAAACATTGATTAGATCACTATAGCAAAGTATGTTAAAACACTCAATAATGTGATTTTCACACATTTAGCCGATTGTGTAGCTTTGGGACAGTTTATCCCTAGTGTCTAAGAAATAAACTAGTGATCAACATTAACTAAAAAAAATATATATCTTCAAGTTCAAACTGTGAGGTACTGTTCAAGATAAAATAAAAATATTTGAAATAATGAAAATCCTCTCAATAACATAATGTGTCCTTAATTTTTAAGTGGTTCAGTTGTTTTAAGCAGACTGCATTTTATTAAATTTTGGAAATGGATACAGGTATTATATTTTCAGTAGATTAATTGAAGGCTTCATTGGTAGGTGCCTATTGTCCAATGGGAAAAACATCATTTTGTATAGAAATATTCAGGGACAACATAATAATGTAATATGGACATACTTTATTTGGCCTTTTTAATTTTTTGGAGACGAGCGCCACTGATCAGTCTTTTGTAGACGAAACACGCGTCTTGCGTACAAAATTTTAATCCTGGTATCTATGATGAGTTTATAATGAACATACCTAGCTTTGTACTACTAACCGTAAGGATGAGTCAGACCACAAGGAGATATATCATCCCACAAGGAGAAACATATTATGATCTGAGGTCACTTGCCTTGGCTTTTGCTCCACTTTTGATTTGAACAAGTAACTTTGAAATCACAGAGGTTTTTTTTAACTAAATATTGAACTGGAGGTGGAAAGTGTTGTGTGTTGTGTTGGCCTTGAGGACAAACAAGAGTAAAATTAATTCTGGACTAGGTCGAACAAAATATAAAAACTATTATCTGCTTATTCTTTACCTTTACTGAACTTTAACCTTACGTATTGACTTGGGTACGGGAAAAATCTCAATGATTACATTATATGTACAGATAGTCGGATGTGATTATATTTTCATTTGACCTCGTTATAGAAATATTCATCATTCTTAAGTATTGCCCTGAAGAAATATAAAATTAAGTTTGTGACAATGACCGATATAAACAAACAACAGGATAAAATAAGGCGACAGTAATTCGAATATCGTAAATAGATTAGGAAGTGGAAAGTAACAATATAGAAAATTCCCAGAAATTGTTTTAGCAGATTTAATCAAATGATAGGTGAAATATTAGGACAGTATTTACAGATGAATATATATTGTTGAAATGCATAATGCTTTATTTGTAATTTCAACCGTTAAATTAGGTGAGTATTAATTACATTGAAACATGATTGGAAAAACCCCAAATTTATATATCATCAAAAGAATGTAAATACAACGGAAGTTAATACACAGACGACACACAAGAAAGGTGTATAGATCTGATTAAAACAAGTATACTGGTGACAATATTTGTATCAGAGATTATATTCGGTAAATGATTTGTTCGAAATCTTTGTTGGACACATTATTTAGTCTTTCTTCATAGATAATTTAAAGGTAAGCGTTTTGGGGATGATACGACTAACACATTAAAACATATGTTAAAAGATAGAATTATACGAAACAACGCATGTACTATATTAACAAGGTTATTACAATTAATAGAATAAAAAACTTTACATTTTCTTAACTTTTGAAAGAATGGAAAATAGTTGTCTAATTTCCGATTTTCAATATTTTTAAATAATCGAGCACACTGCATATAAAAAATAAATAAGGAAGAGATGAATGAACAATATATTAAAACACCGCAGTCAGTCACTTAAACCAGGAAACACACCTCGACTAAATAATAACCAAAGTTTGGTTGTTAGCCACAAACTATATGGTTATTTACAGATGATTTTTTAGGCTTAAGGGTAACACGTTATGTTACAGAAAACTTCCTTGGCGTCATTGAATAAAAAGCGATGAATGTAAACTAACTGACGCCAACATTATACTTAACTATCCGAGCAGTGTGCGCGGCACACTGTGTGAATGCTTGAGGATATTTTTTCTCTAGTATCATGTAATTCACTCAGTTCTGTCATATTGTAAATCAAGAGGAAAACAAATTATATGCTACCTGCAGTTGACACAAAGCACACAGTGTGTACATAAAATTAAAGTGTGTTCTCAGATAATTAAGGATAATTTGCCGCTAAAATACTGTGCCTGAGCTAGCCACATATCTTTGACAGAAATGCGTCACCATAGGTGTATTTGCATACACGTGTGTGTACGTCTACTTGTCTCAGAGTACTTTAGCAAGCCGTTCCCGAGCGGTATAGCCTTACTTGATTTTCCACGTGGTATCGCATAAGAGTAAATCTTTGTGGGCATAGACCGACGTGAAATAGAGCTGTTGAGCAATCAAGATGAGACTATTCCTCATTAAGGTACGTAGGCACCCTAACTACTCAGAAAAATTTGGGGAACGATATTATATTTGGCCAAAATAAAATATCATATCACAAAACGAAACATGTAACGTTATGTTGCCTGCCCAAGTTGCATATTGAGTAACCCCAAAATTTGAAGATGTTGTGCCTGATGAAGCCTTGTGTCTTGTTAAACTTAAAGTTGATCTAGAGAAAAATTAATGTCAATATAAAAATCCTTAACCACAATATTGAGATCAACGTGAAAAGAAAAGACACAAGGCTAGGATGTAGGACATGTTACAAAGTTATAACCGATCGCGGATATAATATCCGATTTAAATGTTCTACTGTAGCGTTTAAAACAATCTGATTTCCAACGTCCAGGTGATTGTATCATGCTGTCCTCAATACCTTTAGAACTAGCGCTAGTGGCCGCACCTGATCGAAAGGAATGTCCGCTATAATCCTTTTCACTATATCCTAATGCCATGAGTATTGTTTTAAGCTTGCTTATAAAATAATTCCGGGAAACTGGGTTTTCGATTTCTTCAACGAAAAACGAATCATTGTGCCTTGCGTTTATAGGTTTCGTCTTACACTCAGCAGCTGGAATAGCAATTTATACGAAAAAGCGATGTTTTCAATCCTGAACAATGAAATTATACTACCTTGTCGGAAAATATCTGTCTTTGTAGCTTTTAAATTTATAGTTACTTCGCTTTCTGAAACGAAACATCTGAAATAGCAATTAATACGGACAAGCGATGCCATCAATCTTGAACAATGAAATTATAATGCTGCTAGCCGCGCCTGAGTGAAAGGAATGTCCGCTAAAATCGTTTTGTCTTATTGTGTGACTGGACAAAATATCTCTATGCAGTCTAAATGGACTTCGGTCGGACAATAAATACTATTCTTGTAGTTGATACTATGTATTTGAAAAAATTACGTCGGTGAAATAGTAAGCTAACAATACGTCAAATGTAAATATAAACAGTGATGAATATAATTGTCAGCAAAAGTTCTAAATTGCATTTTTGCACGCGATCATATCTATTTAGGCCTCTTCAATAACTTCAGTTGATGTCAGTTCTTCACATAAATAAGCTATAAGTATCACTTATCCAATTGGTTGAATAGACAACAGACAAAGAGCTTCTCCTCCATATTCCAAATATGAAATAAAGAAAAAACGAATGTAACTGTGTGCACAATATCTGGTATCATTTAAGATACGTAACCTTACTATGTAATAATCAACCAAATTACAAAACAAAAAAACAAAAAAAAACAAAAACAAAAAAAACAAAAACAAAAACAAAAAGAACAAACAAATATACACACTTTGAGCACTACTAGTAAGTAGTAAAATAATAGTTTCAATCAATCCAACCATTACATATACATGTATCGTGACATCTGAACTTGTGATGAGTTAGATGTTTGCCCTATGTTGAAGTGTCAGTGTGACTTTGAGATAAAGGACGGCAATAAAAGCATATTGTGATATTGTGTCATGAATTGATATATACCATATCCTTTCTAACTTGTTCATAGTATGTAATCGTTGTCGGGGACATATATATATATATTAGGATAAAACGTTAAGTTGCATGACTTGTCTATCATTCATTGTGTCTCGTTAATTTTCCTAATCTGTAATCAGATTTACGTAGGTAAATTGATAAGGTCGTCGTTGTTGAGTACTTGAAGGTTAATTGTTTGATGAACTATAACAGACAGTCTGAATGACTGTTAATTTAATGTACAAGCAGTTTTGTGGACTACAAGGTAAATGATATTTGCATGATGGGTGTTAGAAAGTGTCGAAAACTTTCATGAAGTGAATATAAATATATGACATGCGGGAGAGTCGAGTATGAATAGTTACAGCGAATGGAAATGTATCTGCTTAACCATGTAAATTTGGTAAAGTGTATATATACATGTATGTACATACATTTGTAAAATTGTAAATGTGAAATTGCATTTTTAAACCAATGCATAGAACCCCGTGGCTTATATATGTATTGCAAACAATAACAAATATATACTACTAAAGGAAGAGACCGATTTCATTAAGCCGCAGCTCCTCTGAAACCGTACAAAGTCGGAAATATTTGTGAAATGACGTATAAATGTAGTGTTTTGTACTTCCAAAATTTGTCTTTGATACAATCTTTTTCCACAGAAAACGCCATTTTTTGAGAAAATATTCAAATTCGGAGAACGTTATCGATCCGTGTCTGATACGCTTTCGCGCATGCTCAGTCAGTCAGAGGTTGATTCCTGATGAAGTTCTATAGATTCATTTTTCATCCGATTTCGATGGGATTTTTTTTCATTGTGTTACTCATTTTTTATCACTTTCGGTAATGTCAACGGATTTGACGTATCTCATACGGTTATTGAGTAAAAAGGGTTAAAAAAAACTACTGAAAATCACACTTTGCCACACTTTTCTTGGGTATTTAATATCTTTATTTTCCCACCGAGATGAATGGGGTCTTTTGCATTATGTTCCTCATTTTCATCGTTTAAAAAAAATTAGAATTAAATGCATTAACCGTGTTCAAATCCTTACTGTGTCCACCTTATTACTGTGTCCACACTCTTGTTTCAAAACTATGCCAATTCTACCGCCATTTCGCGGGCATCTTCTAGTACCATATAATAAATGTGATGTAGTCCGATGATTTTACTCTCATTCTCATGGTTCTTGTGCAGTGTAAACAATATAAGATGTCTTAAGCTACTCTCTCTCGATAACATAATAGTTATGCATAATCGACAAATCGACAAATATTTATTAGGTACATCTGAAGCTACTAAAGAATTTGGGATCCGTAGCATAGTGTCAAGTAAGAGCCTCTATGCAGAACGTAGTCTTGTTGAGTGTTAACAATAATAATGTATCATGATCTATAAGAGTATAGTGTGACGTTTACTAAATACAACCTGGTGTAACATCTCTGTAATCATAGTTCCATTTGTACATGGTATACAAAACCTGAAGTCTATGTGCACGTGCTAAATCAGGTGATCACCATAAACATGTCAATGATAAACAAATATTAAATAGAAAATTTCACATTCAAGATGAACCTATGCTTTTGCGAATCTTGTGTAACACAACAATTCTTTAAAAATAAAAGATATATATATATGTATATATAAATAAATAGAAAGTAATTGTTTCTGTCTCTTGACTACACGCGTACGTTCTATGAATGTCGAAAATATATATACAACATCGTGAACTCAAATAGGCGCAATAAATTCTCTTCTGTAGATCTTATATCGAGTGAATGTGTAGATAATTCAAATGATCATGCTAAATTCCTGCTCGTCAGTTTCAAACTGCACGCATTATTTGTTGTATGACCAAAATATGAATTGAGATGACATGTCTATCGATTATTAATCATTTAAAAGTATCTATTTTAACGATAGCTTTCAGAAACAATGAAAAATCTAGAAAATAAAATACAATAAACTGACCTGTCTAGAAGATAAATTTGTACCAGAGTCTCAAGCCACTTTTAAAAATGTTGGTATACCAGTGCAATCTTATCTGTAAGCCAATATCCACTCCGACTCATTAGCAGAAAATATCGTCATTGACCGAAACGCAAGCGTAAATAACAAACTAATGAAAAATTCTGACGTACGTCTAGTGTTGTATACTAGATATATTTATATACATAGTTGTTACCATTTGAAATTTAGCATCCATTTCTATATGAACAAATAATTGCGTAGTGTCTAATAGAACATATCACTATTGATCAGCCTACTCGTTCCCAAGTAAATGTAATCTCACAAATTGCAAAATAAAGCGTTTATTCCCATCCGGATCCGTTTCGACACAATCTAAAGTGGCAAATATCGAGTATAATTCTAAATCTTCATACCTCTTGTTGCGGGTGTATAATATAAACACAATAAGTATACTGTCGTAATTCTTATAGTTATGTTGGCATTGTAAGAATAGTTATTAAATAACCAAAATTTGATTTGAATTTTTTCACTGCTACTGCTACTAACTAATTAATGCAACTGACTGAATAAGCCTGACAAAGATTGAAAATTAACACGTGCACCAAGTTCATGAGACGGTTAAGAAAACATTGCCGTCTCTACCACAGACATCATAAATCTAGTAATAAAATGTGTATCGTCCACCTAAATAAATAATGGATTTTGACAGAATTACGAAACAACGCATGTACTATATTAACAAGGTTATTAAAATTAATAGAATAAAAAACTTTACATTTTCTTAACTTTTGAAAGAATGGAAAATAGTTGTCTAATTCCTGATTTTCAATATTTTTAAATAATCGAGCACACTGCATATAAAAAATAAATACGGAAGAGACGAATGAACAATATATTAAAACACCGCAGTTCGCCACTTAATCCAGGAATCACACCTCGACTAAATAATAACCAAAGTTTGGTTGTTAGCCACAAAATATATGGTTATTTACAGATGATTTTTTTTAGAAAGAAAGGATATTGGACAACGAATTGTGGCAATTTAACACACATAACTTGTATGTAAGCTGAGTCAATTTGCAAACCGCGCGCAAAAACCTTGTCGCAAAATGGTACTTTATAGTTAAGATATAATGTTTGAAACATTGTATCTCTATTAACCTCTCAAACAATCTGTCGATACCTATATTTTATCATATATATATAAAACCAGGTTCAACCCACCATTTTTTCTTGAAATGTCCTGTACCAAGTCAGGAATATGGCAGTTGTCATCTACAGTCCGTTTCTATCTATGTTGGCGTTTCTTTTGTTGTAGTTCAGTGTTTCTGTTGTTCCGTTGTTTTCCTCTTATATTTGATTTTTACCTAGGTTTTAGTTTGTTACCCGGATTTGTTTTTGCTTATTCGAATTATGACTATTGAACAGCAGTATACTGCTGTTGCCTTTATTTGCCATTCTACAAGCTCTTGTTTTTCTATGACTGTTAATGACGTCATTACACTATATCCATTGGATGTTGGATGTGTACTGATTGATATCTTAGACTTATAATCATGATGTTTTATTAGTTGTTATTGGCTTTGAACTAGCTGTCAGTAACTGCTAGTACTCTTAGATCTGTACTTTGTGTCTTTGTTGCTGTGGGGGATGTATAATTACTCTGCGACATGCACTCTGTGCTTTTGTTAGTTGTTACTTGTTTTTTTTGCTTTGTATTAATCTGACGAGTTTAGCCCTTTTCAACGTATTTTCAGTGTTTGTTCTTATGTTGTACACTACTGTCCCAGGTTAGGGAAGAGTTTGGCGCCAGCAAACATGTTTAACCTCGCCAGATTCTGTATGTCCCTGTCTCAAGTCAGAATCCTGTAACTCATTGGTTGTCGGTTGTTGCTGTATATCATATTTGTTTTTCGATTATTGTTTTGAACATAAATCAGGCCGTCAGTTTTCTCGTTTGAATTATTTTACTATTGTCATTTCGGGGCCTTTTATATCTTACTATGCGGTATGGGTTTTGCTCTTTGTTGAAGGCCGTACGGTGGCCTATAGTTGTTAACTTCTACGTCATTTTGTGTCTTGTGGAGAGTTGTCTCATTCGCAATCATACATCTTCTTATCTTTTATATGATCTGAAAAATTTATGTACAACGCAAAACTGTTATGTCAATTATTTTTATCTATGCATTTATGATTTCAATATTGGAAGGAATTATTCGAAAAAATATTAAAACAAATACCTGATTATAATTTTATTAACAAAATTTCGAGGCAGATACTTATAGAGAACAAATATGAAATGTATCGTTTGTTTAAGTGTGTTTATATCCTGTTATGATGAAAATCATCTGCTAATTTCAAAAATTAAACTTTACCAAAACTTTATTTGAATTCACGGGTTGATTATATATAATGTATATGTACATGTATAATGAATCGGGTAAATGCAAATAAACAATAATCGAAAAACAAAGCAAAATTTTGCAAATAAAAGGCAAATAAACATTAGAGGGATGTTCATACCACACAATACCATTACACAAAAACCAAATTGACATCTACTGGTCTTCTACAAGACAAATGTGCATACAATAAGCTGTACAGAGAGGCAAAAGATACCAAAGGGACATTTAAATTCATATATAGATCGAAAATAAACAGACAACTCCCTGGCAATTAAACAAAAGACTTAAGGACAAACACCAGTATATAAACACAAAATTACAAAATAAAAACTTAGCAACACGAACCCTACCAAAACCGGGGTGATCTCATGTGCTCCGGAAAGGTTAGCAGATCTTGCTCCACATGTGTAAAAGTGGTACTTCACATAATTCAAATTTACATAAGAATTTACAATATATATTTCATTTAGTAGGAGAAAATGGAAAAGGAAAATCGGCTCAAGGGTGAGGTATGCGTATATTTGTCTGTGTTATCATGTTTTTATTTAATTATTAGAATTCCAACGTATCGTGAATAACTGATGGAAAGAATTGATATATTTCTCAATTTTGTGTATTATTTATGTAATTTAAGACGACATCGCCAATAATCAGCAACTATCTATACTAAAATATAAACCAAGGGTGTTGAAAAATAAAATAACTCAAAGATATTTAAACATCGTAATTGCACAAACATGGTTGCAAAATACCCTCAGAATTAGAATTGATGATTTTGATGCTACGTTTTAAAAGGTAAAAATATTGTGACCAAAATAATGGCGAATTTCATATCGTGACTCCGACTTTCTATCTAATGTTTCAAACTGTATTTTCTTTTTAAGATTATTGCTATGGTGCAGACTATTCGTGGATTGCATAAAACTCACACAGAAATATTGTATCGTATGACATCCAACCGGTGAATATCTTCTATTCCTCACCAAATTATTAAACAAGTGATTTTTTTCATTTAAATATAAATAGCTAGGATTTTCAATATAATGCATTTTCAGAACTATGTTTAGCAATATCATTGGTAAATTGTTATCATAAGTTATATTTATTGTTATAATGATAAAGACTAAAATGTGGATATTTCAGGAAATTATTCTGTTTACTTTGAAATGAAAGGGTAATTTCTTATCTCCTTAGATTTCATCTAGTTAGAAGAGTTAAATACTTCAAATTAATCTTGAAATCTTAATTTATTTAAAATATGATATGGTAATGTACTATGCATTTTTTCTCAAAGTTTTAACAAACATTTTAGCAAGGCTTGGTCTTTAAACGTAGCTGCTGCTTCGAATAAAATTCAAAGTAAGTATATTTATAAATTAAAGAATGCTGAAAAGGCACCAAACTTTTAATCATAATTTTTTTAATGACAGTAGTTTCATAAGGAATCAAAATGGTTTGATGATGAATATTCATCATTTTGAGTTTTGATTACAGTACTATATTTTGTATTCAATGTGTTATTTGATTTTAAAATAGTAGTTAAAGTACATGTGATATCGTTTGAGTTTTAAAATGTAAGGCAATTATCAATTTCTAACTTATTCGTAAATATATATATATGTAACGGATACGTTGTATTTTTAAGAGCTTGAGCAACATATGCAAAAAGTAGAAACACAATTGCTGGAAGATACAAGCAAGTTAGAAGAAGTGACCAAAGATATATCGAACTTGATGAAGGATACTAGTAGATTAAATGTACTTGTAGACAATGTACGAAATTATGCTACTTGTGAGCGAGTTATTGGTGAAAAATATGAAACTATTTCAAACAAACCATCAAGCAGTATTACAAGTCAAAACAGCACATCGAATACGCTAGGAAATCATAAATCAAGGATAATTTTCATGGAAAATATGCTGTCGTCACCAAGCGAATCCTCCATCGAAGAAGCTAATGCCTGCGTAAAGGACGATGCCTGTTGTAGTAGTAAGACATTAGAAATGCATATCAAAAATGATCTCAACAATAGTTTGAATGACAAAACAGACAATAAAATAAAACATTGTGCCACTAACATTAACCTTGGCGAAACTCTCAACGATCGAACCGATGCCAATATGCTGAAAAGTTTGAAAAGTATAAATGATGAAACAAATATAACGCATCATTCAATATCTGATTTTGAAAATCTGCATACCAAATGTGATAAAAAAAATATTCAAAATGATCGCTGCATTGAAAACGACAAAACATCAAGAAGGCTTTCATCTGAACAGTCACCAATAAAAAACACTTGTGAAAAGCCTATCATACAAGAATTTCAAACCAGGACACGTAAAAGGGAAAATCGGTATAAAAGAAAAACTATGAAAAAACAACATGACAATCGTGTAAGCTATCACATTAAACAAGAATGCTTTAAAGGAGCAATTACTAATAACGTTCCAACTATGGACCTTCAGAAAGTAGAATCCTTTCGGCTAAATATTAAACCGGAAGAAACGTCAATGATTTCACAAGAAAGGTTTGTATCATCTGATTCACACATACGGATTAAACGTTATGTTTGGTTTTTATTTTAGTTTAAGGTGAAGAATACTTCTACCAAGAGTACTTTATACAAGTGTACTAATCATTTTAGAAATGCTATTTTTGAGTATATATCGGTTGGCAACATCTACCTGTTTTACATCTGCTCACCCTTCCTGATCACCCGAGATCATCTCTATTTTGATTTTATATGGGGTTCGTGTTGCTCTTGTTTTAGTTTTTGTTGTTGTTCTTTGTGCTTTTAAGTTTTTGAATGTATGTGATGTTTAAATCGGCAACAGTCTTGTCTATCCTTTGTCATGAAAAAATTATTTTAATTTCAAACTTCTACATTCGGTTAAGTTTCAATGTTAGAAAATGTGCATGACCGATGGTTTATAAATTTTGTGATAGATAGGTTAGATAAGAATCAATTACCAATCCGCTATTGCGTGATGCTTAATCAATAAATATAACGTATCAACATATTTTATAGGAGTAACATGACGGGTGTCACATGTGGAACAGGATGCACTTACCCTTTTGGAGCACCTGAGATCACCCCCGGTTTTTTTTTTGGGTTCGTGTTGCTCAGTCTTTAGTTTTCAATGTTTTGTATACTGTTGTTTTTTTTCTTTTGGTCGATTTTCGTTTTTTGCCATGGCGTTGTACATTTGTTTTCGACTAATGAGTTTTAATGTCCCTTTGGTATATTTCGCCTCTCTTTTTGATGAAAACGAAAAGGTATTAACAAAAAAACAAAATTTAAACGTTTCTAGAATAAGAGCTTGCAGCTGCTACTCAGACATTTTAAACATCATCGGTGTCTGAGCGAAAATTAACGAGCCAGGGTTTTGTCAAAGGACGTCTCCTACTTTTTCTCAAAAGATTTTAGGAAAGTACCAAGACCTAATATTCAGTGTCTTCTTCACAAATAATACAAGATTGTCTTGAGTTATTGATTTTAGGTGCTGTTATTGTGTATCATTTTATCTACTTTCCATTTTTACCTTCATTTGTCTTGTACTATTACGTTACTTTTGGATTTATGACTCATGATGTTGATTGGTATTTGTACATCCAGCTTTTGGTTTTATGGCTTTTGGCATTACTGGTGCAGGTTGGTCCACATGTGTGATTTGGACACATGATGTTTTTATCGTGTTGTTTCCATTTTGTTTATCCTTGTATCTATGCTTTACGTAATTTGTACGGTATCGAGAAAGTGTATACTAGTATAGCATTATGTTTTTAATTTACTGTATCGGGTATAAACTTCAAAACCTTTTTTTGAGTCTCTGAATAATTTATTATACTGTGTGTACTATCAACTACAATAACTTTTTTATTGGCGTCTTTGTCAGATTTATTTGTAAGTTTTTTGGGGGAATATTTGAGTTGCGTTCTATGATGTATGTTTACACAGTATTGGCTGCTGGATTCCAATTATTTTCACATTTAACAATATTGTCTGTTTGGGTTCAATTTTGTTGATCTAAAGGAACTGTAGATGGCTGTCATACTAGTGGGAGGTTTATCTAGCTATAAAACCATGTTTCATCCACCATTTTCTTAGGATTATGCCTGTACAAAGTCAGGAGCAGGACATTTGTTTTCAACTCGTTCCGTTGGTTGATATAGTCTAACGTTTGATTTTGTCGGGTTTTATGGATTTCCTCCTTTTAAATTTACCTTGGAGTTCTGTATTTTTGTTAATACTTTTTTTTATTGAAAAGATTTTGGCTGCAGCTACAGATAAATAAGAGGGAGACAACTGCACAAATTATATGTAATGTTTAACCTGATAATAATTATCAATCAAGATTAGTGGTATACAATAAAGAAATTTTATCTGATTCTTTTAATAGAAATAATAGCTTTTACATGATCAACTTTCATTTTTCATGCTACGGGTTTGTTGTTCATCTGTTTTGATCATTTGAGAAATAGATATCTTTGATTCAAATTATCAAAAAACAAACAATCAAAATTGACAGAATTGAGCTACATTACAGTTAATTGTTTAATCTGTCTGATTGGAACACCATAATGTATTTAAATAAAGATACAATCCTTTTACAGATTTCTAATACCAAATATAATAATAATAATTCCATGACGAAGAATGATTCTTGTAATACATTTAGATTCAGTACACCAAGACGACGAGGAAGAAGATCGCAAGATGAAGACGGTAGTATTTCTAGTATATAAAATATATAGTAGCTATCGTATTTACGACTAATTAAATTCAAAAGTTATAAATGATAACATTAAGATTTAAGCATGACAAAAAGAGTGAACTGTATGATCAGAATATATGCATGTTGAAAATGAAATAGATAAATGAGATTGAAAGATTGATTGTGTTAGTGTTTGTCAACATAAAAAGCCTACATCCAAAGGATTAAAATGAAATGGATTATATACAATTAAACCAAAATGATATTAAATCAGAAAAAAGAAATGTGTTAAATGGAGGGGACTGCAAAGGAAACCAAAACAAAGAGAAACGAATTTAAGCCGCCACAAGAAATGTATTGAGATAGACAGGATGTAGAGGTTAAGCCTCAGCAATGGCGCTGAATGAATAAAAAAAACTCGTGGAAGGTCATTTTTTTATAGGGAAGTAATGCGTTAGCACCGCTACTCATCCGTTGAAGCCGGGTCCCATTTATATTCTGCAAGATACATGCCTTTGATAAATAAATAATAATTATGATATTAACAATGCTATTGATACCTTGCAAGGACTTTTTGATATTGATCAACCAAGAACAATCAGGGAATGGATACAGTATACCAATCATATAATAGACCATGGTAAGTGTTTGAATTGAATATATGCAATATTAAAAATTCATGATTATCACCCCTTTCAATTTTTGCATAATTTTATGTACTTCTATGTATCTCCGTTTAATTCAGGGAATTTCTTTCATATTTCGCGTGAAAAAATAGGAATAAAAAAAATTCCTTCGGAAGGAAATTGAGTAATGATACACAGGATAAAAGTATTTTTAAGACCATCTCAACTTGTTCTGTTATATAATGTTTAATAATTCATCTCTAACACCTCCCCTTATAGCCATTTTTGATACCAATGTTTTTAGCTTCAGCCAGAATGAGATCAGGACTAGTAAAAATTGGAAGATCGCTAGATGTTATTTTGGTGTTAGATACTTCTGAACGTATAGCAGGATATTTTCAAAAACTGAAATCGATCGCGTTACAGTATGTTTACGGTAAGTGTAGAATGAAAGAAACATTGATTTTTTTTTAGCAGCAGGTGAGATACGAAATATAAAAATAAGTAGATGTGATAAGATTGTCAATGACCAAACGACGTAAATTTTCAGGTCACCGTATGACCTTCAACAATTAGCAAAACCCACACATAATAGCAAGCTGCAAATGTCCTAGTTGTTTTTCAGTATTTGTGATCATCCAGTTTACTTTTCTCTTAATCTACTGTATGGCCTTTATACATTTCAACTGATACGTTACGCGCCAGCATGTTCGTGATGGGATCGTAAAACTTCTGTAGAGGCGATTTCAGTCGTTCTTCCTAGTTGGAACAGTGATCGAAACGAAAAAAATGAGAAACTTACACACTAGGGATGTCATCTCGGTGAATAAATCACTAATTAGTATTCGTCGAACGATTCGGAAAATATATTCAAAATTCGAACACAACGCATTATATGCTTTGTGGATCGTTTTGCAAACTCTCTAAGAAAATACATTTAATGAAATGGGAGGACAATTTTCTCACAGTAAACCGATATATAGAGTATTATTTTGTGTATTCAATACTTGGTAATACCGACATATATTCGAGTACTCGGGTCTTCGTTGAAATCCCAAGTATACGTCATACGATGGGGATCGGGTATGTTACTGTTGAGAAATTGGAACGTGACAATTGGAAATTTGATATGAACACATCTATCATTGATTCTAGTTTGTAGCGTTCCATTTGTGTCAATATCGAGGAAAAGATAATAGTATGAAGCAAACCTTCCAGTTAAGTTTCCGTGATGTCATTAATCTAAAGTGAACTGAGATATATGAGATGTATTTACTTATTGTAGTGTGGGTTATTGAGTGACAGGACATCATTAACGTAGATGGGATTTCTACATTTTGTCTTTGAGAAGGTTTTTTTTTATGCATTCTGCTTCATATGAGCACTTGCACTAGTCAGCCAGTATGGATAAACAATTACAACCAATTGGAATACCGACTGTCTGTTGAAATATCAATCCACCAAACTCAATATGGTGTCGATCTCCGATATTTTGTATTGTTAGAATGATTTGCACTGAAACATTATATATAATAACTTATATGGTGAATGTTTTATCAATCAAAACGCATGTTTGCATGCAAATCTTAGTATATAAACATTTTATCACGCTAATTAAACAGAATTATCAAATTCATTTCTTTTTAAAAGTATTATTTAGCAATTAATTTGAAGCCGAATTACAAAACAAGGTTATATATAACATGTGATATTGTATTTGTAGATTCAAATTTATCATCATAATCAACTGTACACTGGTGTTTTCCATATATATATCATTGATATTGTCAATCAACTGTTTCCATAACTTTGAATTGTTCTCAGTACTAAGGATTTCTACACCTGAAATAGATTAATTTAGCTGCATCTGGCAAATCATTTCAGAATTTTTGACACTCAATGCATTTCAACTTCGTACTTTAATTTGCCTTTTAACTTTTTTCACTTTTTAATTCTAATGTCATTTATGAGTCTTTTGGAGACGAAACGCGCGTCTGACAATCCAAATTATAAGCCTGGTATCTTAAATTTGTTCTTTTCCAATGCTATTTTAGTGTATTAGTTAAAAATACAAATTTACCAAACTCACTTCATAAAGCCAAAAGCAATTGGTCAGCGGTTTTTGTTGTTGATCGTCAACTCAAAGTCCTATCAATGTAGATATAGTTGAATAATTCACGAAACAACACCACTACGCAAATTAAAAAAACAATAGCAAATTTTGAGAGACATCGCTTCTATTTCAAAGTCTCATTGGGGACATCGACATTTTAAATGAACGGTAGCATTGGCAACTAAAACTACACACAATTTAGTATAGTACTAACGTGATTAAGATGTGTATTACGGTTTCTTTCGTAGTATACGTTGAAGAGCGCATTTTATATAATGCCAACTGTAAATTTTAAACTAAATGAAGGTAAAAATGCTCATGTACTCCCAATATTTACAGGCATCAAACAACAATTCGAACGCACAGGCATTGATAATGGAATCGGTATCGCCATTTTTGGACGACAGACCAGGCTTATTCAAGAAGCAACCAATGATTATGACTTGATTTTAGAATTGTTAGGTAATATCTCATAAGCAGCAAGTAAAAGCAGTTCCTCGATTAAAAAGACAAATATCATCATCACAATTTCTTTTTTGTGTCTGATCAAAATTGTGATTATTACGAAAGAATATTTTTTTCTCATATACAATAAAAAATAGTTCATTTAACAAATAATAATATGCTTCAAGAATAAAGATATTATTCTTCTGTAGTATTTACCTTTTGCATTTTTCAAGAGTTGAGCATATGTGTGTACAAGTATATAACAATAGACAAGGTTTACAAAATATGTTCTGTTGTATTACTTTAAAGGTAAAATAAGACCAGAAGGGGATGGACATATCATTGGAGGACTTCTGATGGGGTTGGCTGGTGTTGTATCATGTATGTAAAATAATACTTATAGATTTAAAGATGGTATACCATTTTCGATAGAAGTCTTGTAAGTCCAGGTTAAAAAAAACACAAACGGGAGTGAAACAAATCCAATTGAATAAACATCATTAGGAGTAAGATGCGTTGACAGGGCAAGCATCTCCTGTTGTAAACGCATTTACTGCTACATAATTTCATAATCACAAAAAGTAGAAAGCAACATTTGATCATTCAAATACCGATGAATTTGTAACTGGTCAGATGATATCCTTGCGGAATGATATTGCACCAGTAGAGTTACCGATTAATGAGTAAGATGTAACAACTGAGACCGTCCAAGGTCAAGTTTGTCCTTAAGAGTTACAATCTAAGCTTATGCACAATTACATAATTTAACTGAATAAAAATTTTCAGAAACAATTCATTTGAATCATGCCAACAACAAATCACTCTGGTTACCCATCAGACGGTACCTTCAAGAAACAAATAGTCCATAGCAGCGGTACCGACCTGATTATTGGGGTTTTTTTTTCTGTAATAACATTAATCAGGTGCGCTAGAAATTAAAGTTTAAACAACTGAAAATAAAAAACTTGGGATAGTTTAAATAAGAAAAAATAATTTTATAATCAGATATTAACTGAAACAACAAAACCTAATCTGAGGACGCTTCTTTTCCTTTTTATACAATTAGGTGGTGTGGGTTACTCCCATGATACAGCTTTACAGCCGCATGTGATTGTTTTCACGAATGGATCTTCAGAACAAAACATGCCCTCAGTAGATTTTGATGACAATCTCGTAGTTACTTTCGGAAACTTACGAGTACGTAAATATATTAAAAAGTTATATTTGTTATATGCCGTCCTTTTCGCTAGAGATAGTTTGAGAGCTATATAGTATAGTGTCCGAAAGTACGTTCGTTAGATTTTTTCTAATCCAAATAAAAGAAATCTCAAACGGCCTTAGTTTATTATCTTGTTGTAGTGCTATAGTGCATCCTGACATTTATTTTTATATTTTGAGTTCCTTTATATATATATATTTGAATTTAAGCATGCACAGGAATCAAATTCATGGGATTTGATAGTAGTTAGATGAATTAAATAGCTTTTCTATTCCATTTGTATTTGGTTCCAGTTTGTTGTGTGAAATTTAAGATATGCTAAAACATCAACTTAATCGTATGAAACGTAAGAAGCTACGTAACGGGAAAAGTTAAAAGAACAGGTAATAAAAAGAAGCAAACTATCAAAAGGGGATATTCAGAGTTCATTAGTTGAACAGAAACTGACAATGCCATGGGAAAAACCAAAAGACGACAAATAGACAAACAAGTCAACAAAAGACAATAGAAAACTAAAGACAGAGCAACCCAAACCACACCAAAAGTATGGGTCATTTCAGGTGCTCCGGAGTGTTAAACAGATGCTCTACAAGTGGCATCCGTCATGTTGTTCATGGTACGTACAAATTAGGTGACAAGTCTCATTCGGTAATTTTATGGAAAATGTCAAGATTGGTTTGTAATACCTTTTACGGAGAATCGTTATTTACCCGATCTTGAATAGAACATTCCTAATTAAAATAGCTGTTTAAGCCACACAAAATCAAATGTGGTCACAAGAAATAGGAGGCAACTGCATTTGAATGTGTATATATCATTTTTATTTTACGCTGTGAATCCATATACGTTATCGTTCTTCATAGTAAATTTTCCGTTAACCGCCGGGAAAAACTAAAACCCCAAAACGATCAACACGGCAAAGGGGCAAAATCGTCATGTAACTCTTTATATGAGATATTGCCATTAACAAAATTATAATGTTTACCCATTCGAGTGGTTGGCATATGTCTCGATAACTGTAATGCATAAAGAGACATGGTAAACAGCAAAACTGATCAGGAAATTAATACCGACAGATCAGTCAATATACCAAAATTGTTTATCGTCTAATTACAGGAGTAATTGCCCTTCAAGATTTTACCTAATTTTATCATTTAACTCTTTTGCATTTGTTATTTTCTGAATGACTAAAGGACTAACAACAAAAATCCTCAGCAAGATCTATTTGTAGGTCAAATATTGAAATTATTAATTGACTCCTTTTGGACTATATATTGCAATTGTTAATTGACTCCTTTTGGATTAAAGAAATTCAAGTGATTGAATTCGTCAATAGATTCCGAAAGGTTATTGTCCGTAAATGCTTTTACCAATTTTCAAATGTTCTCCGGAAATATGGGGATCACATCTGGTCACAATCTTACTTATTCTGTAAAAGATGTCTGCATCTGATGGTAAAGGTTCTATAATGGTGCATAAATTTGCCAGGGGAAAGCTTCAGACTTATATGAGCCTCCTGTTTAAACATTTTATTGATGAATTGTGTTTCCTTGTTTTAAAGGTAAAACCTGACGTCAACGGTGTTATAGATATGATAGCTTGTACAACTACAAAGATATTCTATGTACCTGTTGGGGGAAATTATCATAACATCGTTAGTATATTTCATAGATTCTAAACTAAATGAACTAAATGAGATATGGGTTAACCTAAAAAAAAAACGACAACAATAACCAATATACATATCTACAGTTCAACATTTATTCTGCAATAGTATGCAGTTGTCTATATTATGTGTCAAGGAATAAAGCTTACAACTGTTAGATACGAAATGACGTTCATCGTGTGTTATGATAATGTGTTTTAGTATTGCTAATGTATGAATTATTGGCTGTAAAATTTCTGTAGAAATAGTAATAGTTTTGATTTTCAATTTTGGTTCATTTATATGTTTCGGAGTTTAGTGTGACGTCCATTTTCACTGAACTAGTACACAGTTTTGTTTAGGGGCCAGCTGAAGCCCGCCTTCGGGTGCGGGATTTTCTCGCAGTGCTGAAGACCATTGGTGGCCTTGGGCTGTTTTCTGCTCTTTGGTCGGGTTTTTGTCTCATTGACACATTCCTCGTTTCCATTCTCAATTTCATTAAGAAGGCAAATCGTAAATTTGATCAATAATTAAAAAAAAATGGATTTGGTTTAAAAAACATTTGAAAGATGATATCCCTAGTCTTTGGAGTATTTTCTTTATTCTTTACATGTTAACTTAAAAATATTTTTAGTATTAAAGTAAGTTTATGCTTTAATCAATGGTACTCGTATCAAACATAATCACAATCATAATGGAAGTTGTATCCACAACAATTCTTTCGTGGACTATTTAGATGCAACAAGAATTATCGATTTCGATTTTCATTTGGTAATGATTCAATTGTATACTTTTTACGTTTTGTTGCTTAATATTTTATGAAACAATCCTTTATTCATTGCTTTTAAAGGAAGTAATATTGAAAAATTTGTTTATTGTTTATGATAAATTCATTGATTTTTTACATTTTGAGGAGGTATCTTACTCAACAGACAGTCGGTATTCTAATTCGAACAAAGTGTACACCTTTTTTTGCCGACTTGGTCCTTTTACGATAATTATGTCACTCCAAATTTTCTGATACATTCCTATGTTTACAAAGACAATTTTTTTCAGATGGAGGACCCGTTTCATGCTTTTTTTATAATTGATAATTGCATAATTTTACAGACTTTGGAAAAGGCTGTTAGGACGACGAATGGAAAATTGATACCAGATGATGAAATTATTCGATTGACTCTTATGTCAAAAGTTTTGGTATGAATTTTTTGTAGGAACTTTTTTTAAATCCGATTTACGAGTGGATTTTACAAATTAAGGAAAGTACGTGAAATTTCAATTTATATTATTTTACTGGCAACTTTATTAAGTAATAGTCTAATTGATTTATTCAAAAGTCAAGTGATTGATAAAAAGTGATGCATATAGCAATCTATAATATTCAGTCCATGCTAGCTACATAAAGTTAAGGTTATTTTAAGTAAGAAAACGGCTTGCTTGTAAGATTCCTCTGCATGTAGACCATCTGAAAAATTCATACGAACAGCACCAAGGATATGAGATATAAAATGACAAAGACATGTTCCATCCTCAACGAAATAAAGAAAGAAAACCATGAAAATTACCATTCTATCAACTGGTTGAGCAAAAAGATAATGACTGTAATATTCTAAATTACAAATAAAAAAAAAAACAATTGTTCAGAAAACAAATTCCACCAAAAAATTTACACTTGTGTATCAGAAAAGTTGAAATGAACTTGAATAAAGATACGAAAAAAATCGTTTTTTTTTATAAAACAGTTGAGACAAATACGGACTTTCGGTTTACAAACTCACTTATCTTCCAAAAATATATGAGTTATTGAAGTATACTATGCAATAAGGAATAAAATCTGTTATTTCCGGTAAAAAAATGTCCCATGGATGATCAATTTAAACAGAATCCAAAAATATAAGGCTTCCATATATATTTTTAATCGGAAAAGGAAGATAATTTGAACTTAAAGTTTTAAAAGTTACTTCTGGTGTCATTTGATAACTTACGTTACAAAAACATATGGTTTTTATTAATTTTGGTAAAAACAAGGAAGACAATTTACCACTTACGGTTTTAAAGTCATAAATGGTGTCATACTGTCGTTTATATTACATTTATTCGACAAATATATGACTTCAACGTTCTTTTCATGGAGAAAATGGAGACATTTTGCGACCGATTTCACAATATTACTTCCAGTGTTATATGATTGTTTAGTTTATGCTAAATCTAAATACAAATGGTTTATATGTACTTTTGATGGAAATAAGTACAAAAAGGGATACTTTCGTTTACATCATGGACACCCGTTGTACCTTTCTATGAGGTCATATTTCTTTCTATAACCTAAACGACCATATGATTTTATCTTATACCAGTACAAAGCTTTAACCAATTAATCACAAATTTAAGTGTCTGAAGGGCAATAACTCCTATAACTGGTGTATAGGATTGGTTAAACGGAATGCATATGGATCTCAAATCAAAACACCCTTAGTCTTTAATAAGTGTGGTTTTACTCTCAGATCTGTAATATGTGTCTTTTGGGTTTTTTTTTTTTTTTTTTTTTTTTTTTTTTTTTTTTTTTTTTTTTTTTTTTTGGCGTGGAATAGATCTGATGAGATCAGCCCTTTTCTACGGATTTTTATAGTTTTGTCTTTTGTTGCATTACTGTCCCAGAAAGGGATCATCATATTTATGATTTTATACATACATCAAGCCATTAGTTTTCTCATTTGAATGGTTTTACATTTTTCATTTCTGGACCTTTTAAAGGTTGCTTTCGATATGAGTTTTGCTCATTATTGGAGGCCTTACGGTGACCTATAGTTGCTAAATTGAATTTGGTCTCTGGTTTAGAGTCATTGGCAACCATACCACATCATCGTGTGAAGTATTTTAGCAATTGGCATTGTTAACCGAAAAAGCACTGTTAATAACTACAGAAATATCAATATAAATTTATTCCTTTATTTAACGATATTGATTTACACTTTCTTTTCCCTCTTTACAGAAAATGGCAATGGACGTAGCATCAGAAATTAGATATTCCAACAATCACAGCAGAGAAGTTATCAGAAGAAAAATAGTCGACACACATAATATTAGTGATAGATATGTAAGACAAGACACACTCCTTTAAAAAACATCTCCATCAAGTTATTAACGTTCCTGTAAATCAAACCTTCACTAGTGGAGCAAAAACTGTTTTTATCATATCAGTTCACAGCATAATGTGTGTAATTTTTTTTTGGGGGGGATGGGGGTAGGTAGGGTCGGGGGTTCGGGGATTTGGTTAGCTTTAATCTTTTTTCTGTGTAATAAAAAAGAGAATGGAAATGGGGAATGTGTCAAAAACACAACAACCAGACCAAAGAGTAAAAAACAGCCGAAGGACACCAATGGGTCTTCAACACAACGAGAAAATCCCGCACCCGGAGGCGAACTTGAGCTGGCCCCTAAACAAAAATGTGTACTAGCTCAGTGAAAATAGATTGTTTTGAATAAGCCTTAAATGTCTAATTTTTTTTGTGTGAGTTACGACTTACATAGTCAAACAAATCTCAACAACGTTTTGGTTTGATCAGCTCTTTGATGTTTGTATTATGATTTGGATTTTAAAATGTTTTGGCTACGAGCATCACTGAAGAGACATTAATTGTTTAAATGCGCATCTGATGTAGCAAATTTGATTTATGTGTGTATGCATTAAACAATTAAAAATCGGGACGTGCACTTGCAGTTATAAAAACAAAACAAATATTTATTTTTTAGGATGACTGTCTAGATATGGTGCAAGATTTTATTAACCCCTTAAAGTTAGCAAACAAGCAAGGAAAATATGTAGAACTAAAGTGTTATACACTAAAACTAGGAGATAGAGTAAGACGTGGTCCTGATTGGATTTATAGTGATCAAGATTTAGATCTCCCAGGGACTGTCGTTGGACAAGATCTTTGTGGTATATCATGTAGTTTAGAATATGTAGAAGAAGCAAGATATTAAAGATAAATCTGAAGAGTATTTTAAGAAGGCCTGCAAAGCACATGTTATGTTAGATATACTCTGATAGAATTCAACGATATTCAATATTTATCAGTTTGTTTGTTCAAACTAAAAATGTTTTGTTTAAAACTTAACATTTCGGAAGTGTTTAGTAGATGTTCTATTGGAAAACCCGGCAAAATTAAAAAATCTCAATTCTTGCAGTATTCCTAAATGTCATTACTCCATTAAATTTTAAAATAAGGACATAGTTAAGCCAAAACACAAAATTTAAATTCTTGAAGCACAAAATACAGTTTTGGTACCAGCTATTTCCAAGCGACATCTATTCCTAGACTAAGATACTTGTAATGACAGAATCTTGACCGTGCTAGAGGATACGCATTTTGTAATAATTGATAATATTGGGCAGTGACAAATATATGACTATATACTTTAAACAAGTTCACATTATGAAGATAAAAGGTTTTATAAAACAAACATATATAACCAGTCATTTACACAGTGTTCAAAATCAAAATATCAGTATAAAAAGGGTAAATTTCTGACAGAAGTCGGTCATAATTAAAGAAAAACGACGTCGCGTAACGTTACCATTACTAACCTAAATATCGTGCGTAACGTCAGACACTTCATAGTCTCTATTGAATTTATTCACAATTTATTTACACTTAGAGCGATTTAGAACTTGATATATTGTAAAGACATTTGTTTATTGATGAAGACCGTATGGTGACTATGAGTGTCTTATGGCTTTGTGCCGTTTGTCTAATTTACAGATACCAACATCAAATTTTAATAATATTTGCTCTTGATTTTGATCATAACACTGATATTAAATTTTCAATTTAAAATCTATGATACTGATTGACATATAATTTTGATAATCCTCGATCTGGTCTTTAAATGATTTTTTCTGGGATATTCCATACCTATGTCGTTCTTATTAAAGTGACAGTAGGGTGCTGTAATATGTTTAACGTATTGATACTCTTTTAAATTTGTATAAAGTCAGTTTGAGATTTTCAAAATAGCTGCTACCCAAATGATAAGCTGGTTTCTTGTTTCCTGTTTTCATAGATATATCATTTATAACTCGACAAATGTACCAGTCTTATAAGCCAGCCAAATCTCATCAGTAAACACTCAAATCAAAATAGTTGGAAGTCCAAATCAAATATAAGTTTTAAAAAAACTTATCAAAGATACCAAACTTATAATTTTGTACGCCAGACGCGCATTTTATCTACAAAAAAACCCATCAGTGACGCTCGAACAAAAAATCATTATTAACATTTTCAAGTTTGATTAAGTAATTAATATTTAACCCGTTAATTTCCTCTAAATGATACACACGTTATCTCGAATCCAATATTCTTGATTAGACAGGATATGGGTAGAATGGGACCATGGGCAACGACTAGGATATGTGTTTGATGAACATATGAATAGATATCAAATAAGAAAAGTGAATGAAGCCAGAATACTAGTCAATGAGATGATAGCAGTCGGTTGTAGGGTTGTTAGAGGTAAAATTAAGTAGACAGTTACATCAACATTATAAATGAATTATATTATTACAATATTAAGAAAAAACTATGATTTTTATTTGCATAGCACGTGTTCTGAAAAAAACTGTCATCAGGTAAGTTAAACCAGAACCCTGTGTAACCAATTCTTTTTTTTTCAAATTGAAGTTGACGACTTTGTTATTCTTCGTATGTTTAATGAAAACTACAGAAAAGTAAATATTCAGCAATGAATTTTATCTTCATATTATACGCAAGAACTAAATAACAATTTTACTTTGCACAGGCTACCCATACTGAACGGGAAAAAAATCAAATGAAGTGTACATTTTGATATAAGCACATAATAGTTAATATTTCATTAACCTACAGGTCACGATTGGAAGTATGGAGATTTTGACGGAGGTGAGGGTTCATTAGGAACTGTTCTTGAAGTGAAAGATAAAAGCAAAGTGGTAGTAAGTGCTTTTCATTAATTATTTATTTAAATAAGATATATACATTCGATATACATATTGATATTACATACATTAGATGAAACAGTAGAGTACCGGTGTTCAAATGTCAAAAATATTTTTTCAAAATACAAATCAAAACATTAAACGAAGAGTAACCGAAAACAATAGACAGTTTAACAGATCACACAATTCAGCAACATCAAGCACCTAAAAAAATACAGAAACACAAACAACATCAAGCAGCACAATATCTAAAAAGACTGGTACAAGCACAAAATACTGTGGGGATTAAACCAGTTAAAGTAAGCCCGTCATTGTTCCTTTTGCCTATCTAGACCATAGATTTATCTCATTTAACATTTTTCGATTTTACACCGTAATGTGAAATGTAGTAATCATAACAACAATAACAAAAATGACACGCATGTACATGTTTACATTCGTACTTAGACAATGTAAGAACTGCAGAATGTTATTTTCATGCCACTCCTTTTAATTAATCATGAAACACTTACATTTTAAACGATAAATTTTAATTTGTAAAGGTCAGATGGGACAGAACAAATAAAGGCATATTCAAAATTGGATTTAATGGACTTTTCGAGGTGAAATTGTGGTAAGTTATACTTCAAATAATTACAGTCTAAGTTAAAACAAGTATACACAAGTTAATCGAATATTAATTTTGATAAAAGTATAGAAAGACAATTAGAAAGTCTATAATTGTGTATAGTTACCCTTACCATAATATACATTAATTAACTAGCTTTTTCACCGTTTCTTATACTTTATTTCTTGTAGCGATGATTTTGTAAACAAAGAGAACACAAGACGACACATAAAGCCAAGTAACCATAGCTTAACTAGACAACAGAATCGCCACAATTTGGACACAATTGATGATGATCTATTGGACTGTGTAATTACATACTCCGACATATTAGGTAAGGTAGCAACCGTTTGATTCTCGGGAAGAAAAAAAAGTTTACGTTTAAAAATGCAAAAAAAAAATGTTTCAACCAAGAATTAAAAAAAAGTATCTTAAATGTATGACGTATACAAATAAATTGTTGTGAATAATAAACAATGTAAACAAAATTGTCGCCTGACATAGACTTGTGATGAAATAAAAGACACACACTGATCACAAAATAAGATGTACAGATATCAAGACACCATGTATCACTATTATTATATTGTTTGATACCACATTATTAGGCATCTAAAGAGGTTAAACGTTTTAGATCAGATAACAAACCAAATGCCTGATACAGTATTTATTGAAAAAGCAACCTGTCTTTATACATGTAAAGATGCGATAAAACAGTAATAATAATATAGCACCCAACTGTCACTTAAATAAGTACAATGCAGTTATTCAATTTCACATTGATCCGTGTCAAGGCCCCGATCAATCATGTAGTTTTCATTACAATTTACACATACGTCTAAATAATTATCTACAAACAATTAAAAAAAGTGGTTTTTGAAGAAAAAAAAGATTTCATTAGGGAGCTATCATTTGTTTGAACCGAGAGTTAAGATAAAAAAGAATGTTTTCTGTTCTAGGTTTATAAAAATGATTTGGGGTACAAATCTCTGCCTCCGAGATTTAAATGGTTGCTTCCTAAGATAATGATAGAAAAGGTTATTATCCCTATGCGTATAACGTTTGAATTTGTAAGGTTTTATTAACTTCCCCCTTTTTGAATTTACCTTGGAGTTTGATATTTTTGTTAATCCATTTTGCAAAAGTAAAGACTAAATGTTCACAATCTATTAACTATTATTAATGTATAATTTAAATCACATGGCAAAATTATTACACAGAGACCAATGGTATGAAGAATAGCAGCGTTATAATTATATGTTGACAAATTATGCATACCAATTCGGTTATATCGACCGATAAGTATACAACGTTTTTTCAAAATTTCGCAATTGATATTATGTTTTCCAAACTTTTGGTCTCGATCGTACAAGAAAAAGGTTATTCCAGAACCACATGTCATACGTTTTTTTTTTGGTTCCGAATTACAATTTAAAAATCATAATGTTTTTCCAGTTTTTTATGCAAGAAAATGAGGGTTAACATCAATGTAACATGGGACAATATGTAAACACATACACACACCTACATGTCCAAAGAATAACACACTTCAGCATTAAACTTAGTGCCTACACAATATGTCAGCTCTAATTGCTCCTATTCTTAACAGACTAAAGTAGATTTTAAACAGGGACTACCGAGGATATGTCATCAATACCAAATTTTTGAAAGGACATAATACAACAACTAAAGACAATTACTTGGGACGTATGGCACGTGGGACAGGCATGTGATTATGTGGCGGGCATACTTTAGGGTTTTCAGTACCTAACCCCCTTTTTCGATTGAAACATAAGGATAACAAAAAAGAAGATAGACGGTATAGTTAAAAAAAAAGTAACTAATATAAAAATAAGGAGATGTGGTATGATTGCCAATGAGACAACTATCCACCAACGTTCAAATGAAGTGGGTGTAAGCAAATATAGGCAACCGTACGGCCTTCAACAACTCCATTATATAAGAGTACCAGAAGGAAACTACACAAGTAGAAAAGTAAAACGATATTATTTAATGTAGTGTTAAAGAGTGCTCTTTTTTTACTGAAAACAAAGCACAACATATTAAATACAATTATACCTTCTCTGCTGATTTAGAAATTATACTTTTTTACATTTTAATATCAACCTGTTTCATTTCATATACTTACGTCCGGAACAATACGTTTATAATCGTTTATTTTTATTTTTCTATCATGATGACAGTCAGTGCAATTTGGGAATATCGGAAAAGCTCAGAGTGGACACAATACCCATCTGGAATTAATACTACGATTGAAAAAGCTTATCAGAGAAAGCAAACGGGAAACATCATCATTGAAATGGATCGTACAAAGTAACTCTTTTCATTATTTTGAGACATAAATAAATGCATATATGTAATGATTAGTACAGAAAAAAAGAACCTTCGTTTGAACTTCATTGTAAAATTTAATACAATTGTACATGACATTTTATACAAAATATGTGAACTAGCCATAAGAACGTTTATAACCCCAATGCTTTGAACACTAAATTACATATTAACAATTTGACAAGCAACTGTGCTCAAATAAAATGACATAACTTTATGTTTTGGGATTCTTTACAAAGGATGATATACAACTCCAAACATGTTGATTCTTTGTTTCTCTAATTCGTCTTGATTTTTAAAATGACTTTTTCTGCTTATTGTACATAATCGTATTGTCTAGGTCATAGCATGCATATTGTGGATGTCTTCTTTACCACCTTTTTGTATTTTCATTAAATAAGATAATTAGGAACATAAAACTAATATCCTTGAAGTAATGTTGTTTAATTAGAAATGAACAAGATCATTAAGCATACATCATAGTTTCATACTTTATATTTGAATGGCATTATGAGTTGTTTTAGGTTCACTAAGTCGTATTTGACTTTTCTTTTTATACTTAACTAATGAAACGAAGATATGAAAAAATAACTGATTTTAATTAATCAGAAAACAGTGAGTTTATAAAAAAAAAACAGGAATAAACTTGATTAAGTTTTCAAACATACAATCAACATTAACATTTAATTGGAATTGACGTGATAAACAAATGTGTTGTTCATAGGCACCGTTGCAAATAAGACAGGAATAATAGAGCTTTTGATTAGCTTACATTTGGTTTGTTGTTTTGTTGTTGTTTTTTTAAACAGTGAATGATTACATCCTTTTATAAAACAACATGATTTATTTTGTTTCAACGTTTTTTATACTTAACTTTTAATTTAAACCATGTTAGTTAGATACATAAAAATAAATATACAAACTACAGATAAATATTAATTTTTTGATGAGTTTACACTGTAATAAGCAGAATTAACATTAAGTCTCTTTTTTCAAATTTTGCAAATATTATTTCAAACTTATTATTAAATAAATATATATATACATATATTTTCATATCAAATAGACTTTGAATAATTATGCACTTTATTTCAGGTACATAATCCATTTTCCAAAAATGATACAAGAAAACCCTCAAAATAAGACAGAAATACAAATCAGAAGAAAAGGTAGGTTGAAATATTGTACATTGCGGTTATTGTTTCTCTTGTTTCATTGTCTGTTAACCAGGGTTTTGTCTGTCCTTTTTCGATTGATTATTTTTGTTACCCCTTTTGGTATCCTCTTATTTTATTCTTCAAATTAACAATGAACAAAATTATTATTGATAAAGCTGATCTTCTTAACATTTATGATTAAAACATCATTGTTGTACTTTCTATGTAATAAGCTACTGCAACAATTTATAGATATCAAATTCATGATATAGGTCATAATGAAATGTGATTAAAATACTAAAGACATGATCAAAAAAACAAAAACTGTATTTTGTATGTCAGATTAAACAGTACTATATTTTTACGAACTTCAACTAAGTTTCAATTTCTTCTATGGAAAAGGCCAATTACATAATAATACTAAATTATCGGTTATTTTCTGCATGTATTGTTCCAGTATTGTTAATACATCAGAAGGCGTTTTTACTTTTTTACTTGCATTTTTCTTTTCTTTTTCAGATTAAAGATTTGCTTCATGAATGACAACACACTTTTTGGTAATTTTAAGCTTGAAAACAAGAATTGCTTTAACACGAAAATAAAAGATTTTACACATGTGTATATAGTTTGACTTAAATGCAGCCAATATATTTGTCCTAACAAGATTCAAATGTTCACAAAAGATGTTGAAGCTTCCAAGTAGACATTCAAGTCGAAGAGAAACTGACAACCTGCAAGATTTTCTGTACAGGATGTCTTCAGACATCTAATAACCGGTATTTAAAGATACAATAAGGCGGGTCACTGTCGTTATTTACCGAACGACTTCAACATAATAAGAGAGTTGAGTGTTCAAAATTGAGTTGGGGTCATCTCTTAGAAATTCAAACAAGTTAATTTGAAAAATAATTGTGTCATAAACGATCAAGGATATGCATTGTTTATCAATTCTCATTACCTCATCGTAATTATTGCTAATTTTGTTCTGCGACTCTTGTCTGTCTTTAATTGACTGATGGTTTTGAATTCCCTATGAACAAGGTATTAAATAAAACTGGAAATCAACATCAAGTTTAGAAAACCTCCATTTCTTTTTACCGCTTAATTTCATGATGTTAGTTAGATTTTTTTTTAATTTGATGTTAGTATCATTTTTTTCCTTTTAGTTGATTTTTTTCAGATTCAACCTTTTTATTATGATTTAAAGACATATTGTACATTATAACTTACCTTAAGAAATAAATTGCAAACAATTGATAGTATGACTAAACCTTTTCATGTTATGTAAACATGAAAACTTTGGAACTAAGCTTATTCCATGCATGCATGGACGAAGGCAACTAATGTTAACGTAGTCCATGATGCATGGACTAACACAATAGACTTAGTCCATGCATGCATGGACGAAGGCAACTAACGTTAACGTAGTCCATGCATGCATGGACTAACACAATAGACTTAGTCCATGCATGCATGAACTAAACTAACTTTGTATAAAAATTTGAAATTATTCAATTAGTCAAGCAGACTTAGTCCATGCAAGTATGGACTAAGTTAACACTAGTTGCCTTCGTCCATGCATGCATGGAATAAGCTTAGTTCCAAAGTTTTCATGTTTAAAAAAAAAGAAAAGGTTTACTCATACTATCAAGTGTTTGCAATTTATTTCTTAAGGTAAGTTATAATGCACAATATGTCGTTCAAGCATAATAAATAGGTTAAATATGAAAATATCAACTAAGAAGAAAACAATGATAGTAACATCAAATTAAAAAATAATCTAACTAACATCATGAAATTAAGCGGTAAGAAGAAAAAGGAGGTTTTCTAAACTTGATGTTGATTTCCAGTTTTATGTAATACCTTGTTTATGGTAAATTCTATCCCCTATGTGAGATTAATTATTGCTAAACTTACAACACAGGGAATAAAGAGATAAACCGGCTTTGTAATTGATGATATGCAATTAAACAGAAATAGAAAGTCTTAATTTAGTAAAAATACAAAAAAAGTCAGATAATTACTAAACTCAGTAGGTGAGCTTGATATATATATATATATTAAGGTAATACAAAGACATAAAAGGTAATAATCAACATCGACACTAAACTTAAACAGTATCCAAATGAAGCCTAACAGTGTCTATATATATAACAAAATATAATTTTCCTGAATTTAATAATCTGAGTATTAGTTCTCAGGTAAACAGTGAAACAGAATGAAAAGATACAAAAACTTTGGCACAAGTAGCACATAGCACGGCTCGACACAATCCCAAAAATCAATTGTAGCATTAATAACATGCAGTTTATATGCGCAAACACCCCACATACAAAATATACTAAAAATCATTAGTTCAATTTGTTTAAAGCGCAATACACTACATTTTGACAGTATCAATTAAAAAATATATTATAATGACGATAATACGATTTGATATTTTGATCATTTCGTTTTGAATGAATTTGGCAGCTTTTACCACTTTAGAACTAGTACTATGATAAGGGCAAATGTTTATCAGAAATATGATAGCAAATTCAATTTAGTTTTGCACTCCATTGTTTACAGAAGGTCCAATAAGAATAATGTGCTAATTACTATTATGAAGATACAAATAGCATTTAATTCAAATGTTATGATAAACAAATTGAATCTATTTTGATTTCGAAAAAACATCATTTTTAAATGGAGTATATATTACCGTAAAGAAGTAAGTCAATATGTGGAGAACATATAATAGTTAAGAATCTTGCATAGGAGAAAATTTAACATCTATGAGTATTTTGCTACTTCTGGATCAATAGCATTAATTCTGACATTGTAATTCAAAACTTTGTATTGTTAACCGGATACTACAAATTCTACTGAAACAAGTAAACTAAATAATATCGACAGGGTAACAGTATAACGGCAAATGCTATCTTAGTAATTAATAACAATGTGCCTGTTAAATTTAAGATAATAAAACGCATCAAATTTGCTTATTTCATGTGCATTTCTGAATTTACCTATATCAAGAAATCTTCGAGTCGACATGTACTGAAAAACATGTAAATATATTGGTCTTATTTGGATATCTAGTGATCTGCAGGTGGTGTATATTTACGATGACCGTGACTACTATTTCGTCTGACATAAGTGTCACTTAGGACTAGTCAGGTTACCCACTCTATCAATTTTGTCATTGCATTCGTAAGGAATCTCTGTTGTCATTCTCTATTCCAGAAATCGTTTCTTTGTTCGGGGTTCGTTCTTTGACATAACCCTCGTTCATCAACTTTCTGCTTAAAATCGTATCGTGTGTCATAGATTCTGATACTGAGATAACCGCCTATGTCAAATTCGAGGAATAAGTATAAAAAAGAGGCAGAGGAAGCCGTGTCTGTTGTTTCGTTAATTTCTAGTTCGGGAGGATATATTGATGGCACCCAATCAGAAAGGTTTGGCTTGTTAATGAAAAGAACATTATCAATATATCTGAATGTGACATTAAATGATATGGCATCTTTGATCTTCTTGTTCTGTTGAATGATATATTTTCTCTATAATATTGAATTTCATAGATACAATTGAATTGTAAGGTTGGTTAAAGTGTTTATAGAGTAATTCATTGTTGTCTGAATCTTAACTCTTTGCCGTGTTTCATCGACATAGATCAGTCAACCAAAAGAATGTTTGTTTTGATCACGCATCGTTGTCAATATAATGGAATTTGATGCGACTGTCATACAAGTGAGAGGTTTAGCTAGCTATAAAACCAGGTTCAATCCACCATTTTCTTATGTATGCCTCTACCAAGTCAGGAATATGACAGTTGTTATCCATTCGTTTGATGTGTTTGAGCTTTTGATTTTGCCATTTGATTAGGGACTTTCCTTTTTGGATTTTCCTCGGAGTTCAGTATTTTTGTGATTTTTCTTTTTGATACCGTACACAATATTAAAAGCAGCACAATGCACATCCTCATGACTACGTGTGTTCTAACATTTTGTAGTCATGTTATTAATAATGAGTATATTACAAGTTTTACAGTTTTTACGATTGCAATTAAGAAATGAAACAATGTTGCAAGTAGTCATTGATATGTTATATATCTGAAAGTAACAGTGCAGTAATGCAATAATGCAAAGAGGAATTTGAAGACTGAACAAAGGTCGCTTAAATGACAAATTTAAGATGACCTAAGGAACACCTACAAATTTGTTTCATTTCGAGTTGATGGTCATTCGCAATATCCGATTGATACCTTTTTATTCTGAGTGATGTGCCATCCAGTCTTTTATTCAACCTGGTGTAAACCTACCGAGCTGCTAGAATCTCGGGGGACAAGTGCTGTCATCCAGCAGAGATTCCGACCCAGTGGTGATAAATTAATGCAACAGTAGTATATCAATGTCAAAATCTCATAAATCGAGACAAATCAAGATAACCAACAAAAATCTGAGGGAATCGCTAACTGCAAAAGGAACAAAACCAGATATGCATGATGCCCACGCCCAGTAAATTCGCACTCAGTCAAAATGTCAAAATCTGAGTAGGACACAATCAATAAAATTGCAGATTAGACGAATATTATGGTATCTGAAATAGTATTTTATGTAAAATCAGCCGTAGTAGTAATGTAAAATCACATAATGTTTTCATTTAAATGAGTCTACCCATAAACTATATTCCTGTCTTTTTTTATGTTTATATATTTCATTAAAAATTAAGACCGATTGTTTTCTGCTATTTCATGATCGATGATGGCGGAAATTAATTTTTGTTAGTGTGTAGTAAAGCTGCATTTCCACCGATCAGATAAAAGTGTTTGTGGTCGAGTACAATTCAAAAATTGATTGAAAATATACATATGTAACAGGAAATAAATGTAATCAGGGATTTCATGTAGTTCCCGAACAGGGGAGTAATAACACGTAATCCCTAGTTATTGATAAGGATTTCATGTTATCCATGGCATTTTTACCTAAAATTACAGATATCCCCTGACCCTTGTCAGGATTTTTTTTTTATTTAGTTGGAAAATGTTAGAAATAAAACGGTTTTGTTTTCATTAGTTTTGGGTATACACTTCACAGGTGACAGTTATTAAGGTAGCTATCTTACATGTACAGATATTTGCGCCAATGTACGTACAATGCTCACATATGTGATAGCGTATTTATTGATGTATAGCTTCTTTGATATCTATCTGACAAAATACAAATGTAGTATTCAAGAATTGTGTGACATGATCACATAATGTTAGCAAACATTCTTATTCAAAATAACATACAAAAATTAGTAAGTTAATATGGTACATTTTTTTACGGAAAAACCTATTCTTGAAACAAAATTTGCATAACAACTGATTTGATGAATTATAGCTTATTGTAAAACTGAAACAATAGTTCGCTTTACAATTGACGGAAATAGTATAATGGCTTTTTTAAATGTGTTCACGATAGGTGTTATAAATCAAAGCCGTTTTGGTCAAAGGATATCCCAAAGATCTTTAATCGTATCTATTCCGTTCTTTAACAAATACACTCACAGCCTGCTGTGTAAATAAAATACTGGTTCATCATTACCTTCAGTCCAGTTTCAGTAATCTTATCCATTTATTGTTATTTAGACAAGATGGCAGTTGGTATTTTTAAATGGGTAAACACAAATGTATATTTCATGATTGAACACTGTCGATAATTACATACTGTTAAACTGGGTAATAATATAGAAAGGAGAATCATAAAATATTCGTGTTGCATTTCAAGAGAATGATTTCAGCAGATTCAAATCAATGTTCAATTATCTTCCTTTATAAATTAAAGTAAAAATATATAATGATGAACATTGAATATAAAAATGCCTTAGAATTTTGCAGAGCTTTAATTCATAGATCGCTAATCATTCAGAGTGTGTCATGTTAAACTCGGAAACTAGATGTGGAAGTAATAAATCACAATTTTATCTCCTTTCAGAAAATGTTAAAAATAGTTTTAATCAGATACAAATAAAAGCTTTTTTCAATCTAAATCATTTCATATAGAAATCAAGTATCGGTATTAAGAGGTTTCCTATATATCTACTCGTATGATTAATAGTCAAACCTGAAAGTTTGTTGATAATATTTTAATGCAGATAGATCGATACAATAATTGTAAAGTCAGAAGTAATGTTAATGTTGCCTTATTCATGTAACAATACGCATGAAAAAATTCCATTATTATTATATAACATCATGTTTTGTATTAAATTACAACTGTAATTATTTGTCATATATTAATGTCCTGTAAATTCCAAGAAGATTTAAACTCTATTTTTATAACATAATACTTGTTTGCAAATGCAGGAAATAATATATCTATGAAACATTGTACTTCCGTCAATTGCATGTCAGTTATATGTATTTAAATTGAACAAAATACACACATTCTGTAAAAGGTGAAAAAATACCTTATTTTTAAGGAAGGACTTGGGAAATTCATGAATACAAAACCAAAACTAAACAAAAATTGATAAATTTCTAAAAGCAATCGAAACATTCTATTAATAAATGTCTTTTATGAAACAACAGTGTGTAATTTTAGTATGAAGGACGAAGTAAAATATATGATAATGGCGAAGGTAAGCGATTTTGTAAGACTGGCAGTAATTTTGATAATTTATTTATAGTTGTATAAATTGATGTCATTGTTTTATCTTTCAGTTTATTTTGTTTTGTTTTGTGTTTAATTGACACTTCAGACGTCACTATGATGTCATGAACTTTTGGAAATTGACAAATTTAACTTAAAATGGACTTTTTATCATATGTTTTTTTGGCAAACTTAAATATTACCCAGGGCTTTCCCAAAAGATAACCAGATCAACATCTTTGTATAATAAATCGTATAGCAACATATTCTATCTGGAAACGACTTGAATCTTATTGAAATATTAATGATAAAGTTTCAAAGTGAGTTTAATTTTGAAATTTTAGTATTTTTTAAATGTTCTAAAGAACAGATGTTTAACAAAAATGAAAGTAATAATGTCTAAAGAATATCTGTTTGTATTATAGTGCAAAACCTCAATAACCCGTCGGCCCCTTTTGTATCCTAATAAGGAACACAATGGCCAGAGGTCGTGCACTTTGTCTAAAATATAAGTGCATATACAAAAACCAATGACATGATCAAATAATCAAAGTTTATTCCCTAAATGTAACCATTGAGGATGACATTTATTCATTTCGTTATTCATCAATGTACAAAGGGGTTTATACATATATGGTCATTGTGTTCTCATTATCATAGACAAATGGGAACGGGCCAAGATTGTTTTGTTTTATACACGTTCTTATTAAATAAAGATTAGAATGGATTAAGGTCATCGTTTTCTATATTGTAATACTAGGAAAGACAACCATAAACAAACAAAAAAGACGAATGACCACTAATAATTTTATTAAATAGAACCTATTCGAAGGGTATTATTTAGTCACATATACGCTACGATGATATACAAATGGACTTACCTTATCTTAATCCGTTTCAAGAAAGGAAAATAATATAATGTCATTTTGTAATAATTGACATGTGCATGTTAAACAAAAGAGATAACCTCTGGTCACTGTATTATAAATTTGTATACAAAGGGGGTAACCTATGGTCATTTGTTTCCAAGGAAAAGGAAGGACATGTTCAAAATTTTTATAAAAAGGATGCTGGACTTCGGTTTTTATATTCTATATATGTCTCATATCAGCTCTCTCACCTCCCTTAAGAATAGGTAATGTTAGGAAGTTTTCATTTTCCTCACTTCAGCGTAGCAGTTAACATAATCATATATTTTTTTCAAATGTTTAGTACCATTCCATGGATGACGATCTCTTGAATATGTAGCGCCATGCCTTGAGTCTAAAGAACATATTCCTATAACGTAGAAATTTTCTGTGGTAGTGACCTGAAGTCATGGAATCTTACGTCGAATATTACTGGAGATTTTGAGTTTGTGCAAAATATCATTCAGATAAGGGTGAAGGTTTGGTACCATTAAAACGTTTAAACCCGCTGCAATTGTTTGCACCTGTCCTAAGTCAGGAATCTGATGTTCAGTAATTGGCGTTTATTGATGTGGTTCATAAGTGTTTCTCGTTTCTCGTTTTTTATATAGATTATACCGTTGGTTTTCCCGTTTGAATGGTTTTACACTAGTAATTTTTGGGGCCCTTTATAGCTTGCTGTTCGGCGTGAGCCAAGGCTCCGTGTTGAAGACTATACTTTGACCTATATTGGTTTTCTTTTATAAATTTTGACTTGGATGGAGAGTTGTCTCATTGGCACTCATACCACATTTCTTATATCTATATGCCTAACTGTTCACAATGACTTATCTACTTGCCTTTGGTTTGCGTCTGTCATTTTGAGGTGTTATAGTATAAAGAAGATGTAGTTGGATTGTCAATGAGTCAACTCTCCACCCTGTTATATTGTCTTTGAAAATAGTTATAATTGTCCATATTGGTGTCTGAGTAAATAACCCTCTGAAAATGGGAAACAGGAATAACATTTATCGTTTAAGATATTTGTAAAAAGAATGTGTAAATTGAAATACCCTACACCAATATGACAATATTCGTATAAATTTATATTGTATTACTGTGACTTGACTGTAAGTGTTGCTCTCCACCTATTGAAACGTATTCAAAATTCTGACCAAATTGCAATTTGTTATATAAAACCAAACTGTTCAACTGGTCAGAAATATGAACAAACTGCTGTAGAAAAACCACAGTCAAGTCGTGAAAGTGCAAGGTGATAAAATAAAGCATACTTACAATCATATAATACTTTAATTCCACTTCAATGTTATTATAAAAAATCAGTGTAACAGTTTGTATAGAAATTGTATTCTTATTGTCATGCTAAAGGTGATAGGTAGTAATTTTGAATTGCTATAAAAATATCCAAACTAAACTTTCATACAATTTTTCTTTTGAAAAGTCTTCTATATTCATAAGAATCAGACATCATTTGAATTAAAACATTTTATATTCAGTAAAATATGTGTGAAATTACAATACGTTGTTAGGAAGTTTCCATGGGAGATAATCAATTTTTCTTTCGAAAAGTCTTCTCTAGTCAAAAGAATAATGTTTAAGGTTATCTCCCATGGAAACTTATTAACAACGTATTGCACTGATTTATCCTCATATATTCTATGAAATATGCATTTTAATTGTTGTTAGCGCTGAGTGAAATGTTATTCAATATTATCTTGTAGATTAAAGATTCAAGCGAGGAAATTCAGATAATGATGCAGAAGCAAGAAGAATTGAGACGAGACATTAAAAATGATAAGTATGCCCAGCTATTCACAAATTCACAACATAATTTATAATGCAAGGCAAACAAGAGGGAAGTGAATACATAAACTGGCAAAGACTAACAATTTTAGATACGCAGTTATCCTGCGAAATTATTGAGAAACTAATGTTTCAATGCACTCAGACCCTTCATAGATATGGCTATTATTTTTAGGTCCTTTTTGGTCATATACCTCTTTAAATGTTTCGGTTCTTATACATCCTTGGCTCTCAAGTATTCGGATTGGAGCGTTCAGGATGAGGGTTAATCTAGAAAAGTACATCAGATGCATGACATTTATAGTGTGTTTTTGCTTTTTTACAGCACTGGGTCGATTACGCTGCTGGTGGACTATATGTCCCCGAGAGTATCATCAGCTCTATAGTCAGTAATTCGGTTCTAACTTGATTTTTAACAAACCCTTCTTAAATTGTCCGTTTATAAATTTTTACGTTATTAAGAACCTAAGCTTTCAACTCAATTTTTTGAGGTAAAATTGTTCAGCAGGTTGTCAGCATTCATATGAGAACCAACTGTGCACCTCTTCTGTTCGAACTTCTTTATTTTCATATGAGTCGCAGTTTCTTCAGACATTTGTAAGAAGCAAGAAGTTCAAGAAAGCTAGATCATTTAATTTCACTTCTTGATGATGTTCTTTCCGCTAAAAATCCAAACGTTCATGATTTTTTTTCAAAAAGTTAATTGAAAAGTATCAAGACCTTATAGATAATTATTCAGTGTCCCTTGATACGTTAAGGTGTGTCTACAGGGTACTGAAACATTTACATTAAACAATAAAGTGACGGTCAGTCCAAATGGTAACCATGAAAAATGGGCGACCTACGCCGAGGCAGTTCTAGATATACATAAAAACCAAAATAGCATTCATTCTGATCAATCATATACAGAATATAGCACTTATTACAATAGACAAAGAGAACAAAGTGACCCCGAGTTATTTTATAAAACCCGTTTTCTTGAAAGATCAAGATGTGCATGGCTCAGGAAACCTCTTCTAGCCCAATGGCTTACAAATGTCGAAAGATTGAAGTCAATTAGAGCTAAAGTCCCGTCACAGTGCATAAATTGAATACAGAGAATATTTAAGTTGTTATCATCAGCTCAGAAGTCAGTACATCGGTTCTGACCTGATTTTTTACAAATCTGTCATAAATTGTCCGTTTATAAACTTATAAATTATTAAGTAACTAAGGTTTCAACTCCCTCAGGTAAAGTTCACCTATATAGATTTTGGGTGTTATTATTATGTCATTTTTGGTCATATAGCTCTCCAACTGTTTCGGTTCTTATACATTCTTGGCCTCAAATAGTCGGCATTGAGCGTTCATGATGAAGGTAAATCCAGGAAAGCGCTTCGGACGCATGAAATTTATAGTGTGTTGTTTTTATTTTTTCAACTACTGAAACTCATTTGCTTACTAGATAGTTGTGTTGTGTTTTTTTATTTGTTTGTTTGTCTTTCCGGCATTTAACTTTTTGGAATTAGTTTTGACTGTTTTTATTCGACTTTATTGATGACACTGCGTGTAAAAGGGCAGTTTATGGACGATCGCTTAATCATTTAAGTCTATTAAACTGCACGTGTTCCAATAAAAATACTTTATTAGGCAAATTTACTATCTCAAAACAGATAAACAAATAATAAGATTAATTTTCTTACAGATATTGCTTTCATGCTTCCAACGTTAAATACATTATTTCTCCTTTGCAGCTGCAAAAAAGATCGAGAGGAGATGGAAAAGCAATTTGAAAGTATGTAATTATTTAAAGGCATTATATTCAGTACATTTGTTTATTTATTTCTCTGAAGTTGTGCTGCTGTTTATCATAAAGCTCCCATTCTATTAAAGGATAATTTAAAATTTAAGGTGTTTACCTATGAAATATTTCTCATCTTACAAAATGGTATCCTTTATCTAATTATGTACTAGTAAAATACAATGTGTAATACTCAATAATATCCGGAAACTTAACCAGTAAAATTACATTGACTGTATACAGCGAAGTAAGATATATATATATAAATATGAATATTCAGCACAATGTGTATGGGCACATTAATGTGACTAATCCACAGAATTACTGCCAAAAAATGTATGATATTAAAAGGAATGGTATAATGAGGACAGGAACCTGTCTTGAGTCCCATTGTCCCTCCCTTCCGTTATCATAAATATTTGGATTTTTTTCATAAATATCATTTATTTGTAGCATATCTTTACCAATATGCAATATTTTCATTAATGATATATATATATACACTGATATATGAATAAAAGGATGCAGGATAAACATCAATGAGACAACTACTCAACGACAAAAATAATCAAAAGACAGCTAGAGTGCAACATTCAGTCTTCAACAACGGACAGGTGTACCTACAATATTTCAAGCTGTAAGTTGTCCAGAGTCTTTAAAATATGTTGATAACAAATGCAGATTTAGGGTGCACGAGGCCCGGGTCTCCCTCTTATTGAACTTCATATATGGTTAATGACTTTTAACAACTACCGATCTAAAATTTGGCTTGCTAGGCGCCCCTTTTTTAAAAATGCCGGATCCGCACCTGGATTAGTGAATAGCTTGAACTTAAACCAATGTAGTGACGTCAGCTTATTCATTTACCGTGGATTCTTTTTCTAGAATCAACGCTTCCTAAATCTGCCGCTGAAATTGACTCACCAAATTATATTCAATTGTTTCCTTTGTGTGCCTAATTTCATTAAGTTTGAATTGGCTAATTTACTGATTTCTGTTCACTAATGGAATTAATTTAAAAACTTACCTTTAATTTTGTAATTTTTATATGCCTTCACTGGGAATCGAATCCTTCCTTGAAATCTGTTATGTGTGACTGACATTAACACATTGACGAAACCTCTCTGCTACCAATGGGTTACACTATAGATGTCTATATTATATATTTAAATGAACATCTGATATACATCGGTTCATCGGACACACAGGGCTTGTACCTTTATATAGACACAATAGGCAGTCGTATAGTATGAGTTGGTAGCCGCGAGGTTAGCATGGTTAAAATCAATGAGTTAAAGATAGGGATTTATCGGTTTAGGTTCGAATCCCTGTATTCTCTCTGTTTCTCCAATTCTTAAGTTATCCTGTTTTTTTCTAATTTTGCTTGTTATAGTGGATATTTTTGTAATAATAGCGAGTTTTACCGGTTAGTTTTTTTTTTATTGTTATTGGCTATTTCACATGTTTGAAACAAAAATGATTACATTCTATTGGTCAATTTTTGTTTTATAAATATAGTATGATTTCATCTGTTTTACTACATAATTTTACAAAGGTTTGTTCGCAAATTCCTATGCGAGAAAATCGTGATGTGCCTAGAGTGCTAGAAAAATTTTGATAACATACTTATTATATATACTTTATATCCGCTTTTTGGTCGGGTTGTTGTCTCTTTGACACCTTCCCCGTTTCTATTTTCAATTTTATAAGAAATAATTTCGAATATGTCTTATTTTGTATAAACAGATAATATTCATATGCCTGGTAATGTAAAGATCTTTAAAGGTAGAAGTGTTATATTTGTATTTTGTTAACCAATTAATTGTGATCTGAGATTTATCAATGCATCGTTGGACACGATATACAATACCTTCTAATTAAGAAAAGGCTTTAATTTTGAAAAGAAATTAACACAATAGTTTAAGTTATAGATACAATGGATAAGCGTAGATTCATGAAAAACAAACCATTCGCCCTCCGGGCTCATGGTTTCTTTTTCAAGAATCCACGCTTATCCATTGTATCTATATAACAGAAACAATCAAATACCTGCCATCAACACCGAATTCACCAAATAATGAAAAACATTACGATTTGACATACGAAAACTACTAGGGAGGTTCCTGACTTAGCCTTACCCCTTTGTTGTAATCTCGATCAATAGAATAATTCGATCAAATGTTTGGTTTTAGTAGCGTTCCTGTACATGTCGAATTGACAGATTGATCCAACATGGTATGGTATCAGTCTAGTCTACTTAATAAGTTGGTTTCATTAAAAAATTTGAATGTTGGAAATGTTTGATGATGAGGAGAAAGATTTCTTTCTGAGTTTGCAATGAAATTTTTAAAATATAAACAGAGAGAAAACAAACTTTATTTTTAGAAAAGATTATGTATCCAAAATTCCTAATTACATGACAGAGGTGATCGAACAAATGGGAATTCCAGAGCACGTTGGTGATTTCAAAACTCATTACCGTATGCGTAGAGATACATTTTACATAGTATCAGAAAATATTCCAGACACATTAATACGTAATGGAAAGTGTCCTCACAAGTTGAAGGTAGAACAAATGAACAAAACAATCGAGCGAAATCATTCTCTTGCCAAAGTCAGAATCAAACTGACAGGTTTTTAATTCACCAAAAACTGGCATAATTAACAATTCATACTTTTATTTTAACAAAAATTGGAAAATATTGAGTATGTCACCTTTCAGTAAAAGTTGCATGTTGAAACCTCATTTCGAGCCGCATTGTGTCAACCAGAAACACCTACGATTAATACACCTGGGTAGCGTTAGGACGTCTCTTCGTTTGGATGCAGGAAAGTTCGATATTACTTTGAACTACAGTAACTACGGTTGGTCATCGAACTAGGCCATTAAGATGTTTGCTATAACTATGCACTCTACTTTATCTATAAATTTATCGGCACAAATAAATAATAAATACAGATATTTATGATAATGAAGATGATGAACTTTGGGCTAGGGAGCTCAGGACAGGGATCTTTCCACAATCGTAAGTAACTGAGGCGTTTTTTGTAATGCTAAAATATGGAAATCATGAAGTGTAACGCTAATAATATTGCTGCATTTTTTATTAAACATATTTGATTTTACATTCCAACTGCAAGAGATCAGAGATATGCACATGCCGAAACAAATTGTTGGGCACCTGCGTCATGTTTAAGGCAAAAACCTTAGAATTGTATATGTAAATACAAACGAGGATAGTCTGTATATGTCAATGAGACACCTGAATTGGAATAGTATTTTGAGATCTCAGCTCTTCCCTTTTCAATCTCGAACAGTAGATTAGCAACTTGTTCATAAGCGACTAAACAATTAAACCAGTACAGGATACACACTTTATTTTAAATAACGGTATAAAAGATAACACTAACATAAAAAATTAATAACAAATTAATCCGTATAACAAAATGCTTACATGGTCGCAGTACTTAACATGCTGACAAGAAATCATAGTATGTCTAGAAGCCTAGTACTATCTAGTTACAGATGTTGAAGTTTCACGGGCATTTTTATCAATTAAATAACTCCACAAAAAACCACACAGTCTTGTAAACATGAAACTGTAATAATTTTAAAGTTGATTGACAAATATATTTCTATATATATAGATGTTGAAAAAGGTGTAGATTCATTGGCGACACACTGTGACCTTAATTCTACCAGACTAAATGAAATTAAAGAATTGGTATTTACTTTGTCTGAAGGTGTGAACAATATTACTGAAACAGTTAGACATATCAAAGAAAGCTATATTGAACGGATTATTGCTAATGGCAAGAAATCGGAAGCTGTAAAAGATAGACTTGAAAATGTTTCAGTTTCTTCAACAGTTAGTAGAAACACAGGTTGTTTGCCAAATGATGGATGCATTTCATCACCCGAAATAGTTAAATCCTGTTTTTCAAATGAATTAGAAAAATACAATCAATTTGAAACAAACACCATTGACGAAAGCAATGAATATATCCGTCATATAGATGGTGGTCCGTGTGACGACAATAATTTAGACGTTGATACTCCATCAGAAAAGAACACCGTTCTATATAGCAATATATCGGTATCCGATATAACAGATACAAACTGTCAAAATGACAAACTTTATGTAAATGGTGGAAAAGTAGACGAACAAAATGAAGCTGGCGAAATTCAAACTTTGTCAAAATCAAATGGTAAAATGTGTAGAAACGATTTGGGTTTTAAAAGTTTGTCAACAGAAAGGCTCTATGACAACCGTGTAAGTTTCCTTAGTAAAGGCGTTGAAGGTACAAAATATTCTCCAGTATCTGACGTCAAGAAAACTGTACCAAAGAAACCTAATATACAACAACAACATTCAGATTTCCCAGATACAAGGTCACAATTTCAGTCACACATAAGGTAAATATAAAAATATCAAAGATTTATGGCCCTTTGTTTTTTATTTGTGTTAGACACATTGAAATCAATTTTGAAAGATGTCAAAATCTAGCGGAATGTTTATATTAGAATTTCAACATGTAATTTGTTTTAAGAATTCCATTAATTTTCCAATTATTTAAAAAATAAAAAAAAGGTAATTCACCTCTACGCCCAGGAGTTAAAGTCAGTAAAGTAAGCCAGATTACTCCACATCTGTATTAGTTAATTTTCATTTTGAAGGTTATGATATTCAATACCAAATTGAATAAACCTGTCCTTTAAAAATATCATACAAATACACTTAAGATAAATTCTGGTTTTGTTTTGAATTCTTATACAACGTTCTTCAAATGCTTTGAGTACACACTCATGGTAAATATGAATATATTGTATGTCAGCTGATCGGCAACGTCATGATTTGTTTGGGCTGTTCCCATCGTACTCCTTCGTCGTATGATTTTCATGAATGAGTTACCGGAGGTCAATCGGTGTCGATGAAATTATTGAACGATGACGTAAGAATAAAATCGTTCTACGGGAAAATGCACGAATGCGAAATTGAAAGTCATCAAATACGGAATTATAAACAAACAATGATAAAGATTTGTTCAAAGCCAATTTTCTTAAATTAAATTAGGATAATAACTTAACTTCGACCAAACCTTCTAAGTATGTTATTGTTAATCGTTTAAGCATGTCACTAATTCAGGTTGACTTTGTTTTTTATGTCAATATCAATAGTGTGTTAAATTATTGGAACAGGAAATATTTGCCTTCACCTAGAGCGCCTCGATTCAAAACAATTGCCGAAGCTGTCCTATTTAAATATAAATAGTTCATGGTGGTTGAATTTATACTGATTTTACCACGGGTTTGCCTTTCATGCCGATATTTTACCCATCGCTATCGCTCGTGGTAAATATTAAACATACAGATCCAACCTGCGGTAAAATCAGTTGAATTCAAGCCACAAAGAATTATTTCTCAAATACATGTATCCTTAGCAGAAAATGTTGTGATTAGTGCTCAATTATTGTCTCAATCTATCAAAATTGCAGCCTTTGGTAATGACAGAAACGTTAATTATAAGTTCATTAAAAATTTTATATGAAATAACGTTGTCAGATTCTCAAGTTTGATTAACGGGGTCTTTAAGAGCTTCCATTACAGTATGATTATTCGAACAATGTTAAAGACCGTATGGTGACCTGTTGTTGTATAGATATTTCTCGTCGTTTAGATTTTTTTAGAAAAGTTGTCTCATAAATAACGTAAATAAAGGCAATAGTAGTATACCGCTGTTCAATAGTCATAAATCGATTTAACTGAAACAAATCCGGGTCAAAAACCAAAACTGAGGGAAACACATCAACTAAAAGAGGAAACAAAACGGAACAACAGAAACACTGAACTGCTACAAAAACAAACGCAAACATACATAGAAACGGACTATGTGATAACAACTGCCACTTTTAAAGGCCAGCATTGGACACAAATAATTGAACTTTGTTATATCATATCTTAAATTCAACGTGTACAATCTGAAATATGCAAATTTAAATGAATAAGGCATTATACTGTTAACGTTTAATTTTAGATAATGTTGATATTTTCAAAAGTATGATATTTATCCATTTTTCAGGATCTCAGAAACCTTTAACATTGAACGCGTAATTCGACAAGGATGTCCTTTAAGCGCTTTATTGTTTGTTTTATCAGTTGAATTACTTGCTTGCAGAATAAGAGACTCTTATGATATAAAAGGAATACAAATCAAAATCGATAAAAAAACTCATAGTCTAAAAATCTCGCAACTTGCAGATGACACAACTTTTTTTTTAAATTCTAAAGATGAAATTAAGCATAACTTAATATAATTGAAACCTTTAGATCATTCTCTGGACTTAAACTCAATAGAAACAAAACAGAAGGTATATGGCTAGGTAAACTTAAACACTGCAAGGACAAATTTGAAAACATTAATTGGAAATATAACGTAAAAAGCCTCGGTATTTATTTTGGCTCTGACAAGAAAGAATGTCAAACCTTAATATAGAAAAACAGTTGGAAAAATCAGAAAAAATAATAAAGGATTGGAAAAAATGGAAATTAAGCATGATTGGTAAAATCACTATCATCAAAACACTTGTTATACCTAATAACACATATATTGCATCATTAATAAATCTGTGCAAAGAAACTATATCTAAGTTTAAGAAAATGATATATAATTTTTTATGGGAGGGTGGTAGTGAGAAAGTTAAACGCTCTTTTTATTAAAGATTATTTAGAAGTGGGATTAAAAATGACGGATACTGATTCTTACATTGAAGCAATGAAAATAAATTGGGTTAAAAGACTTACAGATGAAACTCGGGCAAACTAGAAAATTATTCCAACCTACTATTTCAGTGAGTTTGGGGGTAAAAACCTACTATTTAAAATGAAACTGGGTTCTCATAAATCATTAGAAAACATAAAACATCTGCCCACATTTTACCTAGAAATCTTAAAATGTTGGATTAAAAATGGTGGCGGGAAGACAAAAAAATCTGAAAACTATAGAGATATAAGGAGACAAGTTATATGGGGAAATCAATATTTAGAGTCAAGGCAAAAGTCTATATTTTAAACATTGGGTAGAAGAAGATTTTTATTAACGACATAATTGACGATAAAGGAGAAAATTCTCAAAAAATCTTAGATAAACTAGAAAAGAAACAAAATTTGTACTTTACGTAAAGCTATACTCAAATCTTGGAAAGAAAAATAAAAGAGTTAAACATCAAAAAATACTAAAATTCATATTCAACAAGATATAAAGATGAATATCCATGGATTGTATTACAATCTGTACAAAATTTCATTCAAAGAAATATATAATATTATAATCAGATCTAATAAAGAGATTCCAGTAGGATTTTATGTATGGAAAAATCATTTCACTTTTGAAAATATTATTTATTCTATATCTATTATTGCATAACATTACAGCAATTAATCATAATTTGTACCGTTGGAAAATATCTGATAATCCAAACTGTGTGATTTGTTCCAAAAGTGATAACTATAATCATTTTTTCTTTGAATGTAAATGGGTAAAAAATTATTGGTCAATAATTTATGACATATTTATGTATTTTAATATTGATCAACATGTCTTCTTTCTAAAAAATCTTGTACTTGGATATAAAATTGAAGATATTGAATATAACCCACTTAATCATGTTATAACAATGATTTGTTTTGTGATTTATAAATGTTTTCATCTATCAGAAAAGAGAACTAAATTTGTGAATATGTTGTCAGTTCTAAAAGTTAAATAGAAACACAAATGTTTTATCATCCAGATAGTCTATTTTTGAGAACATTTCAGAGGAAAATATCAGAACTTTGATTATATTCATTGTTCTATGAGAATTATACCTTAAATAAATACTCAAGTATTTAAACAACAAAGAATCAATCAATCAATAAATCAATATATCAATCAAGAGGGGTCAATAGCTCCTTCCTTGATCTCTTTTATATACCTCATTTTTTACTTACCTGAAATATTCGATTATACTAAGTTTAAAAATTTACACATTAAATAATTGACTTGATGACTATAATAAACTTCATACCATTTTATGAAATTATTTGTCTAGCCATGTGGCCAACCATGCTTGTTTGGTAAATTCTACTTTCGGTTTAAACTAGATTTTTTATATCAAAACAAATGACAGACAACAATCCGGGGTTTTTTCTCTCTCATATGATTGTTTAAACATGTATATAGGATCACTGAATAATGTATATGTATTGTGTGCTCGTATGAATACTTTGTAAACATTGGCGAAATAGTAACAAGGAGAAAGATTCCAATCAAAATGTCATTTATTAAAAACGACGATCAAAATTATTTACAACAACAGGGGAGATAATCTTACAAAGGGTAACATTTAAATGCCCCTGATTTAACTCCCTGATAAAAAGCCAGCCTACAAAAAAGGTGGTGTACAAAAAAGGCCAAAGCGAAATACAGGTTTTACTTAAAGCTGAATGAGCCCACGCCATCCAAGGTGTGTCTTGAGTTATGAAATATTAAAGATTCAGTCAATATAATTGACACATATAACTCTAAAAGTACTTCAGATATACTATGAAAGTACTACACATAACACTATAAAAGTAACTATTTGTTAATGAGCAGGCAAATCCTCGCCTCAACAGTCTGTATAACAGAATCACTATCAGACATATTTAATATCTGTAATTAGGCTTAATAAGACATGAATGTATGTTCACATGAGGACAATGAACATTAAAAGTAACACTTTTGAGCCGCCAGCCATTCATTGAATTTCAAAACCATAAACTAGAAAATGTTAGCAAAACAAAAAACATCAGTAGTATCAGATTAGAAATACAATTTAACATATCAATATATGAACATGATAAAATATTGATAACTCACAGGTCTTTTAATACCTTATTTCTTGTTTTGGCAAAATGTAATGGATGTATAAAAATTTACAACATATATACAAAGTCATGTAGAATTTTGAGCAGGCAAATTCTGACCTCAAAGTCAATACCAGTTTCTAACAATGTTCACACCTTTAATGATTTAATCAATTAATGACTAATTATGAAAAACAATCAGAACGGTGACCAGGCACATCCTGACATCACCTTATAATTATGAGTTAGTGTTTTCCTACTGAACATCAATATATTACATGCGAATAGATTCAATTCTTATATATCTCTGCAGTGATTTGAATTCCAACGACCCAGCTTTTGAATTAATTGCTCAGAATAGCCTAGGCTGGCAGCATTAGTTGCTGCACCTATACGAAAGCTATGTCCCTTGTATTGAGTAGGATTCAGACCTATAAAAGTAATTAACTTTTTCATCTGTTCAGTCACCAAGTGTGCAGATACATATTATTCATTGGTATGTTGAAATAAAGGTCCCCTATTATGCTTAAACGTGTTCACAAAAGCATATAGTGTATTAACAGGACAAATTCTAGGGGAGCTTGGCAATGCTGACAAGAAAATTGTTACTGGTTTATTAGTCTTGATTTTTTTTTTAAATCTAAGTGTTAATTCAACACCTTTTAATATGCTCTTTTCCCAAGTAAACAAAATACCTTGACGTTGAAGTACTCTCCCTGTAGACTGTTTTGTTCTTACGACAAGCTCTCCTAGCCTAAAAAACCCATTAAATGCTATCAAGAAGATAGTTTTAATAGGAGCTGATGAACATGGAGTCTAACTACTGACGGCAAGTTTATGATCATCTTGTCAAGGATTGCTTTTGTGATTGGTAGTCTTGCGTCTGCAGATGGGGTTAGATTTTCACAACCTTTCAAAGCTTTGCGAATAATGAATAAAGCTGTAGGGTCCTGAATATTTAACATTTTATGTACATAACTTGATGCAGATATATGTGATGCTATTGTAGCAGGTTTTAAACCTTTACTGAACAAATGGCCAATAAAGTTAGCAACATGAGCTAGCTGCAGTGGCAGAGAGTTCTTTTGGTGACCAAGAAATTCAATTAACTTTTGCCATGTTTTTTTATATGAAGCTTTTGTAGAGGGAGTCAAGGCTGAGCATAATAAATGTTTGGCTTCATCAGTAAAATCTCCAACAAATGTTAGGGAACCAGTATTGGACTTTGTTCTAACCATGGTGCTGCTATTAGTGCTTTCTGAAATTGTAAACGGGAAAGGCTATCAGCTATAACATTAGTTTTACCAGGAATGTGTTTAGCTTTAAATAGAATGTTGTATTTTAAGGCAATAGCAACCAAACGACGCACAAGTTTCATTAAGATTTTGTCCTTGCATGTTTGTTTGTTGATGATCTGGACAACTGCCATGTTGTCAGACAAAAACAGCACTTTAGTGTTTTGAATGTTTTCACCCCATATTTCAAGTGCAAGCACGATAGGAAACATTTCTTTTGTTGGTATTTGATGGTTTTCCAGATGACCTGGCCAAGTCATTGCAGACCACTTACATCCCATAACACCTGCAAAACCTAAAGAACCAGCCGCATCAGTATACAATGATAAATTATCAGAAGAAAGCCATTTATCAGCATAGAAAACTGATTTCCCATTAAAATGATCAATAAATGATTTCCAAATACCAATATCAGCTTTGGACTCCTTAGTGAGTCTAATGTAATGACAAGGATGAGAGACTCCTAAGGTAAGGTCTATAAACCTTCTCAAGAATGCACGACCTGGACAAACCACCGTACAAGCAAAATTAAGGAGACCAATTAAGGATTGTAACTGCCTTAGGGTCACTTTCTTTCTTCTTGAAAATTCATGCAATTTTGTTTCAATTTTTTCAATTTTTTCTTGTGGTAGCCTACATTCCATAATATTAGAATCTACCTCTATACCATAAATGGTTATTACAGTTATAGGCAAGACCGTTTTTTCCTTTTTAATGGGAATTCCCAGTCGATTACATAACAGAATGAAAGTTTGTAAATCATGGTTACATTTTTGTGACTGAGAGAGACCAACAAATAAAAAATCATCCAAAATATGTGACATGCCACCTGCCTTGTATTTTGACTGCATTATCCACTGTAATGCTACACTTAAAGTCTCAAAAGTTTTTGGAGCACTACTTGCACCCGGAAGACATTCATCATAATAGAAAAACCCATTCTAGCTAAAACCTAAAAGATTGTAGTCAGATTTCTGTATTGGAATAATGCGAAATGCATTTTCAACATCGGTCTTAGCCATTCTACAGGATTGACCATATGATTTGACCAACTGAACAACATTATCAATAGTATCATATGAAACAGCAGAATATTCCATAGGAATACCTAAGTTAATTGAATCATCTTTTGGAAATGACAATTCATGAATTAACCGAAATTTCCCATCTGACTTTGGAACCACCCTTAGTGGTGAACAAACAAGCAATGGAAATACAGGTTCTTTAAAAGGCCCAGCAATGCGACCACTTAGACTTTCTTTTGCCAATTTAAGATACACTGCATCTGAATTTTCTGAAGCTGATTTATGGTTTTTGCTTGTTTTGTTTCTTGATGTACCTTGAAAATTAAGTGAAAACCCAAATTTGAAACCTTGAACAAACATATTACTTAAATCGATATCATCATCCTGCAATTCCTCCTCCAGCAACTTAGCGTTTACTGGCGTTGGTATTTTGTTTTTGATTTGACATTTGTTTGTTCTGTTGTGCATTTTGCTGTGGTTTGTATTCAGTGCATTAAAATCTTGCGTGTGAACCTTTACAGTAGTGGCAGACATGCTTGTATGAGCAAAGTGTGTTGCAAGTTTGTCCTCTGTTAAACAAGATTCATGTTTTGACATTGCTTGGATGCATGTATTTACTGTAGTATTGTGTATTGCCTTGGTTTGAAAAATTTTGTTTTGTCTTGTTGGTTGGGCACGAAAAGTCTTGTTTTGGGTATTACTAGTATTGGCTGATTTAGTGTATAATTCATCAACTAGTTCTCCTCAAGGTAACTTAATAGTTTCTCTTAACCTTCTAAATTTCTCGTCATATATCCTCCAAGGCTCATCTCCATATAAGTCATACATTTCTCTTATATTATGGCCATATTTAAGTAAATGCCTTGCTTCCTCTGGGCATTTCTCAATGTAAATATCTGAAAATACAAGAAATGCAGAAGTCCACTGCTCAATGGACAGTGGAGGTTTGTTTGACCTTGACGTATTATATAGGGAACATTTCCTGTTACTTACAAATAGACTAAATGGGTCTTCTACATAAGAAGATGTTAGACTATTCATATCAATGAATTCATCAGACCATATTTTCTCTTTAATTTTTTGAGAAATAGTGGCTCCCAATGGGATGCCATCAGAAACTTGAATTCCAAGTGAATTTTCACTTGACATATTATTGTTGACTGGCGGCTCACCTGAAAAAAGTGTTTAAACCACAGTTTGAATGTTAAATTCTTTGGAAGTACTGCATGACGGGCTATGATCTGCTGAATCTTCAGGTGCCACTGTGCATGGAGGATTCTCCTGTATCTGTGATGCTCTAGATCTCACCTCAGATGCTGCTAATGATGGAATTGGTGTAGGAACGGTGTTTACAGCAGGATCTATATTCTGTGACAGTGGAGATGTTGGTATTATACGTGTATGATCTGTACCAGCATCTGCATGTATATCAGCCTGAATTATTGTACTGTTATTAGATGTCGGAATATTTATATTCCCGGACTGTAGCCGTATAATTTCAGCTGCCAATTTAGTATGGTCGCTTTGGCCGGACTTTCCTCGTTTGGGAGGCATCTCCTGGCAGTTTGTGGAATTGAATTAGGACTTCAGATACTGAAACAGAATAAGTTTGTTAATACATTTGTTTGTGTTAAATATACACAAACAAAAATGAATGCCAATGGCCTATAAACAACTGTTTAAGTGTGGTTTGGTGCACACAATGTGTACATGCATGATATTTATAGGTACAATGTACCAATGTTGCTTACTTTGTAAACTGAAAATGCCACTGTCTGTGCAGTTTTAGTTTGACCTACAATGTGGTAGAATAGCAGAGTGTACACAATGTGCAATTGAGAGGTACAATGTACCACATAATATAAGCTCCAAATTGCGTAAGCACCTCAATCATGTCAATACAATTTACAATAAGTAAATTATATATGTATATGTACAATGTACATAGAACATGGAATTAAGCCAATGTAATGTTAAGGCAGTTATTTATACCGATAAGTACAATGTACTTTAACCTCTATTATCTATAACAAATTAATTTACCTAAATGTACAATATAATACAGTGTCACTGGTTGGATGTATGCAGTACAGCAGAACGAACACTTTTAAAGTATTTGCGCATTCCAAAATGGTTAAGATTCACTCCATCAAAACATAAAAAATCTAAATTGTCCCAAAATCCACGGTGGTGTCAAAAAGAAATTGCATTTTCATCATGCTCTTTGATTTTGGCTTGTAAAAGTGTGTTGATTTGAATAATTTTATCATTATATCCTACATATGTTACAGATTCACTCCTGTATAACAACTGTCCAATAACGACATAGTTTACATTTAAACCATAGTGTAAGTACATAGCAAATGCAAAAATGTCTTGAGCAATTTAGTATGCATTAGTTCTCCTATTAGCTGCATCATTTCCACCTATTTGTAGAAAAAATATGTGAGGGTGATAACTAAAAGTACATAGTTGTTTTTGCTGAGCTAGTCTGGCTACTGTTAGTCCACCCTGTGCACGACAATTAATTAGAAAATTACTCTTCAACAAACGCAGATTATCAAATTTGTCACAACTATCCATAAAGCGATTTAGTCTTCTTATAAAGCTGTGACCCAATAAAGTTACGTGTAAATTTTCCCCATTTAAAGACTTCTCCATAACTGTTGACTGATGTTTATTGTTGAGTTGTTTACATTAAAAAGTCGGTCACAATGTCACGTGATTTTCCACACAAACATAATATCACGTGATTCCTTCGTACCAGTATTGCAAAATTTTTTAATACTATAACCATACGAAAGTAAAGTTTCTAAAGTTCATAGCGAATTTGAATAAATCCTCATCTCAAGTTAGCAAATATAATATATATATATCAGTTATCTTCTTATATTTAGCAAAATCGTAATAAATATTGTCAGCATCAAGTGACTGATTCATCGACCACGAAGTATGTGCGTGGGTAAATATAGGTCAACAAGTTTGATGACTTCTAAGTGTATAAACTACTCATTATTTGTAACGAATTCTCGCTGAAAAAATAATAATCCTTAGTACAAATGTATTTACTGTTTGTTGTGAATCAATTGTCACCAGAGTGTATATATATAAATCAAAAATTGTCCAGAGAAAATTTGCGATCTTTCTTGTCGCAGATAAATATTTACCTCAGAATATATCTGTTATCTGATTGGTTGGTTAAAATACAGATTAAATAATTATGCCATTTACACTCAGTTAAAATTGACTGTTTAATTCAAATAGAAGTTGTCCACATAGACATAAATGAATTTATAATATAAATTAGATTGTATATGGATGGGATATGTATACACATCATAACAAAATGTGTTGTTGGTCCTTGCATGTGGCAGGTGTTATCTGATCAAATATTACCATAAAATGACCACAAATGGGTCAAAATTCAGATTTTAATTATTGAAATGCCAAATTATGACGTCATTATAACAACATTTTTGATCTAATGAGCCTGAGTTTGTTGATTTTGTATTGATCAGATCATTTTCCATCAAATGTCATGAGGACATTACTGAAATTTAATTTCATGGAATCTACTCCAAAATGTTTGTTTTCGTGTAATCAGTTGCATCAGTTCAAACATAAACCATAAAATGCCTTCTGAAATATTGCTGTTCAGGATACTTTTTAGGATTTTGAAATGTTGTTACCATTTATTTAAAAAAAATTATGAGTTTCCCGAAAAGTAAATCTCTAATTTTTATTAAAACATTATCTCTGTTGCCCAATGAGACAGGGGAAAATGGTATATCAAGCTTGATTCTGATTGTAAGTTTTCTTTTTCCTTTTTTTTCTCATTTGAAACAACACGGCCAGATCTTTAAAACGATTGGAAAAATTATATAAGAATTTCCTATCTCGTGTTTTTAAGGTGTCATACATGTGGCTCATAGTCCACCATAGGTTCTGATAAAATGTCAGAAAATCCTATTTATCTTCTCTAAAGCTAATTTTTCTATCAAAAGCAAATTGGCTGAAAGTTTTGTTTCGAAAGTTTCTAAAACATTTTGTTTCAGTCACATCAATAACAGCCAACAGAAGCGTCTCTTATTCTACCACGTAAAACAATAAAAAAAAATTAAAAGGCTTTGAGGTTTTTTGTCAGAGAGTAGCAAAATCAGTGACATTGATCACAGAAGGGGCACCAACAGGTGTTGGTTGTTTTCGCGTTTATTTCATCTGTTGTTTTCAATATTCAATATCGAATTACAGGCCTCCTAACAATAGAAGACGGCGGCATACAGGATTTCTAAATGTTGATACTGCCGATAATTCTATTATGGGTATGTATATAATCTCTTTTCTTGTTTTAAGCATTATTTGGTTGCTGTCGTATTGAATTAATGTTCATTCCGTATTTGGCTTAAAACTGAAAATACACATCTGCATTACTGTTTAAGTAAATCGGATGGTGCTTTATTATTATCACTAAATGAATAAGAAATTCATTTGAATAGAAGAAACTCAAAATGCAACTAACTAGAATATTCAAAACTTTCCCTCAGGGTCAAATTTGCCTTAAGGAAGTTAGACCTTCTTTAAGTAAACATTGTAAAACTTATAACGGCCTGCTGTAATAAATACTGCCAATGCAAAAACACTTTTTCGATGTGAATGTAGTGATATCGACCCCGTGGCATTAAATGAAAGTAATAGTCCTATATATATCGTTCTTGATTTGGCCTTTTAAATTTTTGATTTGATCGTCACTGATGAGTCTTTTGTGGACGAAACGCGCGTCTGGCATACACACAAATGATAAACCTGTTATCTTTGATTAGTGTTTTTATAATGCAAACACATACAAGTGATGTATACCTAATTATATAACATTTTTCTGTTGACAAATATCTTTTGCGTTTCTGTGTACCAAATGGTGATAAGGCCTGTAAGCTGAGAACTTAAACTTGAACCTTCTGCTTGCTTTTAGCAGTATATTGAAATTTTGTAATATGATTGATATTTGTAAAGGAGAAAAAAAAAACAAAAAAAAAAGGTAATAATATATTTGTAGAATAAACTTAAAATAGACAGTTCTTGAAGCAAATTATACCTACAAGAACAAGTCTGTACAGCTTTTGTAACTTTCCTCATAGCGAAAAAAGGAATATCAGTCTACTCATTTGTAACCTACCCATACAAGATACTTTATTTGCAAAATGAGGCTTTTATTATGGTTTTTTTTACCAAAAATCGTCATGGCATGTCTTATGAAAATTCAAATATGTTTATGTTTTGTTGAGTTTGTATGAACTTTGTTTTTAAATATAATAAAGACTACGTTAAGAATTGGTCGTACGTTATTCAATTTTCACATATTAGTAAACTCTAGTCCATATTTACGTCTACAAAAATGCAATTTAAATTTTTATACAATTAACGAAAATCACGTTCATATGCACACTTTGTCCCGAGGACAATAGTGAGTTTTTGTTCATATTGTTGTGATCAAATATAACGAACTTCTTTCGATCTTAAATTAAGTATGTTCAACACTTTTACCCTTTAAATGAGATGTAAAACTGTTTTGTGTTTGAAGATACCACTCTAGAATTAATCAGTACATGAATTGTTCTTAGATATTCGATCTATTGTGTCACATGACGCCAACTGGAATGTTAGATAGTTCTTTCTTTACTAATGGCATCCGTCGTGCGCGTCATTTGATGTCAATTTAAATTCTGAAATAAAAGTTCTATTTGGAGGACGGGAATGCAAATGGAATTTGTTAGTGAAAGGGTACCATCTTTCTAGCGGAACGTGAAGCTTCTTTTTATTGGTCTAGAGGAGAAAATCTTATATGGCGATTTCGAAGCAAGATGGGGGAATGACTTGCTCCTCTGAAGAATTCAGATTGATGGTCGATTCCCTCGTCTATCAAACATAGCACATATGTTTTCAATCAAAAGCAATTATCATTTCATAATATCATTTGCAGACAATGTTTTGTAAGAACCAGTTTAATAAACTAAATATTCGGTGTGAAATGTATAATTTAATCGTACCTGTAGCCAGTTGAGTGGATTATAGCCTTCAACCAGTAGCGGTTAGGCGCTTAGTTTTTTTAAATTTTGATCCCAAGTAAGAAATGATTTAATGAAATCAGATATCATTAATAATAGTTAATTTCCTATATTTTCAAATAGGCTTAGATACGTCTGGTCAACCAAAGACCATAAATGATTGGCTGAAGCATTATCATCATGTTTGTGAGCATGGTAAGTATGAAATAAAGAAATCCTATCCATGAGCATTACAAAGAATATTTTGAATGAATAATCCAATAAAACAGACAATTGTGTCGCTGCATTTCTGTTGATATGTATATTAACCTTTTTTTGCTGGCGATACATGATACGTATTGAATAACTTTGTTATGGTTAAAAGAGTAGATCCAAGAATATTTTACACTACTTTCAGCTAAATACAGACTTCGATCAGGTACAGTAAGGCGTACGGGTGGACGTTATGTAACATTGGTATTAGATATATCAGAACGTCTGAAAGGCCGCAAGTTTGAAGTAATGAAAAAAGCAGCAGTAGAGTACGTGGAAGGTACTGTAATAACATATAGATTTTTGTTTTTGAACGGCAAACAAATCTTGATGAGACACGAATCATTCATTACAGAACTTTTATATTTATATTATAATCAATAAAAATAAAATCAGCCAATAGTGTAACAAGTAAATACCGGATGAACACTTGTCTAACATAACTCATTGCGACACTTGATTTTATAAAAAATATCTATAATAGTTTGAACAACAAACTGTTGTGAGAACAGATAACTATATAAATTTATCATGCCAATGCCACAAACAAAAAAGACTTACTTTAACCACAAAGACCTACACTTATGTTAACTTAAGAAAATACTTACAGCCAATGAATTGGACATTCTTAGCAAAAAAGAATCCGGTTTCGCATGATTTTAATTAGAACTCATAAAAATATATTTGCTTTCAGATTTAAAAGCTTACATTTGTATACCTAAGCATTTCAACACAACTGTTTTTATTGAAACGTTTTTGATGTACTTTGTCTGTTTTGTCATCACAGGTTAATGTATATAATATATTTTAACGACATTGGGTTATATGTACGTTTATCTCATCTAAAGGTGTAAAACAAGTTTGGGTAACAACTGGGCTGGAAGAGAATATTGGTTTAGCAGTATTTGGCGGAAAAAACCAACTTATTCATGAGTGTACTTCTGAACTGGACCTTGTTTTGAGATCTATAGGTAAAAAGTATTTATCCATGAGTTCATTATGCAATAAATGATTTACTTATTATGGATGAAGATCCTATTTGTACCGGTTTTATATAAAAAAAATTAATATCCAACTTCTTATTGTAGTACATTCACAACTTTAAAAATTGTCCATTTAATTTTACTCATTTGCATTTGATATACAAATATGGAGATGTGGTATGATGCAAATTAGACAACTATCCACCAAAGTTAAAATGAAGTAGATGTTAGCTTTTATAGGCAACCGTACGGTCTTCAACAATGAGAAAAACCAATACAGTATAGTCGGCTATAAAAGGACCCGACATGTAACATGTGAAACAATTCAAATGAGAAAACTTACGGCCTAATTCATAAAAAAACAATTCACGTACAACAAATATGACAGCCATGAACCAACGACAACCACTGAACTACTGGCTCATAACTAGGGACAGGCACATAAACAATGTGGCGGGGTTAACATATTTGAAGGCGCCAATCCTTCCCTAACCTGGGACAGTGGTGTAACAGTATAACAAAAATAGAAACTATAAACATCAGTTGAAAAGGATTTAACTCGTCAGATAGATACAAAGCAGCAAAACATCTAACAAAAACACAGACAAGACGTGGCAGGGATTTATACATATCCATAACAACAAAAAAGACAACAAATACAGATCTGAGAATACTAGCAGTTACTAAAAGCTAGTTCAAAGCGAATAACAAATAATATAAAAAATCATGTATTTATGACTTTACACCTGTCTCAAGTCAGGAGCCTGTTGTTCAGTGGTTGTCGTTTCTTGGTGTGATTCATAAGTGTTTCTCGTTTCTCGTTTTTTATATAGATTAGACCGTTTGTTTTCCTGTTTGAATTGTTTTACACTAGTCATTTTCGGGCCCTTTATAGCTTGCTGTTCGGTGTGAGCCAAGGCTCCGTGTTGAAGGCCGTACTTTGACCTATAATTGTCTACTTTTTATACATTGTGACTTGGATGGAGAGTTGTCTCATTGGCACTTATACCACATCTTCTTATTTATATTTACAACTGTGTTTTTAGCTATTTCAGACATATAATTACGTCAGACTATAGAAAATTTAAATTAAACGAAGATGTAGGCTGGTGGAAATCAATATTCAATTTTTCTAAATTATTTATTACATTCCATGTAGCCATAATTTCTTTTTAGTTTTTAGTTGAACTTAAAATGATCACATTTTTTTACTGTGATTATTCCTTTTTTCTACCACCTTTCAGGGATGTGGAGGAGGATTCAGTTCTTATGAAAACAACTGTAATCCCATATAATGGTTTATGATAAAGAGTCAACTAGCCTTAATTTATAATCTTTGTTAAAAATTGTCGGGTCTAAAGCAGATGATATGGTGTAAGAGATTTACACATTTATTTTTGGTCGCTATGTATTGTTCGGGTGCGTGCATTTTCATTGACAATTACTGTGACAAATTCCTTTTATTTCGACAGCTAGGGAATCGTTTTATACATACTGTTGTATTCTATTTTCACATTTAACACAGCTTACCTGTTATTGTATTTGATGAAATGTCATGAGGAAGAATCAAAGTTTTTTTTCTTAAAAAATAAAAACACAAATGTGTACATAAAAAATCTTGCATTCAACAGATAAACTAGAGCCATGTGGTGATGCACCTGCGATTGGAGGGTTATTGATGGGTGAGGCTGGCGTAATAACAGGTAAATTTAGCATAAACGACAAGGAATGTATGTCGTAACTTAAGGATGTTCGCTCCTCTTGTTTTTGATTTTTTTTGTCAGATATTCGGAATCCTCTGGTTTTATCCATGTTTTTCCATTAAGAAATTTTGTCCACTAACCCCTACTTTTCTTTTCATAATTTTATTACATATAGTTTAAAAAACCATCTTTAAAAATCTTATAAAATCCTTGTTATTTTTTCAATGTTTTTGAAAGAAAAAAGGTGACAATGTTAAATGTATGAAAAGTCTAGAGAGAATCATTTCCCGCCAAATTTTCAATGGCTTATATCTCGAAAACAAGCACACGGACCCTTCATTTTTTTCTGCTTTTTTAGTTCCTTCATTTATATTCTATCAATTTATGACAGTCTTTCAAAAAGCTTGTTATTTTGAAACAGAGTAGCGAACATCCTTAAGGGAAAATGTATAAAATAAAATTTCAGATTCTTGTTTGAAATGAAGCTTTTGTTACATTTAACATTTTTTTAAATGAGAGACAGTCGAATAAAATCAAGTTTCCATTATCTTTTGAAGTAAAATTATTTTTTCATTAATTTAAATTTGAGATTTGAAAGAAATGTGGTGACGGTTTATCCAATTGTTTGCATGATTGTTGAAAGTAGGAAAACTGATTGTCATTAGATATGAATATAAGATATAGCAGTAACATATGAAAGTTCAAAGATTTTGATGATTTTCTTAACTATGTTTCAATATAATGAAGTTACACTTCTTAGTATAACTGCTTTGTACTTTTTAATTATAAAACGTGGATTCAATTAAAGAAACAACGTTCTTGTTAATTGTAGGTCCGCGTGGAAATATCGGAGATTTTCCAGTCCAAGGACATATTATTATATTTACGGATAGCGGATCGGAAGGAAACGCATCCTATTCTTCTACTCCCTTTTCCCTTGCGAAAAGTGGAATTGATTTGAAATCAATGCTTGATAATGGCGGTATTACATTGTCTCTCTCGAGTACCGGTATTAGTTTGGGATCTTCACTTGATGGCAATGATTTATATGTAAGACTTATTTTTCTTCTTTCTTTATTACAATTTTCAATTTCAAGGAAACACCAATTATAGAAAGACAAAAGTAACATCATAAGTTCACCACATGGCTTCTAACAATAACAAAAAATCGCTTGCGTCGTTTCAAAAGATCGAAATCGAACAGTATCATTTAACTCATAACATATACGTTTTTCATATACGGTTTAGCGTTCTACAATGAGGACTTTTATGCTCAAAACATAGCTTATTTCAAACAACTGACAGAGAGTCCGTCAAAACTACATCTATAGAAAACAAAACTTACGATTGAGCAACATGTACTACTTTTAAAATCGAGTGTGAACTCTGGTTTATCCTGAATCAACTAATGTAACACTTTGTAACAATTTCTGACATGGTGTGTATTGTCTGTTTTTATTTTCGTTTTGTTAATCAAGATTAAAAAATGATGAGAGTTGAGATTTCAAAAAATATTGTTTTATGAATCACGCCACATTTTTATTGGTCTGTCCTAAAACTGGTACTTCGTTATTATGTGTCGTATGTCATATCTTTTAATGTTTTTCGTTATTTGGAGAATTGGATGTTGAAGACAGATTTTTATTGTTGATGCTTGATTTATTCACAACATGATTACTCGACTCTGGATGATTAGGATATACACATATTATATAGACACCCGTCTGTTGTTGAAGACTGTATCTTGCCATTTAGCTGTCTTTAGGTTATTTTTGTCGTGAGGTGGCCGTCTAATTAACGTTTACCCTACTTTCCTTTTTAATGGAATCCATATTTCGATGCTGCTGGAATAAGGCTGTTCAAAAATGGACAGTATACAACTGGAAAGTTGAAATCATCCCTTGTGTAGTAACTGTAGTTCTAAAACTACATTCATTGTTAATTTCTAGATTTCAGTTATTTAGCAAACTGAATTGAAGCTGTGGTATCATTTATTTCAAGATTAATGGAATTTTATTTTGTATAAGTCTTGTCTTTCTTAATCTTTTTATCCAGAATACATATTTCGAAAAAAAAATTGGAGAAGATTTTCGATTATTTTGTTTTATGATTCGATGATAAATACTTTTTTGACAATCTTGTTTAATTTAGAACCACGCAGGAGTAGAATCGGTTATCCATTCCGTTGTCGCATTACAAACCAAAGTCTTTTATGTTCAAATTGGAAAATATCAGAAGAACGCGGTAAGTATCTGTAAACTATAAAATCGTATCTTCAAATGAAGGGAAAAGCACGAACGATGTTAAAACAAAGCCTATAAGCATATTTGTCTGGAACCAGGGATAGAATCATGGAATTTTGTATATGCATACGTATAATAAAAAAGTACATCCACTGTATTTGAACTTTGATGGAAAGTTGTCTCATTAGCAATCATACCACACCTCCTCATTTTCATATATTCATATGCAATGCACAGGTATATTATCATTTACCAAATATCCCCGCTCAATATATGCTAGGGTCGTCTTGAACTTGCATTTAGGCGTGAGTAACTAATTTGTGTTGAAGATGTCACTAGGATCTTTATTCCTCAGATGAAATGAAAGGCAATAAAACGCTGTTCCTTTTCCTTAGGTATATGGAGGGATTTTGTGTTTTGATTGATACACCATCTTATACATAACAATATATTGAGGTCAATAGAGCTGCAGAATAATTAAAAATTACATCTTTCGTTTTTATCCTTCTTGATATATGCATTTTTGAAAGACATGCCTTATGTATTTCTCGATTTTTTGCAACTGCATCCTACATGGAAATAAAATATATAGAGGTCGTCTACGATTTAATTATTTCAAAATGAGACAGTAACCGCCTCACTTTAAGACAAATGCAAATAACCACTAACCAAACAAGTAGAATACATCAGGAGAAAATCACAGTTTATGACCAAACTCAGTAAAGACTCGTCTAAATTGCATTTAATTGATAAATTCAACAACACTTACCGTTATCTTGATGATATTTTTTCGTTAAATAATCAAGAATTTTCTCAATATACTGCCGAAATTTACCCAAAGGAACTTACTTTAAATAAATCAAATATAAACGGTAACAACTGTCCTTTCCTAGATTTAGATATTTCGGTTTTACACGGGAAACTCCACACTAAAATTTACGACAAAAGGGACGATTTTTCGTTCCCTATTGTTAATTTTCCCTTTTTGGATGGTGATGTTCCTTTGGCACCATCTAACGGTGTTTATATTTCACAACTCGTTTGCTATGCCCGTATCTGTTGTGACGTTTTTTATTTTAACGAACGTAATCTATGTATTACTGGTAAATTATTAAGCCAGGGATTTCGTTATCACAAATTACTTAAAACCTTTAACTAAATTCTTTCACAAATATAAAGATTTGGTTTTGAAGTTTGGTTGTACCTGTAGAAAACTTATTTCAAACGGGATTGCACATCTCATATTTACGGCAATATTGTTTACCGTGCCCAGAAATTGAGAAACGATCCTGGTAAACTTATCGATCCTTTAAATAAACTTATTCTAAAAGGTTACCAATTCAACACTGTGATTAGATCATTAAATATTGTTTTTATTGGTACTAATATTGATTTCGTTATCAGTAAATTAAAAGCAAACTAAATATTATTGTTATATGCATATACACATTCATGGATCTACAATCTGTCGATACCTGTATCTTGGCATTGCACAAGGTCATGTTTTTCTCTTGACTTTTTATGACGTCTTTACACTAAATTCATTGGATGTTGGGTGTGTACGGATTGATAATTTAGTCTTAGATGCATGATTTTTTTTATTAGTTGTTAGTGGCTTTGAACTAGCTGTCAGTAACTGTGAGAACTCTCAGATCTGTACTTAGTGTCTTTTTGTTATTTGGATGTACAAGTACCCGGCCACGTCCACTTGTATTTGTAGTATTTGTATATTTATCCATCTGATGAGTTAAGCCTCTTTCAACTGATTTTTATAGTTCGTTCTTATGTTGTACTGTTACACCACTGTCCCAGGTTAGGGGGAGGGTTGGGATCCCGCTAACATGTTTAACCCCGCCACATTCTGTATGTATGTGCCTGTCCCAAGTCAGGAGCCTGTAATTCAGTGGTTGTCGTTTGTTTATGTGTTACATATTTGTTATTCGTTCATTTTTTGTACATAAATTAGGCCGTTAGTTTTCTCGTTTGAATTGTTTTACATTGTCATTTCGGGGCCTTTTATAGCTGACTGTGCGGTATGGGCTTTGCTCATTGTTGAAGGCCGTACGGTGACCTATAGTTGTTAATTTCTGTGTCATTTGGTCTCTTGTGGAGAGTTGTCTCATTGGCAATCATACCACATCTTCTTTTTTATATTTATGGTTTTATTTCTTTATTATATAGCACATGAATTAAAGGAAAGACGTATTTAACATAATACAAAAAACAAACTACAAAACACATGTGCAAACGAATTATTCTATTGGGATATGTAGTCCTCACAAATAGTCATAACTTTTTTTTCAGATATTGGAACGTGTAGTGAAGGAAACGAGTGGGAAAATGTTAGACACCAGAGAAATGCATCGTTTAGTACAGATGCATAAAGTAATGGTACGTTTCGTATTGCAATAAGAAGTTAACACATATGAAGCACTAATTTACATGCACACATGTAGCAATGAACAAGGTTAATCTTTCAAAAAAAAGTCAATCTATAATATTAGGGCCACACAAAAATTAAAATAAAACTAGACGACGTAATAATACCGATTAGTATCACAATTTTTGCGATCGATTTGTATGATATTTCTAAGAAAAAAACAGCTGCTTGACGGTATAGTATCAGTTTTTGTATAAATACAACAACACGTCATGTACTCTATGATACTAATAAACTCATTTTGTATAATAAATATATGAAAGTAATGTATCGATGTATATCTATTTATCGCGAGTCCAGATTACAGCAACACGACCGGTGCCAGATGTGGAGCATAACATGATTACCATTCCGGTGCACTTTACATCAAAATCGGTTTTTGGTTCGTGTTACTCTGTCTTTAGTTTTATTATGTAGTGTTTTGAAGATTGTTGGGTTTTTTTTCCTTATCGACGATTTCGATTTAGTCGGTCTCTCTTCGACTTATGAGTTTCGATTCTCCCTTAAGTACACAGGAAAAATTGCAACATATGTTTTTCATATGTTTTCAAAACATATGAAAAACATGATTTTCATATGTTTTTCATATGTTTGTCCCAAACATATGAAAAACATATGTTTACAAACATATGTTTACATATGTTTTGAAACATATGAAAACATATGGAAGCAAACATATGTTTTCATATGTTTTAGATAATATGTTTACATATGTTTGTAAACATATGAAAAACATATGATTTTCATATGTTTTCACATGTTTTAAATGACATTTAAAAAAAATGTTTTGAGAAAATGTCAAAATTTGTCATTTAATTATCACATACATTTTGTCATTCATTATCTATATAGTGTATTTCTCAAACAGGAAAGTGCACTTTCTACTCTTCCCACTAAATCCCACATCATCGTGATGATAAAAACATGTCTGCCCTCAGCGGGCTACATGTATGTCACCCCCACAGCAGAGCTATCTAATTCTGAATGGAACATAATGTAAAATAAATGAATGAGTTATAAATATTAAATAATAATATGAATAAATATTCTTTATTTAGTTTGATCTTTATTCTCAATTCTTTTTTTTTTTATCAATAATCCCATTATTCTCTATGATTCTTTATTCCATATTTCTGCTTTTTTTAGTATCTGTTCTTTATTGTTTTTTGTTCTTTATTTTGCACTTTTTGTCATTATTTTCTATATTCTTAAACCCCAATCGTGATTCCAGACCATACGTAAAGTACATACGAAAGCTTGCATGGTACGTCGAATACGGAAACCCGGAAATCTTTTCACCGTTACCGTTTTTTATACTATGACGCAAAATCCATGGACGCTCACGCGATCTGCTGTTGTCATTTAAAAAGTTTGAATGGACAGAGATAGATGATACAAAGAACTTTGGTTTTTCAAACTGGTGAATCAAAATTTATTATAAAAAGATAAATTGAAATGGGTGACTTGTCGATTAACTGGAAGAAACTGGGGAACGAAACATAGAAAATTTATAGAAAGTCAACGCAACGAAACAGCGAAAGTGTTTTTGTTTTGATGGATAGTTTTACGTACCCTAAAAGCACAACGAAAGGTAAATATTATTATTCACATTTTGTTTAATTATTGGATAAAAGCAGGAAGATGTGTGTGCTTTATTTTTCACGAAAAACTATTTGACTAGATATTTGTAAACCTGAGTCTGAGAACGATAATGTAATATAAATATAATTGCATTGGGTAATCCGTTTCATTATCTATTTTATTATATGTCATAATGAGAATGTTATAAGATTAAGACACAAATACATCCCAAATAACCGTATAATATGTAAACGCTTTAGACAATAAGACAAACTTGATAAGTGGGGGGGGACATCATATAGGAATTTTCGCCGTGACGTCACCAAGTCACGTGATTTTCCGACTGGTTGGCAATATAACGGATGTTTACATATGCGACAGGGTGTCACATGTCATTTCACGATTACATTGATTAATGATGGTTGTTTCGTGTTGTGTAGTTAATTGTACAACTAGATTTGATAAAGACAACCCTAACAGTTTTTTCCGTGTCCCCAAAAAGCCTGACACTCGTAGAAAGCTTTGGATTTCTGCTATAAAGCGTAGAGATCATGACGGAAAAGCATGGGAGCCGTCTGACCATGATCGTGTGTGCCATCTTCATTTCATATCAGGTAGGTTTTTTTTCATTTATAAAGTGTGTCAATGTTTTGGGAAAGTGAGGCTACAAAAAAAAGTGCATAATTTTTTTCATTTATATTTTGAGGTAACATTTCTTATTATTTATAACAAAATTGTAAAGAACCTATGTAAGCACACCAATGTGACAAGGAAGGGATCTCTTAGGCACAGACAAGTGAGGTGACCTGAACTTACTATCATATTTTTGTAACAGATTTGTATTGAATAATACCTTGCATGTATTTATTTAAATATTTCGTAAGTGTTTTGAAAGAATATTAGGATACATGTATGTTGTAAACAGGCATTGAGCCAATGGCAATGCATTAGGTGGAAATTATGTGTCAAAATGTACTTATTTATATAAATTTTTACAACTGTGTTTTATTTTTTAGGACAGAAAAGCAACGATAAAAGCAATCCTGACTATGTTCCTTCCATCAACATGGGTTACGATGAAAGAACAGATGCAACTCTGCGTGCTGCCAGACATGACCGTCTTCAGAAGCGTGATGCTGAAAAGGGAAGGCAAGAGGTGGCCAGTGTTCTTCTAGACCTTTCTGAAAATGTTCCACCACCAGAGAAAGGTATAAATTTTACTTAAATATATTATATTTACATAAAACATTAAATGTCAAAACATGATTTTATTCAATTTAATGTAATTGCTTTCTTATATTATAGTTCTAAATTGTGTATGAAATTTAAATTTAGCCACTTTTATTGATATCCTTAATTACTTTTCATTGAAATGCAGCATAATACATTTATTTGTTTTCAAAAGGTTTTTAAGTCACCATATAAATGATAAAATTTCAATTCGAAAATAATCATAGGATTTTTTTTGCTATTATTTATATCTATGGCTCTCTGTTATGCAGTTTTTTTGTTGTTATTTTTTTAATTTCCTACAAAGTTCTGTCTTCTTATTTCACTTATATGTTAACCATTAAATTTCAGCAACTACAGGTTTGCACGACCAATGCATCAAGACAATAGCTTCACTTCGCATTGAAAATGAACACTTGTATACAGAATTAGGCAGACTACAAACAGAAAATGCTCAGCTTAAAGAAGAAATCAACAAACTGTCCTTTGGAGACCAAGCTATCGCGACCAACCGTAAAACACAGTTCTATACTGGTGTTCCTACTAGGGCACTTTTTTTGTGGTTAGTAACATTCTGTTCAACTATACTTCCAACTTGTAAAGTTATGTCACCACCAAGTGTTCTATTGTGTATTTTGATGAAACTCAGACTGAATATCCAGCATCAGGACATTGCCTATCGCTTCAGGGTGTCTAGCACAACTATTTCAGACTTATTTAACCAAGGTATACCTAAAATAGCTCAGAAACTTGCTTTCCTAGTGCAATGGCCAGATAAAGACAACATTATCAAGAATATGCCAGTAGTGTTCAAACAGTCATACCCTAGGTGTGTTAGTATTATAGATTGCTTTGAAGTGTTTATACAAAGACCAAATCACTTAACTGCTAGAGCACAAACATGGTCGAACTACAAACACAACAACACCATCAAGTTTTTAGTTTCGATAACTCCTACCGGTGCAATTTCATTTGTGTCTAAAGCTTTTGGTGGGCGTACTTCTGACAAAGTTATAACGCAAAGAAGTGGTTACTTAGACAAGCTAGAACATGGTGACCAGGTATTAGCAGACCGGGGTTTTTTAATTGCAGAGGAGCTTGCAAGTCGTAATGCCTCATTGATTATACCAGCATTTACCAGAGGAAAGTCGCAACTTAGTGCTCGTGAAGTAGAACAGACTCGAAAAATTGCTCATGTGCGTATCCATGTAGAAAGAGCAATCGAGCAGTTGAAGAACTTTCAAATTCTCAGCAGCCAAATGGGGATTTATTTAGTACCACATTCTGACAGTATTGTGACTTTATGTTCAGCTATTTGTAATTTGCATCCTAAACTTGTATCTTAAAAGTAAATATTGACAGAGAAAGATGAAAGACAGTTTAACATAATGTTTTAATGCATATGTACATGTACAAGTACAACAATGTAACTATATATATAGTCTTTGTATCAAATGATGAACTTCCAAGTATTTTTTACATGGTGATTGTATTGTTTTGTACAAATAATTCTATTTACAAAATCAGCAGTGTATTGAAATAATATAAAGATGTAATATATTGAAATTGTTTATCTAATGTCACTACAGAACTTAATTACTTTAGCTGATACAGACCTGTATAATTGTGTCTTATGGTGTGTGATATTTGTATTTGTTTATCAGTTGTTTTAAAACCATGACTGTTGACACTGTGCAGACGACTTTATAATCTCTAGCAAAATTTTTAAAATTTAGTAGCTATTTTACAATTAATAGATAAGGGTGCCCCTGAGGATCAATTACTCCCCCCTTTTCATTTAATTTAGATTTAAAAAATGTATATATACCCTTTTCATACATTGCATAGGTAATAATGTACATGTAACCTTTTCCAAATTTTAATTATGAGTGATTCCAGAACATACTGGAGCGGACAAGAATCACATTCTAGCATTACCGAGAAAATCATCACATTTGATTAAAGCTCAAATCTGAGGCTCAAATTCCTTATGTTATGTTAACTTAACAATGCTTAAGGCAAAACAAGACTTGCAACTAAGAAAATTACAAGGCTTTGCATATGACAAGTACAATAAGCCTTAATTATTCTGAGTCTGAGACTACTATAACTGAGTACTATAACAATAAACATCTAATAA